TGAATTCATTGGTGGTCTGAAAACGGGATATTTCAACTTAAAATGTTTAGAGCACTTGCAAGTGAAAACGACATGTTGTAATCACACACCAGCTCACGAAAAGTTATACAAATAGTGTACTTTCTTATCGAGAAATATCAAAGAAAGCTACACTAAAGATAAAATCTTTGCTAAGATTTCTGATCTCCTTTCCAAGATAATTACGTATTTGAACAAAGAGAACTGTGGCCATTAGCCCTAATGCCACCGGGAGATAGTGGTCAGTGAAAATGATCTGGGAACTGCTTTGGAACCGTTGACCAGGCACTAATCTTGAAGCTAAAGATGAATATATCTGATTTTACCTTCAAACATAAGCACAATGCTCCTTTCATTAGTTGTGTTTTGTTTGATTGGTAAGGTAACTATTCGAAGGGACTTTGTAAGAAATAATTAGTAGAATGATAATATTAATGACATATTTTACCTTTCTGTCTACCCCGTGTAGATTAGGTTCGGCAATTATGACATTGTCATTCATCATTCAATTTCAATTAAAGTTATTCATAACTTTGAAGTTGCACACACATTGTAACACTTAGTAAATTTATATAACTTTTCTTAGAGCAGATCCGTTTCATATCATATTCTAAGATTGATTTTTTTATGGTTCTGTACTACAGGAGTGCCATATCAAATCGGCTCAGTTTTTCAAGGAGAGGCTATCTGTACGACCATTGCATCGAATTTATGTACAATGTGTTGAGTCCTTCGCTTGGATGAGGTCGGCTGACCTGAAAAGTGAAACAGAAGGCTTTCTGTTTGCTGCTCAGGACCAGTCACATCCCAATCGAAACCGTCAATGTGTGATTTTGCATCAAAATGTAAATATGAAATGTAGATTATGTAATGAATTTAATGAGACTGTCCAACACATTGTCAGTGGATGCCTAGCTTTGGCACAAACACAGTATCTTAAGCGACATGGTGGAATTGGCTCGATCATTTTATTACCGTCTTCGCCACGCTTGTGGTTTTGACACAGAGGTCCATCCATGGTACGACCCGGAATATGTGGAGGGCGTCATGGAAAATGATCAATACAAAATTCTTTGGAATAGGCCCGTATACAGCCTCAGACGTATCCAGGCCAACAAACCTGATCTTGTCCTTTTTGATAAATCCAATCATTTATATTATTGAATTTTCCGTCCCCTTTGACACCAATGAGATTGACAAGATTGAGGAAAAACATGGCAAATATGCAGACCTCGCTTTCGAAATGCCACGCTTGCATCCCAAGTAATAAATTTGTCCGACTCCCCACTCTCGGTGCCTTAGGTTTTGTACCTCCCAATCTGTTGACTGACAATGGGAGAGTACCGGGGTATCCTACCAGGAATTCAGCCCAATCTGGGTAATGCAGAAGGCTGCAGTGTTGTGGAATCTTCACATTCTCCGAAAAGTTACCGATGGGAGGAGTCGCTGTCTGGGCTGCGTGTAAAGGGGGGCAGGTCACTGAGCTGATGATGGTGCCAGGATCACCCAAACCCTCATCGCTGCATTTTTTACATTAATCTGTACTTTGAAATGTGAGGTGTATTTATAGTTCCTACAATTTTCTTAAGAGGAATGTCTTTAGCTGATATTTAAAGCTGTCAAGGGATGGAGAGTCCTTGATATGTGATGGAAAGGAGTTCCAGAGAATAGGACCAGCCAAGATTTCAGTCTTGGTTTAGGAACTTGAAGGAGCATCTTGTTTTCCGATCTAAGAGTTCTTGAAGGTTAATACTGAGAAAGCAGCTTGGAGAGATCTACACAACCCTCGAATTTAACCCGAATCCTGTACAATCGATGCCGACTATATTATATTATTTGTTATCAAAATGTGCACTTACAAATGCATGTGGGCTTTTCTTATCTGTGAGACCTTTGTTATGTCTTCTAACGGAATGTTTATTGCCATGAGTGTTATTTCTACTAAGTAATATCCATGAAGTCTTCTTGAAACAGGTTAACATGAGTAGGTTTTCCTATACCAGATACTACTGCGCATGCGCAGAGTTGCGTACAATGTGAACACAGATTCATTGCAAAGTGTAGAAAGTTAGCAGTTATAGTTGACCTTGGAACCGTGATGCGAAATTCCATTTCATGGCTTGGTATTATTGTACATTGTGCATAGCTAAGATATTGTCACTGTGTAATATTTACAACAGTTATAATTGTTTGAATTGTTCAAACGTGCTACGACTGCAAATAATCACGAGCATAGCACATTTAATATGTAAGAATCTGAACATGACAAAGATGAAAAGGGTGACGAAACATAACTTACTCCGATTGCCATGGAAACATTATTGTAGTGTTGACACTACGGACAGGTTACTATATAGGGAAGGGAAGTAAGTAGCTAAGAGAAATGCGAGCGACGGGGAATGGAATGATATCAAACATTAATTAGCTGGGTTATGCGAGAAACATATCAGTATCTTCATATTGTCCTTTATGTGTCGGTTCTGTGCAGCGTGAAGGTATCCCCGAATGTTTACACAGTAACACTACCCTATGACACTAAATTACGATACACACAATAGAACTACACGCTGTCACTTCATTATGACACTGCACTACGACATACACACTAGAACCACATACTGACACTTTATTATGACACGACACTACGACATACACACTAGAACCACATACTGACACTTTATATTGACACGACACTACGACATACACACTAGAACCACATACTGACACTTTATTATGACACTGCACTACGACACTGCAGTACGACATACACACTAGAACCACATACTGACACTTTATTATGACACGACACTACGACATACACACTAGAACCACATACTGACACTTTATTATGACACTGCACTACGACACTGCACTACGACATACACACTAGAACCACATACTGACACTTTATTATGACACGACACTACGACATACACACTAGAACCACATACTGACACTTTATTATGACACTGCACTACGACACGGCACTACGACATACACACTAGAACCACATACTGACACTTAATTATGACACTGCACTACGACACTGCACTACGACATACACACTAGAACCACATACTGACACTTTATTATGACACTGCACTACGACACGGCACTACGACATACACACTAGAACCACATACTGACACTTTATTATGACACTATACTACGACACACACAAAGGAACTAGACTATGATATACACAATGGAACAACACGGAGACACTTTATGATGCGCTACATTATTACATCTGACTATGCGTGTACGTGTTGGCACCAGACAATTGCACTACATTTGAGAAGCACAACGAATATATCGTTATTCACGCCGACTCTAGATGGTAATGATAATCTCCAATGTGATATGATATGACTCATCAATAAAGTGAATGTATGCATGTATCGTCTTGTTGTAGCATGCCCAGTCTATCCTCGTCGTTCTCACTCTGGGGTATTACTTTGTTATGTGTACATGTATTTGTATCAAACATATAGTCGGTAACAGTATTTCCTTTTAACAAGCAGATTTTGTGTTAACACCTGGTCTGACTAGTTATGTCATTGTCAAGTGAGGGTATATGCCGTGCTATTAAACCGGGAGTTTCGATGATTATAAAACCTGAAAACAAATACCGATAATCATTGCATTTAGACTGCATAAAAATATATGTGTTTCTTAGTCACATTTTTTCAAAATTTTATTGAAAACAAAATTGATGAGTGAAGAACACTTTTTTCCAAAGAATACCAACAAACACAACTGGGAACACGGCGCTCTTTGATGCAATGTCAGTTGCCTAGCATAGATACTAGTTTCTGTTTCATGTGACACTGGAAATTTGAAAAATATGTTTACTATTGGCAATAAATAAAACAGAATAATATAAGTTAAAATGACGAACCGATGCCCGAGAAACTTTTGTTTCCTTTCGCCTTATATATAATGTTTACTGTACCATTCTTGCCATTAATACCGTTGATACCAATTGTTTCGCGACTTTTATTCATTCTTCCAACATGTTGCATTACGTGCATCCACTTTTCCAAACAGTTATATTCGCGCTTGTGACACATAAAACCAGCCAATAGTTGTGTTAATGACAAAACACAAGAGTTGTCACGCCAACTTGGATACACGCGTAACAAATGTTAGATTTGGCTCTGTGGCTGATAGGGTTAGATCGCTAACTTCATGTGCTAGCGATCAGGTGCCTCACTTTCAGAGTGTGAGTTTGAATCCCTGATTGGTCTCAACCACAAAAAGTACTAGAATTTGTACTTTACTAAGAAAGTGTATGCTAACCATACAATTTGACATTTGACAAATGCCCTGAGATGCCTCTAACGGAAAAGCACACGTTGCCTTCCACATTTCTGTGGTTTGAATGTCCAATTCCTTTCTGACTGCATGAAGCATCCATAGAATCTACCGTGGGCGTCAGTGGCGCAACGGATCTGTTATGTTCACGAAGTGTTCGCCCTGATGAGGTTAACCAGTGAGTGTCAGATAAAGCACGTTACCGGGGAAAAAACGTGTCATCGAGAAAAGAATGAAATGTTTACGTTCACAGTTAGCAACGATTGTTTGGGAAAGTGGAAGGCCCTTCACAGTGTCCTAAATATGTCAGCGCTATATCTACATGTTCCCTCGTCTGTCAAATATGGACATCACTGGTCATATGTAGAGTAGACATTGCGGCATAGACATAGCAGACAACATTGCAGCATTCCTGCACATCTCAGGATGACTGATAATCATATCGTTATAGTTTCTGGCACGTAAAAATCGTTACAACTATTGAATATTCAAGCAGCGTGAGACCAATTATGTTGAGATATCAACCTCCAATACATCTTGTTCAGATGTTGACATGACTCAGTGAATGTGAGTTTGAGCACTATATAACACACATGTTCCATGCAACCATAAAAAGCACTTACAATACTAATTTTGGGTAATTAAATAGACAAGAAAGTCCACACTTAAAAATGGTATCCTTTATTTACAATATGAGACGTTTTACACAAATACACAATGATTTTGTATTATGTACACACAAAACAAACACACACACACACACACACACACAAACACACACACACACACACACACACACACACACACACACACACACACACACACACACACACACACACACACACACACACACACACACACACACACACACACACTTCACCAGTCATGTACCACACGCACATGGACCAATTGCACCGTCTGTACAATATCTCAGGAATAAATATTCAAATTGTCAAGTAACAAAAGTCAATTCAATAACAAATACATGGACTATTTCAACCAATGTGTGCGTTTGGGCGGGATCGGTATGGTTAATGGGTGGCCACCCTGAATGAGCAAGCTATGGATAAGCGTAAGATAAATAGACTTCCTTCTTAATTTGGTTGGAACGTCCTGATTCCTTCGATTGAATGACGAGCCATGGGGGTTTTCTTCTGAAATATACATGACATACATGTTTGGCATGGGTTCGACACAGAAACATGATACTGCTAATAAACTTGCGCGATGGAGATGGGGTGAGGTAAATTTGGGTTTAACGTCGGACTAATGCCGATTTATAGTGCTAGCTCACTGAGATACCATGCCGCAGTTTAACATGAACACCCCACTCAGACACAGTATACTGACTCCGAGCCAACCAGTCCTTGTTTTAGCCCCTAAATGGCGAACGCCAGACAGGGTAACAACAAGTACCATCTTTTAACGTCTTTTGGTATGATGCGACCGGTGATCGAATCCCGGACCTTCCGCTCTCCGGGCGGACGCTCTACCACTATACCACGGAGGCGGTCTGCCCGATGGAACATATTGAAGCACCAGCAGAAGTAAGTGAAGGGAAAGCTGTGCTTCTAAGTATTTTAGGAGTATTTCAATCGGTTGCCTTATGCCTACAACTATAGAGTGAGTTGGATTTATTATAAGACATCCAAACGGTTGTACAGAATTTACAGATTCATATCAGTAGCTGAATAGGATCTTGGTCCTAATGTAAGTAGGACAAAAGATATTAGTTCTTTTGTGGCATGTACGTAATTGCAGAATCAAGAAAAATGTCACTGTAACTGACGAGGGTGGATTTTATGATGCTTCAACCCAAAATGAAGAGCGGGAAAGTTTACCGTTTGCTTGTTTTGGCAGTGTTTGGGGATGGCAAAAACTCCATAGTCCTGTATTGATGGTTGAAATTCGGCAAAACTATAGCTGACTGCTGTCTTCACTACAACAAAGAAGTCGTTATTAAATTGTGTTGGCAGAAATATGTCTTCTCGTTGTTAATATTGAATGAGTGGTGTAATAATAATAATGATAATGATAATAGTGGTGGTAGTGGTGGTGGAGGTGGTGGTGGTAGTGGCGGTGGTAGTAGTAGCAGTGGTGTTGGTGGTGGTGGTGGTGGTGGTGGTAGTAGTAGCGGCTGTAATGGTGGTAGCGGATAGCGGTAGTGGTGGTGGTTGAGGTAGTGGTTGTGGTAGAGTTGGAAGTAGAGGTGGTGGTGGTAGATTTGGAAGTGAGGGTGGTGTTGGGAGCTGTTGTCGTACATGTAGTACATGCAGTAGTGAGTGAGTTGGGTTTAACGCCGCTTTTAACAGTATTCCAGTTATATCACGGCGTGCCAGATTAATGTGGGAGGAAAGCCCGAAGCAATGCAGGTGTCAAACGTTTACCACTTCGGTGAAACCGGTGAAACCTAAGAGCACGGGTATGGTGCTGACAAACTTAGAAACATGTAGTGGTTGATGTGGTAGTCCATGCAGTAGTTATAGCGCCCGTAGTGGTTGATGTGGTAGTACATGCAGTAGTTATAGCGCCCGTAGTGGTTGATGTGGTAGTACATGCAGTAGTTATAGCGCCCGTATAGTGGTTGATGTGGTAGTCCATGCAGTAGTTATAGCTGATGTAGTGGTTGATGTGGTAGTACATGCAGTAGTTATAGCCGATGTAGTGGTTGATGTGGTAGTACATGCAGTAGTTATAGCCCGTAGTGGTTGATGTGGTAGTACATGCAGTAGTTATAGCGCCCGTAGTGGTTGATGTGGTAGTACATGCAGTAGTTATAGCGCCCGTAGTGGTTGATGTGGTAGTACATGCAGTAGTTATAGCGCCCGTTGTGGTTGATGTGGTAGTCCATGCAGTAGTTATAGCCGATATAGTGGTTGATGTGGTAGTACATGCAGTAGTTATAGCCGATGTAGTGGTTGATGTGGTGGTACATGCAGTAGTTATAGCGCCCGTATAGTGGTTGATGTGGTAGTACATGCAGTAGTTATAGCGCCCGTATAGTGGTTGATGTGGTAGTACATGCAGTAGTTATAGCGCCCGTATAGTGGTTGATGTGGTAGTACATGCAGTAGTTATAGCGCCCGTAGTGGTTAATGTGGTAGTACGTGCAGTAGTTACAGCCGATGTAGTGGTTGATGTGGTAGTACATGAAGTAGTTATAGCCGATGTAGTGGTTGATGTGGTAGTACATGCAGTAGTTACAGCCGATGTAGTGGTTGATGTGGTAGTACATGCAGTAGTTATAGCCGATATAGTGGTTGATGTGGTAGTACATGCAGTAGTTATAGCCGATGTAGTGGTTGATGTGGTGGTACATGCAGTAGTTATAGCGCCCGTATAGTGGTTGATGTGGTAATACATGCAGTAGTTATAGCGCCCGTAGTGGTTAATGTGGTAGTACGTGCAGTAGTTACAGCCGATGTAGTGGTTGATGTGGTAGTACATGAAGTAGTTATAGCCGATGTAGTGGTTGATGTGGTAGTACATGCAGTAGTTATTACCGATGTAGTGGTTGATGTGGTAGCCGATGTAGTGGTTGATCTGGTGTACATTGCAGTAGTTACAGCCGATGTAGTGGTTGATGTGGTAGTACATGCAGTATTTATAGCGGTCGTAGTGGTTGATGTGGTAGTTCATACAGTAGTTCTAGCCGATGTAGCAGTTGATGTGGTAGTACATGCAGTAGTTACAGCGGTCTTAGTGGTTGATGAGTTGAAGGTTTTGGTAGTTGTAGTCGTCGTAATAGTGCCACTAGCAGTAGAAGTAGTTGACGAAACGAGCACTGTTGGCATAAGGTGTGGAGAAATAGTGACCTTGCACCGCCCAACAAGTAGCACCAGGCGTCTCTGACGTACAAGCGACCACACAGTCTGTTATCGTGTATGACTTCTCGGAGCCAAAGAGTATCGTGTATAACAACACTGTAAAGTAAACTCAACTCGAGCTGTCTATGAAGTGCTGGACTCGAATCAATCCACAGGTCAACACTGACGCCAAGGTCGGGGTTTGCATCACGTGACTCTCTATAATCTTCTGTATTACACCATAGTCCCAGAACCCACGAGAAACTCAAAGACGTCTAGGAAAGAAGTCATATCTACGTATACACGCCTATCTTTAATTTTCTATCTGTCGAAATGATCTCTGTACTCTTATCTTTGCTTTCTAGTGTGGTTTGGCCAACGTCGCCCTTGGCAATCATAACGTTTCTTTAAACTTCATCGAACGTTTGCATGACCACAACATTCTTGTGAACCGTGCAGAGTTCTTTACACACATCCCACGTCTCTTGTTCACATGAGTGGGTGGTGATTGCTCCGCGTCGAGGGGGAATAGTGGAGGTGGATTGTGTGGCTTGTCACGTGTGTGGGTGGTGATTGCTCCGTGCCGAGCGGTAGTGGTGGAGTTGGGTTGTGTGGCTTGTCACGTGTGTGGGTGGTGATTGCTCCGCGCCGAGCGGTAGTGGTGGGCTGGGGTTGTGTGGCTTGTTCACCTGTGTGGATGGTGATTACTCCGCGCCGAGCGGTAGTGGTGGGGTTGGATTGTGTGGCTTGTTCACATGTGTGGGTGGTGATTGCTCCGCGCCGAGCGGTAGTGGTGGGGTTGGTTTGTGTGGCTTGTTCACCTGTGTGGGTGGTGATTGCTCCGCGCCGAGCGGTAGTGGTGGGGTTGGGTTGCGTGGCTTGTTCACCTGTGTGGGTGGTGATTGCTCCGCGCCGAGCGGTAGTGGTGGAGTTGGGTTGTGTGGCTTGTCCACCTGCGTGGGTGGTGATTACTCCGCGCCGAGCGGTAGTGGTGGGCTGGGGTTGTGTGGCTTGTTCACCTGTGTGGGTGGTGACTGCTCCGCGCCGAGCGGTAGTGGTGGAGTTGGGTTGTGTGGCTTGTTCACCTGTGTGGGTGGTGATTGCTCCGCGCCGAGCGGTAGTGGTGGAGTGAGTCACCGGGACAGTGTTGCAGTAAATAGAACAGTGAGATGAGTTAATCTACACCTGTAATTTCAACTTTCGTCCGCAGTGATACAGTTTGTTCTTGTCAAAGAATAGAATCAGAACCTAGTCAGTTATGGAAGATCGCATACACCCATCTGGGTAGCCGTTAAACATCGTCTTGACATTTGTTAAAAATTCTAAGGTGTGTCGAAATTAAATAAATTATGTTTTAAAAATATTTCAAAATTTACGTGCTAATATTTTGGGTGTGTTTTTTAAATAACAGATAAATCCGCAATGGTCAATTATCAATACAGACTGTCTGTCTCTTGTGTGCTTGTTATTATTTGTGTGTACATAACACCGCATGTTGGCTATCTGAAATGGACGGGAATCCTTTCCTTATATGTGTAGTCAAAAGCTTACATTGACCCATTTTGTACTTAAATATTCGGATAATGCAGAATCTGAACTCCACGCGATTTGTTAGGCATTTCAATATTGACACCCCTCTCTTACTTAGACATAAATCCAACCAATAGTATCCATAGATGATTACCTCCACGAAGAGTTCCGTACATGGCCTCTGTGATGGGGATACAGTTCCTGGAACTGACGGTCAGTTTGACCATCACGTCTGATGACCGTGTCGGAAACTCCCACGATACAAACTCCACCCTCTCCTCTCCGTATCCGAAATAGCTGGAACCCAGGTACGTCGCACTGCCTTGGAAACAGATAATGTACGTATGTAGAACCATACTATATAGAGCGTCCACCATCACCCCGGCCTTGCAGTGCTATAAGCATGCGTCACATTACAAGCGACAGTGTGCAGTACATCACTGGAGAGGAATACATTGCGTGAATGAGAAGCAAAACACATTATCATCGATTATGGATCATTTCTGAAAGAACTAATGGTAAGCCAGGATAAGAGGTAGTGGGTGGTCCGCGACAAGTAGTACGATGGATATGTGCGTGAATTCTGGTATCGACATGTCACACCGACCTCTTAATATTCTTACGAGCAACACGTGTGTGCATGGAGCGTAGTCAATTCCCTCGTCATGACCTGCACGTGCACAACGTGCGTACACCCTTTCTACCTGTAACAAACCAGATATGTTGGCCAACTTCTGTGCACTGCCTACGTGTCTCACACGCGTTTTGTGAGTTTGTTCAACTCATCCTGGATTACCAGTAATGTCTACTGTTGGAAGCATATCGAACATGTCGAATACAAGTAAAGATTACCAGTAATGTCTACTGTTGGAAGCATATCGAACATGTCGAATACAAGTAAAGATTACCAGTAATGTCTACTGTTGGAAGCATATCGAACATGTCGAATACAAGTAAAGATTACCAGTAATGTCTACTGTTGGAAGCATATCCAACATGTCGAATACAAGTAAAGATTACCAGTAATGTCTACTGTTGGAAGCATATCCAACATGTCGAATACAAGTAAAGATTACCAGTAATGTCTACTGTTGGAAGCATATCCAACATGTCGAATACAAGTAAAGATTACCAGTAATGTCTACTGTTGGAAGCATATCGAACATGTCGAATACAAGTAAAGATTACCAGTAATGTCTACTGTTGGAAGTATATCGAACATGTCGAATACAAGTAAAGATTACCAGTAATGTCTACTGTTGGAAGCATATCGAACATGTCGAATACAAGTAAAGATTACCAGTAATGTCTACTGTTGGAAGCATATCGAACATGTCGAATACAAGTAAAGATTACCAGTAATGTCTACTGTTGGAAGCATATCGAACATGTCGAATACAAGTAAAGATTACCAGTAATGTCTACTGTTGGAAGCATATCCAACATGTCGAATACAAGTAAAGATTATTCTTTTTTCCCGGTGTTTAAATCCAGTAAACGAAGGCACTTACGGATGAAGAAGGTTTCGCCAGTTCAACCGAAAAAGTTAATGCAAATTACATCTACGTAGAACTCTGGTATGTCTGGTCATGTGAGATCATTGTATTTAGATATCAACGACAGAACAAGAACAACACATGTACACTCGTATGCGTGCAAGGTGTAACCTTCAAGTGGCCACATGTTTACTGTAGAGATCAAGTCAACTATACTGACTGCATTATAATATATTCGTCTTTAAATGCAAAAACTGATACACACATGTGGCTTTGTAACAAGAGTGTGTCAGATAAAGGGTTTACGCGAGGCAATATAGAGACTCAGCGTCACCACTTTAAGCATTGAAGAAAGTTTCATATACCATTAGATATAAACCTGGGTAAAACAACTGAAGTCTTCAGTCAAATATAAATATATCCGTCAAACCAAATCAGAAATGTAACGATTTAGATGCGACAATTCTCGTCCTTGTGCAAAATAATATTGCCCACATATGGCATCTGTAAAAGCATGTTAAGTTCACACAGAACATATAACGAACGAACGATTGAAGGGCATTATCTGTTTACACAGAGTCAACTGCACTAGTACTCGGCTTCACTCTATGTTCTTGGTATCAAGCGCATGTTTCGTCACTTACTGTGCACCGGGATGTAATACCGGAGATGTCCCAAAGATCAACAACACAACAACCCGCGCAAAGCCGTCCCTTTCTTACCATAAGCTGCATGCACACGTGAGCAAAAGCTGGAGAGCGTGGCGATAACATGCTGGACCGTGTGATGCAAGGTCTTCTGGAAACCCCTGCCCTTGCCAACACAAGTTTGTTAAACATGCAAAATAGTCGTAGGTTCTTCAAGACTTGCTACAAGTTCAAATCGGTTAAGAAATCACATCTAAAATGCAAACCATTGTGTCCGGAACATGTGTATATTCTTTTCTACATTTGTCTTTAAGAGAGTTGGTTTCTAATATCTAGAATGGTTTGTCGAAAGAACATAAGGAATGGTATTGACTGAAAATCAGTGAAAGTTGAAGTAAATACTCGCGTGAACGTGAACGAGTACAGTATTCTGTGCTGTGTCAAGAAGTCTAAATCTACAAGTTCAAGTTTTTACCACACGTGAGACACTTTCTCCAATTGTGTTGGATATTTGCCCGGACGGCAGGGATATATCAAGCAGCGAGAGGAAATTATTTACATACTAATTCCCTTAAGAGAGTTTGTCTTGGAGGATCGTCTGACGAGAGTGATACTTTTTTTCATTTTTTCCCCACTCAAATCACCGCCGGTTATTTGCCCGTACGGGCCTGTTGACTAGACACAATGTACAAGTTTTCTTATCATTGCGAAGAAGACTTTTTTATTAGCAAAATATAACAATGTCCTTGTGCGTTTGACCTTTGCGAAGAATACTTTTTTATAAACAAAATTGTTTAATGTTCTCGTGCGTTTGACCTATTTTCACAACAACAAAAAAAGTCTTCCCGATCAAACATGTATTGATCCTACTCAGATGGTAAATTGGCCCCTGTAAGTTGTCATGCTCCAAACTTGAAGTCTTAAGGAGGGAACAAGAGACGCCTATGATGATCTTGATGAATGCTCTCACCATATGATCAAGTCATGTCTTATATAAAATATAATTATCAAATCTGTTATTGTTATGAATAATCATTTGATGGTTGTATCAAAGACCAAAATACAAGATAGCCATTTTACGATCCTTTGCAAAGTTATGCCTGGAATTTCGGATTTGGTAGATCTACGAATCCTATCAATGAAATTTAATTAGTTCCAAGTTTAATTTTTGCGATACGTGAACAATCACCCTATCCCCCAACCCCACCTAACCCCTTTCCGCTCACTATAAGACTGTGTCACTGTATGATAGCCTTGTAGCAAGTCTAGGTACCTGGAACACATGGGTGTTGCATTTCTTCATGGATGTCCACAATCGTACACCTCCCGTTGTCTGTGATGTATTGCTTCTTCTGAAATACAGGAAGGCTCAACGTTTTTGTGCAAGAATACACTGTTTGTAACTGCCCCTTAGGTATATTTACACTATAATGAAGAAAAAGGAAAAAAATGTACGCCGATCAACATTTACTGTGTATTTATAGATGTGTTTAATCACCTTTCCATTCTGTCAGTTTTCGTAGATTTCATAAAACATACCCTTTCTTTTTTCTTTTTCCTCTTTTCTTTTTAGACATATTCTGCTGTGTTATTAGTTGAAAATAGATTCATTTTCGATTCCGGGATATACAGGGCTGTCGATAACCTACCGTGTTGAAGTCCATCACAATGTTGACTGTTTGGTACCGGCCAAGGGATCTGTCATGGGCCTCCAGCGCCATCAACTTGCGGTCATAGTCGTAAAATAGCTTGTTCCAACCCTGTGACAAAGACATATGAACAAGGCCATGAATGTTGTTTTCAGCAATTTGATTTGGACAAAATATTTGTAATCAAAACTCGATGCCTCGAACTTCTGTAATCGAGGTGTCTTATGTACTTCCCTTCCACACATAAAATCAGGAAACCTCAGAAAACGAAAATGTCAAATGTCAATATGGATTCATACAAACGGGCACCTTTGCTTGTATGAAATGATACTCTAGAAAGGCCATTCCTTACATAACTGTTCATCTATATATATACCTTTATGTATAAACACAGAACCTTTAGAATACGTACTTTCATAAATCGAATCTCTACATATTTTCTTGCTAAAACAATTGTTTTTGTACACAAAGTGACATACTTGTGTTCAAATATAGAAACTAATATCGGTTACCCAACGACATGTCTTGAACTGTTTTATAGCAACGGATATTTGACAATCTCTGCTTCTTTGCATCATATTATGGAACCCCGTACTGGCGACCATCTTGAGGAACAGACAGTGTCCGTGAGCCAACGCTTTAGCTCATATCAAGATGAGAACAATGCCAAATGTAGATATTTCCAAACAGACATGAAAACTCCAGATACATGACAATAAACAAGGGGTGGTGTATATTGTTTATTGTGTATATATGTCATCATTCAGATGGTTACTCCTTTGTCTGTTGGTGATGTTTCTGGGTAGCGGCCTTGCATACACGTGTGACTCCATTACCTACTTTCCGAGAATATCATCGGATTCAATCGTAACCATGATATTGTACATAATACAAAACAGACAACCACATGTATTGAGCGCAACACAAACCTCATTGTACTTTGTTAACATGCACGACCACACATCTTCTTCTAAACATGGAGGGGCGGTCGGGTAGCCTAGTGGTTAAAGCGTCCGCTCGTCACGCCGAAGACCCGGGTTCGAATCCCGACATTGGTACAATGTGTGAAGCCCATTTCTGGTGTCCCCCGCCGTGATATTGCTGGAATATTGCTAAAAGCGGCGTAAAACCAAACTCACTCACTCACTCTAAGCATGGACCTGACTACATATCGCTAATTATTTCTCAAAGTAGTCAACATCTTTTTCTTTCTTATTGCTTTAATTTTGAAATACATTTGCCGACCTTGGAGACGAGCATATCTCTATTTCTACACAAATATGATAAAATATGTAAACGCATTATGTTTATAGCATTTAAAGCATGATGCGTACTTGAAGAGGTACACAATCATTGTTATGGAGCCGGGCGTAAAGAAAGGTTAGGTTATATTGTTTAGGAATACTGAGAAATTGATTCCTTTATTGTCGGGGACACTAATCAATGCTAACCTTTCGACAATGTCTAACCACTTGTTATCAGATACAACACCTTGCCTCTAAATCACCACAAGCTTCTTGGCGGGTCGTCGTAACGGTGTTAATATTTGTAGTTAATTATTTGAGGATCAACAGCAAAGGTTAGCTTTGCAAACACGGCAGTTGTTAGAGATTGTGTGCTACGCGCCCTTTGATGTATCTAGCGATAAAACGCCTCAGCCAATGGTATTTGTTTTTGCTTCGCCTTGTGCATGTGTTACGCAACAAGGACAACTTGTTCCTTTCCATGACCACATTGTCATTCTCTTGAGAGAATTTTGTAAAGCTACCACCGAGTAAGATTCACCGATTTTTTTACACTTCCTTCCGAGGACAACTTCAAAGGCTTTCGGTTTTGTGACATGAGCACACCTGTAGAAAAAGTTTGTTTGTTTGTTTGTTGTTTAACGCCGCACTCAGCAATATTAGAGAGATATATCACGGCGGTCAGTAAATAATCGAGTCTGGACCAGGCAACCCACTGATTGACATCATGAGCATCGATCGACGCAATTGGGATACGATGACATGGATCAAACAATGATCACCGTGCGGTACATTTGGCACACGAAGAAAATATACTGAGTGAAATATTGACGATTTAATTGGGAAGAAAAAGGCCTTTGAATTGTTTTGAACATTTCCTGCAACCATAAACGAGAAATAGTTTCCGTGTGAAGAGGTTCTCACTCACTAAATCAAATCTCATCTGACCATGTACTAGGAGAATGGTCGACTCTGATTGGTCAACAAGAACTATCAAACCACACTAACATATGTCTAAATGTAATGAAAAGGTCTTTTCGGATTCCAGGCACCATATAACGTTGCCGATGCCGATGAACCAATGACGATGGTAAGGCACGTTATGAATATCAAACTAAAGTTCAGCTGCAGCATCTACAGTGCGTATCATGACATAACCGATGTATCTTCCATACAAAGCGTATCTCGTCTCAGGGATCAATATCACTATACTAATAAGCGATGCTATTTGCTGTTTGATCGGATTAAGGTAAGGTTGGATTAAGGTAAGGATATCTATCATTCAACTAGAGATGGGGGAAAGTCGCATTAATATTAAGTCGCATTGTTGGCTAGGGGGCAGCAGTCGTATTAATTTGGAGACGCATTCATTTCAAAATTAAAGTGTACTTCTGTAAGTTTCACTTTCAGAGTATGAAAAACAGCTGATGACATGGAATGGAACCAGCAGGTCTTACATAAACTTCCTTCATGGCGCAGATAGTTAGTTTTACAACCGCTACCTAATGCCGTCTTGGAAATATATTCTTATCAGATCATGGAGGGACATATACAGGGATGTGTAGAATGCGCCTTTTCCTGAAGCAGTAACACACCTGACTTGAGCTTTTTCTTGAGTTTTTCCTTGATAGCCTTCTCACCTGACTTTGTTATTTGGCATAGTACTGTCCATTTATTGGTTCAGAATAACGAATCCTTTGCCAACTGACGACATCCGCTTGTACGTCTTTGGTGGGATGAGCCCAAACGTTTTTACTGTTAGCTCTTATTTTTTGCCTCTGGATTAAAGTGACAAACTCAGGTCTGATACTGGGTTATATTTCGCATTAAAGTTGTCACGATTCTGCTGATAACTGCTCAACATGCCCCTGAATATATCCAGTCAGATCAGCTTCTGATCTGGTGTCAATATTCTGAGTATACCCATGTTGCATGTGTCAGTCAAGATGGAATGAAGTGACCCTAGGCTGATCCCTATAGTGTCAGCGCTATGCCGAATTACGAAACGTATGAAATGTAGCACGTCGGTCAACCAGGCAGTGGACAACCTCCACTTGAGTTTCAGTCGTGGCAGCTTTAGGACAACCAGGCATAGAATCATCTGCTGTGCTCCTTCTGCCTTGCTTACAACCAGCAGCCAAATTCTTAGCTTAATACGAAGGCCGGTCAGCCCCAAGCATGGACCAACTCTTTGCCAGGGCCCTCATCCAGGGCAAGCCCAGACATGCCCAAGGATAGAACCACCGACCTTCCGCTCTTCGGGCAGACGCTCTATCCACTAGACCACGGAGGCGGTCACAAAGCGACAAAACCATTGCCATAACCATATCAAATCTCTGAAATAGTGATGATACCCGGTGAAAAGGCGATCGTATCCTGTCCTACGGTGGCACCTGTCACAAACACGTGCACAGAGCGTGCTCGATTGTACCTTAAAGGTTGTGCAATGTATAGACACCAAGGGCTTGAGCTTCAGGAGTATTGCTCGACATAAAGGGAAAGTTGACTATTGGAAAGTTGAAGTCATCCCTTTTGTCACAGAATTCATTGCAGTGAGAGTTGTTTGGGGACGAACAATCCTCAGAGTACTGGGTACCTTGGCTGGGCCCCCAGACCGCATCAGGATCACATGTAGGCATCATTGAACGAACCCTCTTCATGCGATCCTTATTGTTTCCATCAGTTGTGTTTCCCGAGTGACAAAGTGATGAAGGATAGTGAGAACATTGTACATGTATGGAATGTCGTCCCTCTCAGAGTTTGCAGAGTTAGAATTTATATATTACCCTCGCTGCCACTGCCTGAGTGATAATATAACCAGTGTTCTACTTAAGTACTAGATTAGGTGATACAGGGTTCATAGAAACAGAACTAATTGGGTGACTCCCCATTTCGCAGACAGCTTAAATACACAAAAGACAAGAAGAATACACTGCAAAGTACTACCTTCCTATCGCTTCATTGAAGTGGTATCACAACCAGATACCCCACTTTGTAGACATCTGTCAAGAAAATAATGAAACATGAGTTTCTCCATATTTTTAATGTCATACAGATGGTCATGTTACACATGATAGCCAGGACACATCATCCAACGTACCGAGTTATTCTTGTCATAGTTGTGGTAAATGTTTCAAAATGAACATTAATGTGGATATTTCATTGTAATAATTGCACTTTATGTTTTATCATCTTTCAACAATTTAAATTGTTTCAGACTGTCTTGGATGTCAGAATGTCTGGCCCGAGACATTAACACTGCCCCCCAAACTGTCTTTCAAAACGAATATATTTCTTAAACCGTGTTCGTAGGGTAGGACATGCTTACCCTGTTTGAGAACACCTATTGAAATCACTAATTTTCAGTGATTCATTCACACAATTTTCACAGCTATTTTGCCCTTTACGCCATGTGAAATTTGTTTCGGCGGATAATCTCACTGGTTATCATCTTGCTTTAACAATTTATATTGAAGAATATTTATGGATTTTATGGATATATTTTATGGATAACAACTTCTGGTTTATTGCATATAGCGACGTTGATTCAAACAGCTTGATATTGTAGTAATTCTGCCCATTAAACACGCACATTATATAACGTAATCATATTCTAAATCACTGGCCAGTCATTTCACATTTGTAGTCTATATGACCCTTTTGTAAAACGTTAATTTTGAACAAAACAGTAACGTCTCAACAAGAGCAAACCATACATGAGAACGGTAAACGTAGGAATAGTGAAATACTTACGTCAATAGGTATGGCCTGTGATGCATTACTGACGTAGACTCCGCCGATTTCGCCGAGCACCGCCTGGAACACACTGTGTGTGCAGCAGGGTCGGGGTATGTGGGGGAGGGCTGACGTCGTGGGTGCAGGTATGTGTGAGAATGGTGTGGTCGTGGGTCGAACCCATCCTATCATTGACATCAGGGTAACAAGAAGTAACTGAAACATTGTCCTTCTAGTTATTATGAACTCGTTGTTCTTCTCAACCGTCACTGTAGAAACTGACACTGAAGTAACGTTCTTCGCTGTTACTTTATGTCCTCTGAGGATATGATTTCCTAATGTTTGACACGCAGACCACCTTCCACCTTCACGCAGTATTTAGTTGGACGTGTCCTGTGCCGACTTCCTTCAGTGTCGACTTGGTTTACCGCCCTCGTCCGCCACTAGAATAACTACCAGAATTACGATACACAGATTAAGACTGCTAGCAATGACTTTTCCGTTTCTAAATGTCACAAGTGCCGTTCAGGAAACAAATGTGATTCCTCGTCACTAGAATGTCCGTGTTGAAGACCTGGAGCACTGCAAACTGGCGTCCATCCAATGGGCAGAGATGTTGGTAATGCTTCTATCGATATGAAATCACTACGTTGTACCCAAAAATCAAATCGTCCTGTGATTCCTGTTTGATTCCTGGAAGTATCTATGGGCGCTTCTGCAACAGACGACTCAAACTCGGAATGTGATGAACATCCCTCAGTGTCAGCCCATATAAGTGAGACATGTGATCAAAGAAACTGTTTTCTTAGAACAATGCACCGGCCAGATATATTGAATCAACTCATTAGAATCTTCGATTTGTGCCCACTGACTTTCACTGGGTAACACAAATAGTCCGACACTTCGCCAAGAGCCACGTGTTCAGCTGAGCCGTTGTTTTACAGTACTAAACGAGAGCCCGCTCATGCAGCCTATAGGCCTCGAGGGTCGTGGATCGATTCCATGTTGACTCTCTGCGAATTCGACAAATAAGAACCTGTCTGTTACTGGTCAGTACGCGATGAACTTGCTGGAAATAACAATGCTAGAATGTTTTACAGAAGGAGAATCTGAAACAGTCAAAAGATACTGTACAAATGCAATTATTTAAGCTCGGGGTATGTATTGTCAGAGACCGGTGACGCCAGGCTAGAGCAAAGTACATGTACCTTACTGTAAGAAGTCGCACAGTTTCCTGTATATATAGTGACGGATCGTGGTTTATGTACCTGTGAAAACAAAATATCAAAGGGAAGCCAAAATATGTAAGTAAAAATGTCTTTGCACATTCGACGTGAAAGGCGATTACCATATACCGATATGAACATATCATAGATGGTGATACATTTTAACATTAAAGTGTAATTTAACTGCTGATACAATCTCAAAATAGGTAGACTATGTTAGGAGTAACGTAGAGTGAATGAGTGGGTAGCGAAGCAATCTACAATCCAATCACGATGTGAAGCACTAGATACGGGCTTCACACATTGTACCAATGTGGGGGTGGAACCGGGTGTTTGTCATGACGACGCGACACTTTAACCAGGCCATGCACCGTCCCCGGTCACCGGCTGAATATATAGATAAGTGTCCCTTTACGTGTTTCCTGCTGCGCCGCGCCGTAATGTGGAACTCTCAAGTCTACATACATGACACGAATACAATGATGTGTTGAGTCTGTGGTAATGAGATGGGGAACTTACTGGTACATATCTTCTACTACTGAAGCGGTAATAATCCACGTGCCTCCATCACGAATACTTCATATCAAATGCAATCACGGTTTAATGTTAAAGCGTAATCTTTACACAGCTGTGTTAGATAATACTTTAAACCACACATTCTATTGTGTAACCATCATCAAACATTTGATTCTTGGATAATGGTTTTAGCCAGTTGAAAGATTTCAGTGTTGGGTCAGATGTATTTGTAAATAATGAATGTGTTCCAAACTTTAAATCATTAAACACTTAAGAATTACGTACATATATACATGTGTATAAACGTAGGCTCATCCATGGGGACAATATGAACCGTGCAGTGCACTCACAGATACCGAATACATACATTGTGATGACATCGGTCTTTTTTCAAATGAAAACCAAATCAATATGCATCAATAGGGGTGGTGATGTTTCATATATATGTGTATCCTACACCTTATAGGACTTTGATTATATTATTGCGTCACCCATGTTCATGTTCATTTTTATAAATCAAAGAATAATTGTGTAGAAATATGAAACACGATTTATCATCAATCAAATCCATCTCAACTTTGAAATGTAATGAAAAACAAAATTCTAACCTTGACCATGAGAAGAGTAATATTAACATTATGAAACTATTTGAACAAGCCCTCTTAGCAATGACTAGGAGGCAATCAATGCTTTGATGTAATCTGTTAGAATAAATAGCAATGCAGGTGCATTCAAGCAAACACTCTGACGTCAATCGTTTGCAGGAGGTCAACATCACGAAGCATTGTAGACAAGGGTTTTTGATCCCGACATTGAGATTGCAGTTTGTTAACACTGGATCGACTCAGTTGGGTTTTTTTGTTTTAAAAACCGCAGAGAGAAAATGCAAATTTGCGGACATGTCTCCTACCTTGTAACACTTAATCAGCCATGTTTTCTGGCATTGAATTCTTGACATGATCTTTGCATATTAGTCATATTGTGAATGGTTGTGACAGTGGTTGACATTGAATTCATTCTGAAGACAAGACAATTATTCATTTTTTTATCACAAAGGCAGAGAGTGTTCTTAAGGATAACTTAATTACATTAACCTAATGACGACGACGTTTTTTTTAATTTGCAAAGCAAACTACGACATTCTTCGTAAATTGAAAACAGGACCTTGAGACGTTTAATCGTTGCACTTGATAAATATCGACGACTCGATTTCTAAGCCTTTTCCAATGACATATTTTCGACATTTCGAAAAACGTCCTCAATAAATTTCTGAGCATTTAAGTCACATTTTATATTTTAGTACAAAAACGGAAAACGCTTCAAGTAATTACATATAATTATACCACAAACCTCTCCACAGAAAAGTAATTCTATATATATGTGATAGTATCTTAATCAGCAAATATAAATTTTGATATGCATTGCGTAACTATTCTTCGTTTGTGTTTGAAGTGTTACGTTTATGTATGAAGCAACTCGCGGTTTCAAATTGTATCTGTCGGGACTAAAATGATTGATAGGCAATCCTTCAAAATTTGTTATAACATCATAAATAATGTTGATCTTATCAATATTCACTTTTCAGAAAGCTAACAAATTTACAAAAGACTAAGAAAATTCTAAATGAAAAATCAGCCAACGGAATGTTATTCGTTTTAAGCCAAGGTGGAAAATTACACCTGTCTGTTGACTGTATTTTAAGACTTTTTGATACTTTAGTCATTCCTGTTCTTCTTTATGGCTGCGAGGTGTGGGGTTTTGAAAACCTATCTCAAGTTGAAATATACATTTATGACTTTTTTAATAATTATGTTCACAAAAGAATAGTATTCTTAATTTTATGATTTTTGTAGATCTTGGTAGATACCTACTTGTCAACTTAGTTAAAAGCAGAATTATCATTTTCCGGCTAAACTCAAAATGTTTTTATCCCTTTTGGTGAATACTCTTATTTATAATGACAGTATTTTGGGAAAATGTAATCACAAACGATATGTTTGACCAACTAGGATTAAGTTACATATGGATATAACAGATCCTTCAAAGTATTTATCTGTTAAAAATGCTTGCTAATACTAAACAGAAAAATATCTATAAGCAAACATGCATAGGAAACATAGAAAATTCTTCGAAAGAGGTAACATATAATCTATCGAAATCTCTAGAATTAAAATTTGAGCAGAATTTATTTTATTTGCAAGAATCTAACTGGCGAGTTTTACAAAAAATCGGGACATCACATCACTATCTGCCGGTTGAGACCAGGCGATGGAAGTATATTTCTCTGATGGATCGGAAATGCAATCTCAATGACTTCGGAGATGAATTTCACTATCTATTTGTGTGTCAAGCATTTGGAAAAGATAGAAATGTTTGTTCGTAATTTAATGTCAACACAATGTATACACAATTAATTTTCTTTTTAATAGCAATATGAAAATTTGTAAAGGAACATTAAGAAAAATATCTAAAGTTTGCTTTGAAATTATGGCTATATTTAGAAAATGAATTGTGTGTGAGGAAAACACTGAATTACTCTGTTTTCTGTATGTATAGTGTGTGTATATACTTGTCACCACCAAGCGCAGATGTGTACATGTATATAGATTATACATAATTTAGTTAATAACTGCAATGTAAATATTGTACCTCTTATGCCACAGACTGTGGTCTGGGTTTAATGAAATTCAGGTGAGTTAACTATTTCTACAGAGCATTAAAGTATCACAGAAAAATTCCATTGAGACTTAAATAAATACTAAATACTAGCTGTGAAATACTACTATTGTGATGTGTGAACGGGTTCGTCATTAGTAGATATGAACCACGTTTGAAGTAACGTGTGGTCATATTTATACCAACAGAGACCTCGAGGGGGGATTTTCAATAAGCAAATAGGTTGTTGTTATAAGTCTCCCTCCGAACGCAGCTCATCGGCAATAGTATTTACCAAGTAACAATAGTTGTCTTCTTTATATAAACAACTATGGCTGACGACTCATGCAAGGGTATCAAAAACAACAATTAGCACGTGTCCTTGTATAAATAAACCTTTTGAACGAAACCGCCCAAAACTACTTTGTGAATGTTATAGTATGTTGCCTGGTGAGAGTCACGATGGTGTCTTTTATATTTCAACATTTCCATTGCACAACGCATGTGCATTGACAAGGCGACAATACATTGATTTAATATCCCTTCCCAATGTTATATTTATAGCACGACTGTAGTGCCAAGATGCATGTTCTGCATTTCTCAACTACCTCTGACGTGTCACACTGAACAGCTAACCACCTGGGAAGCTTCCAATGCTCTATTTAAATACATTTACTTACATACCAACCATATATGTACCCCCACGGTCAGTATTTGATCAATACATGATACCCGTGAAGAACCGGGGTAGAATTGGTCTTCAGTAACCCATGCTTGCCGTAAAAGGCGGGTGGTCAGGCTCACTGACTTAGTTTGATGCATGTCATCGCATTCCAATTGCGTAGATCGATACTCTCAATGTCAACCACTGAATTATCTGGTCCAGACTCGATTATTTACAGACCGCCACGATATAGCTAGAATATTGCTGTGTACGGCGTTAAACAATAAACAATAAATCATTTACATGTCTGACCTTATTGAATGTATCTTTATTGTTTTAGAAGCGCATTGGTCAAACTACATCTTCGTTTAAGTTTTGCATTGTACTAGGGGCTAGTTGATCTGAAGAAAGGTATCATATAACTTATATTTTGTTTTGGCAATTCCGACTTTATCATACGCATGTGGTCTCGAACATAAAATGTCATTCCAAAATTCATTTCCCTGAGTAACGGTTTACAGGTTATGTCAGATGTATTCTATATTTCTGGTGTCGAAGTAAGTCAAATTAAATGTTAAAACTGTAAGTCCTTCTTGACGTATCTCCCAGGGTCCCGTGCTCGGAGAGGTCCGTGTGTGTTATATGTATTACTTGTATATGACGTTTCTGCACCGACCATATATCTGCACCTATCATTATTCACAATCACTGTGTAATGAAAATGAATACAGGAGAAGGCCACGCAAGTGTGTTACGTGTACCTAATCCGCTTGATTATTCGCAATAAAATATATTTAAATAATTTTAAAAACTCGGAGAAAGTAATTTTAAACACGCTGAATACATTTATGCATGTTTTTTCTCTGTTTGATACTTTTGACTTGTTATTGTATTTACAGGTACTGAGCGCATGTAGATGCATTAATGCGGTTCTGTCGCGAGTGTGGTAGTTGTGGGTTCTGATTATGATACATATTGATGTTATTTTGAGTTTTCCATTAAACCCAGTGATGCAGTACTCGTAGTGTGGTCCTCAAGTGTTATGCAATCCCTGACTCACCAATTCATTTGTCAATAAAGATGTAGTCTCTCAGCCTTGTGGCGGTGAACTCAGAGACCAAAAAAGATATGAGAAATCTCTGATATTTTTCTCAATTAACAAATGACCTTCTTCGATATCAACTTAGTTTATGTGGCGTTGTTCGTGATTCAAGGCGAATTTGGAAGAATGCCACTTCGCTCAGAGGTATATAAGAGAATGATACATTTCTAGCATAAAACAGCAACTAGTAATCAGAAGCTCTCACACTTAGTATATAATTATATTTTTAATGATTCAAGAATTAATGGACATGGTAATAAAAATAAGTGGTTAGAATGTATAACTATTCTACTAAACTGTCGTGTTTTATGTCACGTGATGGAGATCATTACGACGAAGTGGCTCACAACCCGTGTCGAAGATACTTTAAAGGACCAGTTTCTTCAAGAATGGCGATACAATATCATATCTAGTTCCAAAGGAAATCTATATAGGTATATCAAACCTGATATACGATTGTCTAACAAAAGCACTAAAAACTAAAGCGATTATGTAAACTTATACTCATGAATGAGTTCTAAAACTCTTCATCCAAGGCCTCATATACAATGTCTTAAATCATTTATGTATATTAATCTAATGTTAATTATATATTGTACCCTCGTACCACCGCGGGAGGTCTTGAGTAATTTTAATCTGAATCTGTTACACTGAGTGTTAATTGACAGGTAACCTAGTACCTCCCAGTCGGCATATCCCGTCATGCAGAGGGGTGGGTGAGTGGAGGGTTATGGACGGGGATGGACGTGACATACTGGGGTTATGAGGGACTTCATCAGTAAGGTCGGTGGTACAAACATCCGTTGTCAAGTCAGATGTGATGAAGATAGCTGTGTGGACGACTGCGTGCGGTCACTGTCCTGTTTGTCTTGGGCAGAATCGATGTGGGCTAAGACCCACGTTACTGTATGATTGCTTCAATTGATCTCTCTGTTTATAGATACTTTGCTGGTTGCCAGGGTACAAAATGCTGAATTAGGGGAAAACGCAAGCTTTTAAATCACCAAATTGTAGCATGTGTTGACATTATTGTTCAACAAGTATGACGAAAACGATAAAAGACAAACCTTTGATGATTTAGTTAAGAGATTGAACAATATTTCCCCTTTTTGTTATAAAAGTCTGTTAGAGGTCTGTGATGTGTATAATTAAAGCAAGCATTCATTCTTTTATATCATAAACACCACTAACGTATGTTTATGTTTATCAACCAATTTCGTTATGGTGTGTTTATTGATATACTAACCATTGCATACTTTGTTTATGGCATTAGAAATTATAAGAAATATGTTAATGAAAACAAAATGCCCAAATCATTTCATCACAAACATCTGAAGGAAAATAACTTGATCGGCAAAACTACTCCTGTCAGTTAACATCTTAAGATAATTTTCACCCACAAAACATCTGTGACTAAAGTAATTAGAAATATATAGTTTTTAAAACAGCTGTTAAATCTTAAATAAAATAACGTTTTGATAAAGAACATGTACAAAAACACACAAAGCACACAATGTGCCCGATGAAAATAATGTTATGTGAAAGGTATTAAATCTGCCCATAATACCAGACTGTCACAAACCTTGAGAGCAGGAAGCCTATTAAGCCATATTACACCATGCAGATGTTTAACGTCAAGGGGGAAAAAACTCGGTTGAGAACAAAGGCGTCTACCGGACGAGAGGATAGCTTTTTTTAATGTAAAATTTACTTCTTTTTCAAGAATGACGGAATCACCAATGCTATAAGATACGTTTTCAACGTAAATTTCGCCAAGCATTACGCGATAAACTGTGGTTACAAATTTATCAAAGAAGTGCGAGATAATTTACATTGTATGGAGGTACTCAGAAAGAGATTGCCACATTCTCTCAGCTCGCCTCAAGCTTTGTTGGAAGCTGTAGTTTATTCAAAACGTTGTAATCAATGTTTTATTATCCTGTTGTTTGTTTATGTGTGAAATAAACAAGGTCACTCGTTTTTTAGTGTGCTGTATCTAGTAACAAAACTCAAACGATATTTCGTGATGCAAAACGACTACGGAAACACTGCCATATATCCCATAAACGCCGTTTTTGTTCTGTAAAGAATATATTGAATTTTATGCATTTGGTTTACGTTGTACTCGTTTTCATTTGCTATTTTTTAAAGAAATTACAATTAAAACTACATAACACATAACATGAGATATAAAGTGTACACTTTATTCAGTTAATACATCAGTTGTTGTCAATTTTGGTCAAAACAGATCCTTCAATGCTCGAACTGCCCTGCCTACGACTCCGACCTGTAAATCAACACAGAAGGACGTGACAATGATGTGATACATTTAGGACACAAGTGACAGACGAGCTTGGAAATGCCAACACAAGTTTAAAAAAGATAAATACAGACAAGATTTGTCAAAAGTATTTACACAAAAAATGTGTCTGACTTTTAAGTAATTCAAACACTTTGAAACACTACACAAACTGAGTGTGAACCAGACAGTTATTGATATAATAAGGGATAGAGTGTGGTTTACAATAAACGCCCTAAAGCACAATTTAATGCCCACACGGCATGTAGTTTGATAAAATGTTAATCACGGGCTTATTACGAGGACTGGTAAAAAGGTTCTAAACCCGACTAACTTTCAACTTTGGGTCATAACAAAGTGAACTACCCAATGTAGTACATTGTTTGAGTAGTTCATTGCAAGTGTATTTGGTCTGTTGAGGCCGTTTTTATATTAGTGACAGCCAGTTGAACGTGATAGGGGTCCAAATGTACACAGAAATGAAAAAGATAGAGTTGCTAGGAGTCATCAAGTTTTTGACTTTAGAGAAAAGTACTCCACAAGAAATTCATGACCGCAAGTCACAAGTGTATGGAGACAAGTGCCCTAGCTATTCCATCGTTAAGCATTGGATAGCTATGTTTCAGGCTGGGAGAATGAGCCTTGATGGTGACCCAAGGTCTGAACGTTCCTCAACTTCCATCTATGAAGATTCAATCAAGGAGATAGAAAACTTATACTGTCAGATAGAAGTATTACCATTGGTGACACTTGAGGAAGCCACACGTCTCAGCCATGGATCCATTGAAGCTATTATGCATGAACATAAACAGATGAATAAGATATCTGCTCGTTAGGAGCCAAAGTTTCTAAACTCTGATATTCAGGAAACACGAACTGACATTGCCAATGGAAATGTAGAGCTAATTGAGGAGGATTTCGTCAAATTCAAAAGGAGATTAGTAACGGGTGATGAAACATGGGTACACCACTATGATCCCGAGTCAAAACGTCAATTCATGGAATGGCACCATTCCACTTCTCCGGAACCGAAGAGATTCAAGTCTTCAACATCAGTGAGGAAAGTTATGGCCACACAAGGGTGTGATCCTTGTTGATTACTTAGAAGTCGAAACACGATTACCGGTGCCTACTATGCTGATTTCCTTCATCGCCTGAGAGATTCTATCACAGAAAAGCAGCGAGGAATGGTGACTGCTGGTGTTCTACTACTTCATGAAAATGTCTCTTCTCACACATCTCATCTTGCAAAGACTGCTGCGCGAGAACGTGAGATTCCTTACCCTCCATACTCGCCAGACCTGGCAGCAAGTCATTTCCATCTGTTTCCTAAACTGACAGTGCCATGACGACAACGACGACCTTATAGGGTGTATTCTGAAAACTTCTCATGATTTGAACTGAAAAGCTTCACTATTAACATGAGAAGTGTATTGTAAAGCAGGGAGATTATGTTGAAAAATAAAATTAAAAACTGTTTCACAATTGTTGGTCTTTTTGCTAGGGTTCGAACTTTTTTACCAGCCCTCGTACTTGCATATGTTGGGGTAGAAGAGGTGGGTGGTTGGAGGGTGGGTGTCAAGGTGGTATTTGAAGTAAATTCTTTGCAGCATCGTTTATGTTCAACATTTGACTGATTGAGGAAGAACCTCGAGCTTATTTTTTTTCTTTTGTATCTTTTTGACCAGATTAAAAACCGTAACTCCGGCTGCCATGCTTTATGGTTCCATCTTTACAGGATTAAAGTTCGTATTTACATTTGTGGTAGGGGGGTACTCTTAGCGTACACTATTGGTATCTTTTAGGTATACAAATACTCATATAAAAAATATGTCAGTGAACACTGACCGTGCTGCCTCCTTGCTGGCAGTTTGTTGGGATGGTGAACACACTGCGGTCCTTGATGCCAGGCTGGAACGACGTGATGAAGTAGACAACGTCGGTCTTGGCTGGAGACAGAACATAGTCATTATAGTGGCACAGACGAGGCTGTGTCTATCTATAGCAGTACACGTTGAAGAGGTTATAGCAACAGCAAATGTCAAATTCATGGTAACAGCAATCGACTATAGTTCTTAAGATAGATCATATTTAGCAAAACGCACATTGACATATCATCAATGAAGCATGTAGAACGGAAACAGACAAAAACTAAAATGTACCTCATAAAAGTTTTGAAGTGAACATCATGACGTGAAATAAACTGCTATGTGGCAGTGGATCGGAGATTGTTGAATTTTAGTGTTTCAGTGGCAGCAAAGGATTGCCTAGAAAAGTGTCTGGTAATCAGTATTCGTTGACAATCACGTGCGCTTCAACCAGATTCCCCGAGTCCATTCCATTGAGGAATCTTTAAGGTTTTGATCAAGTTTCCCATCATGGTTGGCTTACCCGAACTAGTTCGAACGATCAAGGGAAACATTTCATGTCAGGACTGTTTCAGCAGGTAAAATATGAGTTAGGAAATAAGACAGACACAAGATCCATTGGAGATATTTTTTTATCAGACTCTTATACGATTTGCTGCTATGAAAGTAGGATCAAGGAATTTATTTGTTGTAGTTAGCAGCTGGGGGGTCTTTGCCGGAAACATTGGATTCAATCCCCTTGAGTTAATATTTACATGGTCACTTGGGCATTTGAAAGTCAATATACCATCAAAGCTTAATGAATAATCCGATTTGAAGTTGACAGGAAAAAACAAAATTATCGCAATACAAAAAAATAATTCAACTGTGACGCAAAATTCTGAAGTCCTGGCGATAGGGTTTTGGTGATGTTACCCATTCCTGGTCAATCTGTGAGGGTTAGATACCATGGTCCTCGTGTGATTGATAAGCAAGTAAGTAAAACTGACTGTACAGACTCCAAGCCGCCGAAAACGAAAAGGTTGTGTTTTTTAATATGATAAAGGAATATCATGATAGGTCTGAAAATGTACCACCAAATGTATCTGCTATATATGATGAGTGCAGTTCTAAATGAACCAGTGAGCAGAGCATGTGGAGTTTGATGATTTGGGTGAGAAGGCTAGCCCCGTGCATAAACAATCTGGGGTGTTAATTCTTGATGTGAAATTAGTTCCACTAACTTAAGAGCAACATACATTTCTCAGATTTAATTCACCAGATTTAGGTCAGCGTATCGCTTGGACCTACTCACGTAGGAGCATCCGGAATGAAGTCAAATACAAGTAGGTGTTGAAAAACTAAGTAAGGACGTTTCGCTGTAGGTTCGCTTTTCGCTGTAGGTTCTAACACCGTTCTGCAACACTTTGATGTGTACTTGTGAACTACTGAGTATCTGAACTGTTCACTGATCATAATCCGGTGACTTTTCTTCATAAGATGAGGAGCGGTCGGGTAGCCCATTGGTTAAGGCGTTCGCTCGTCACGCAGAAGACGGGGTTTGATTCCCCATATGGGAACACTGTGTGAAGGATCATTTCTGGTGACCCCCACCGTGATATTGCTGGAATATTGCTAAAAGCGGCGTAAAACAACAATTACTCACTCACTCACTCACTCACTCACTCATACCATGAAGAACCAAAATCGGAGAAAAATACATAATGAGTCTTTTGCAAGAGTCTAATCTTCAGATCAAGAACATCAAGGCAAAGACAATGCAATTATTTGTACTCCTAGGGTTAGCTGATTGGAACATAACATACATATTATGTATTTTATGCTCATTCAATAGAATCTGAAGCTTTCTCCTTTAACTTGTCGATTTTAAAAAAAGGTTTTCATTGAATTTAAACTGAAATCTTGAAATGTATTATCCCTTACTACATGTATAACAACAGGAAGGTACCGTTATTCATCGTGCCATATGATGCCTCAACCATAGGGACGCAGCCGTCCGCCGTGACGACAAGGTTGACGACGTTGTCGGAGCCAGGTTTCTGGTACTGCCATGTGTTCACCTTCAAAGCCGTGTCGCCGTAGCCGAATGATGTGTTGCCAAGGAAACGGGAAATGGCTGATCGTGATACACACATTTATGTAGTTAGGCCCTTATGAATAACAAATATTAGAACTACTATTTCGTGTCGAGAGCGTCATGAAATTATGTCTGTCACATTATATCCGGCATCGTTAACTCAACAGATAATAATTGGAAAGAAGAGACTATAAGATTGTATTCGTTATTAAGACACTTGACCGATATTACAATAAGGACATTAAAGGACCTACCAGGTACACATGGCTCTCTCATTTTTTCCGTGGTGTCCAGAACTGTACACCCTGTGTCTGTTTTCACGTACTCTTTACCCTAAACATATGTACAGTTTTAAAATAAGGGACACCAGTTCCTTCACAGTTCGACCAATGTTGTCGTCTGGATGACACAACAATAAAGCAATCGGAAATGTAAATAAAACTGTCACTCAGTGGAGAACGTGTTATGCATGAAAGCTATCGCATAGTTCATAACATAACGCCTAGCTAATCGGCCTTTGTTTATGCCAAATAGTATACAAAACAACATATGATATATATACCCTGCTTTATATACATATACTTAACCAGCGCCACAGCACTTTAGGCCACCTTGCTATGTAGTCAACAGTTCAAATGTCAACAGCCACTGTGAGTGGCTAAACTTAGGAAATTCGGATTCAAACATTTTGAACAAATTCAGATGTTATCGTTGTGAGAACAATTATGTGACGTTTCAGCTTCATTGGTCAAGTGATATATCCGAGGAAATGTTTATAATGCTTTTTGAGAGAATATATAAGACGATATATGTCCACACATGAAAACCGAACATAGATGTGTTGAGTCCCACTACGAACTACACATATTCCAAATTTCATTAAATTGTGAAAGAGATGGCTGAATAGTGGCCATGAGAAGCTTCAGCTTTCAGTATGGTCGAAGTTAAAAGGCCAGCTCATGGTCAAAATATACAATACCGCAATACCGTACGGAACATATGTGTTCGGCCCCACGACTAACTACATATATTCCTAATTACATAGAGTTGCGAACGAAAACGACTGAGTAATGACCATAAGAAAACTCTTTCAATATGCAATCACTGCATTGGCCCAGTGATTTCTGAGTGGATGGTGTTTACAGTAAGGGGCAGGCCATTTGATGGTAGGGTACTGCCGGTTTTTTCTTCATTGTTGGGGTCTGAGATGTTTTTTCAGCACATTTCAATTTCTACCCATGGAAAGAATGTTAAAAGTTGTTCACTGTTCACTAAAACATAATAACAGTACAGTACAGGTGTAGGTGATTTTGAAACAGTATAATAGAACATTTTTATGTAATAGCATATAAAAGACAACGTTTTACAACACCATGTGTAGCAAAACCCAGTCAACTTGTTTGTACTTACATCTAATGGAGAAATGTACTTTTCAATTACTAAGATGATGGACATAAGTAAGCATAACTTTTGATGTAAACTGACGAAAAATAGAAACGTTACCAAACTGAAAGTTGGACACACTGGGCCCAAACCCCGAATAGTGTTACAAAATGGTTGAGAATCAACCGCCGTAACAGAACCACAACAGTTTGTTGAGCAATGCACGTGCTACATTACCCAGATCAGTGACACTTGAGTTTGTAGAGAAACCTTTGCTGCACTTGCAGCATACCAGCTTACAAAGATATGGATATAAAAAGAACGATCACAACCAAACCGTTGGGCAGTTACAAATAACATACTGAGGTTAATGGTACTGAAAGAACAAGCCATTGGTATTATACACCTAGAAGCAACGCATGCCCAGTTAGCCGAGGCACTCTCCCATTGTCATGGTTAAAAAACGTGATAGCTCCTACCACTTTGCCGAGATTATAGACGCCTCCATGCAGTTACCAAGCCTATATCATTCCCTCTACCACCTCTGCAAATATGTTTAGTGTGCTTGACTGTGCTAGTGGATTTTGGCAAACACCACTCCATTCAGATGTAGAACACAAATCGGCCTAAATTACACCCGAAACAATTAAAACTAAGCAAATGTAAATTTGCGACAAAAACAAGTCACCTACCTAATGGCATATCTTCAGCAAAGATGGATAGCATGTCGATCTTTCAAAAACAGATTCAGTCACACACATCCAACCCTCTAAAAATGTCCATGATGTGTGTCATTTCTTAGATTTGGCCTCGTATTATCACAAATTTGTGAATCTTCCAACAATTGCCAACAGGCCTTCGAAAAGCAAAAGCAAGCCCTTATGACAGGCCCCCATCCTTGCATATCCCGACCAAACCGAACCCTTCATCCTCACAACTGATGCATCTCAAACTGCAATAGGGTACATAGGTGATTCTCATGGAATGGAATGATGTTGTTAATTCATGATCCATACAAGTATCTTCCTGTTCTGTTTTTAGGAACAAACAATGTTGATTGGTAACGTTTCTTTTGCTCGTCAGTTTCCAAGTAAGGGTATATGATGTTTAATGGTCATTTCCCATCACAGTCAAAAACTTTTATGGCCACTTGAAATGGAAGATTTGAAATGATTATTAATGAATAAGGGTTACAGGCATACCGTCTCTTATGGCTATGTCTCTGTCAAAGATTATGACTTTGTTCATGAAATTTAGTGGTCAAAGTTGTTGTAAAAAAACGAACATAAGTGTTGAGCCCTACTATGAACTAAATAAGAAAACGGCTGACCAGTGTTTCAGTATGGGTCAGTAATGACCAAGAATGAGTTTTTTTTAATATCATTGAAAGTAAGCAGCAGCCTTTTAATTCAATTTGACGTTATTTTGATGTTGTATCGTCCGGTTAGCCCTGGGTTTCTCTTGTCGATGGCGATCTGTTGCTTATAATACAACTGGCCTCGGTCAATGTGCACTCAAGGTAAATAGCTAGCCTCCAGCTCGGTGTTTGATATCTGGTTTGTGTCAATGGCAGCCTTCAGTTGTAACGCTGATGTTGTTTATGATGCCGATATAGGATTTGTGTCGGTATTTCCTATCTTATGTAACGCTAGAACAAGTGCCACAAGCTCACGATTAATGTTTGATAACAAGGACTCACGTGGGGGCTTAGCGTGAAACCTGTTGTTGACTGTCAAAGATTATCAAGAAATGCCAACGCTTGTTGAGTAGTCGATGTTTATAAGAAGAGGATCCAGAAAGGAAATCAGGTTGAAGTCCCGAAATATACAGTACGTCTTTGCAGTCCGTATAAAGTGTTTTGGGTGATGTTTTCGCAGGTGTGACAGTACATTTACATATTTAAACACGTAGATTGATGACAAAGCACACATATACATGCTGCATAATTGTGTATTGCATCTTAGCCTGTACAATACGGCAAACTAAATGGGGACACTTATATAGAGCTTAAAGAGTTTCATACATTAGTTTGACGGGCAATAGATCTTTAGCCCGTGACTTGAAATATGTGTGTGGCTGACTTAAAATTATGTTCACAGAAAAGGATTGCTTACTTTGAGAAAGAGTTTAGTATTTCTGCCGAAAAAACATCCCTCCACGTCGTTTTCAAACAACCTTACTATAATACGTTAAATATTGCGTTAAAGCAAACCAAAGAATGTTGTCATCAAATATAATAATCAAGATGGTTTATTTTGTTCCGTACCACTGTCTAAAACATACTCACCGCTTTATAGTCAATTATGACATTCGTTACTTGCACTGTCCCATCTGGTTGATTCATGTGGGCCTCCAACCGCATCATCTTTGCATAGTAGTCATAGGACATTAGGTTGAATCCCTGGTGGTAATATAACATAGTAGATAGGACATTAGGTTGAATCCCTGGTGGTAATATAAACATTGTAGATATAGGACATTAGGTTGAATCCCTGGTGGTAATATAAACATAGTAGATAGGACATTAGGTTGAATCCCTGGTGGTAATATAAACATTGTAGTCATAGGACATTAGGTTGAATCCCTGGTGGTAATATAAACATTGTAGATATAGGACATTAGGTTGAATCCCTGGTGGTAATATAAACATTGTAGTCATAGGACATTAGGTTGAATCCCTGGTGGTAATATAAACATTGTAGATAGGACATTAGGTTGAATCCTTAGTGGTAATATAAACATTGTAGTCATAGGACATTAGGTTGAATCCCTGGTGGTAATATAAACATTGTAGTCATAGGACATTAGCTTGAATCCCTGGTGGTAATATAAACATTGTAGATATAGGACATTAGCTTGAATCCCTGGTGGTAATATAAACATTGTAGATATAGGACATTAGGTTGAATCCCTGGTGGTAATATAAACATTCTAGATAGGACATTAGGATGAATCCCTGGTGGTAATATAAACATTGTAGATAGGACATTAGGTTGAATCCCTGGTGGTAATATAAACATTGTAGTCATAGGACATTAGGTTGAATCCCTTGTGGTAATATAAAACATAGTAGATAGGACATTAGATTGAATCCCTGGTGGTAATAATAATAAATAGTAGATAGGACATTAGGTTGAATCCCTGGTGGTAATATAAACATAGTACATATGACATTAGGTTGAATCCCTGGTGGTAATATAAACATAGTAGATAGGTAATTAGGTTGAATCCCTGGTGGTAATATAAACATAGTAGATAGGACATTAGGTTGAATCCCTGGTGGTAATATAAACATTGTAGTCATAAGACATTAGGTTGAATCCTTGGTGGTAATATAAACATTGCAGTCATAGGACATTAGGTTGAATCCCTTGTGGTAATATAAACATTGTAGATATAGAACATTAGGTTGAATCCCTGGTGGTAATATAAACATTGTAGATAGGACATTAGGCTGAATCCTTGGAGGTAATATAAACATTGAAGATAGGACATTAGGTTGAATCCCTGGTGGTAATATAAACATAGTAGATAGGACATTAGGTTGAATCCCTGGTGGTAATATAAACATAGTAGATAGGTAATTAGGTTGAATCCCTGGTGGTAATATAAACATTGTAGTCATAGGACATTAGGTTGAATCCCTGGTGGTAATATAAACATAGTAAATAGGACATTAGGTTGAATCCCTGGTGGTAATATAAACATTGTAGTCATATGACATTAGGTTGAATCCCTGGTGGTAATATAAACATAGTAGTCATAGGACATTAGGTTGAATCTCTGGTGGTAATTTAAACATTGTAGATAGGGCAGTAGGTTGAATCCCTGGTTGTAATGTAAACATAGTAGATAGGACATAAGGTTGAATCCCTGGAGGTAATATAAACATTGTAGATATAGGACAATAGGTTGAATCCCTTGTTGTGATGTAAACATTGTAGATATAGGACATTAGGTTGAATCCCTTGTTGTGATGTAAACATTGTAGATATAGGACATTAGGTTGAATCCCTGGAGGTAGTATAAACATTGTAGATATAGGACAATAGGTTGAATCCCTTGTTGTGATGTAAACATTGTAGATATAGGACATTAGGTTGAATCCCTGGTGGCAATATTAACATAGTAGATAGGACATTAGGTTGAATCCCTGGTGGTAATATAAACATTGTAGATAGGACATTAGGTTGAATCCCTGGTGGTAATATAAACATAGTAGATAGGACATTAGGTTGAATCCCTGGTGGTAATATAAACATTGTAGATAGGACATTAGGTTGAATCCCTGGTGGTAATATAAACATAGTAGATAGGACATTAGGTTGAATCCCTGGTGGTAATATAAACATAGTAGATAGGTAATTGGGTTGAATCCCTGGTGGTAATATAAACATAGTAGATAGGACATTAGGTTCAATCCCTGGTGGTAATTTAAACATTGTAGTCATTAGACATTAGGTTGAATCCTTGGTGGTAATATAAACATTATAGTCATAGGACATTATGTTGAATCCCTGGTGGTAATATAAACATTGTAGATATAGAACATTAGGTTGAATCCCTGGTGGTAATATAAACATTGTAGATAGGACATTAGGCTGAATCCTTGGAGGTAATATAAACATTGAAGATAGGACATTAGGTTGAATCCCTGGTGGTAATATAAACATAGTAGATAGGACATTAGGTTGAATCCCTGGTGGTAATATAAACATAATAGATAGGTAATTAGGTTGAATCCCTGGTGGTAATATAAACATTGTAGATAGGACATTAGGTTGAATCCCTGGTGGTAATATAAACATTGTAGTCATAAGACATTAGTTGAATCCTTAAGGGTAATATAAACATTGTAGTCATATGACATTAGGTTGAATCCCTGGTGGTAATATAAACATTGTAGATAGGACATTAGGTTGAATCCTTGGTGGTAATATAAACATTGTAGTCATAGGACATTAGGTTGAATCCCTGGTGGTAATATAAACATAGTAGTCATAGGACATTAGGTTGAATCCTTAGTGGTAATATAAACATTGTAGTCATAGGACATTAGGTTGAATCCCTGGTGGTAATATAAACATTGTAGTCATAGGACATTAGGTTGAATCCCTGGAGGTAATATAAACATTGTAGATATAGGACAATAGGTTGAATCCCTTGCTGTGATGTAAACATTGTAGATATAGGACAATAGGTTGAATCCCTTGTTGTGATGTAAACATTGTAGATAAAGGACATTAGGTTGAATCCCTGGAGGTAATATAAACATTGTAGATATAGGACAATGGGTTGAGTACCTGGTTGTGATGTAAACATTGTAGATATAGGACAATAGGTTGAATCCCTTGTTGTGATGTAAACATTGTAGATATAGGACATAAGGTTGAATCCCTGGTGGTAATATAAACATAGTAGATAGGACATTAGGTTGAATCCCTTGTGGTAATATAAACATTGTAGATAGGACATTAGGTTGAATCCCTGGTGGTAATATAAACATAGTAGATAGGACATTAGGTTGAATCCCTGGTGGTAATATAAACATTGTAGATAGGACATTAGGTTGAATCCCTGGTGGTAATATAAACATATTAGAAAGGACATTAGGTTGAATCCCTGGTGGTAATATAAACATACTAGATAGGACATTAGGTTGAATCCCTGGTGGTAATTTAAACATTGTAGATAGGACATTAGGTTGAATCTCTGGTGGTAATATAAACATTGTAGATAGGACATTAGGTTGAATCCCTGGAGGTAATATAAACATTGTAGATATAGGACAATGGGTTGAGTACCTGGTTGTGATGTAAACATTGTAGATATAGGACAATAGGTTTAATCCCTGGTTGTGATGTAAACGTAGTAGATATAGGACAATAGGTTGAATCCCTTGTTGTGATGTAAACATTGTAGATATAGGACAATAGGTTGAATCCCTTGTTGTGATGTAAACATTGTAGATATAGGACAATAGGTTGAATCCCTTGTTGTGATGTAAACATTGTAGATATAGGACAATAGGTTGAATCCCTTGTTGTGATGTAAACATTGTAGATATAGGACATTAGGTTGAATCCCTGGAGGTAATATAAACATTGTAGATATAGGACAATAGGTTGAATCCCTTGTTGTGATGTAAACATTGTAGATATAGGACATTAGGTTGAATCCCTTGTTGTGATGTAAACATAGTAGATATAGGACAATAGGTTGAATCCCTTGTTGTGATGTAAACATAGTAGATATAGGACAATAGGTTGAATCCCTTGTTGTGATGTAAACATAGTAGATATAGGACAATAGGTTGAATCCCTTGTTGTGATGTAAACATTGTAGATATAGGACAATAGGTTGAATATCTGGTCGTGATGTAAACATAGTAGATATAGGACAATAGGTTGAATCCCTGGTTGTGATGTAAACATAGTAGATATAGGACAATAGGTTGAATCCCTGGTGGCAGTGTAAAAGGCGACGATATGCTTGTCGTAAGAGGCGACTAACGAGATCGGGTGGTCAGGCTCGCTCATGTGGTTGATGCATGTCATTGATCCCAATTGCTTGGATCGATGCTCATGATGTCAAATACTGGATTGTCTGGTCCAGACTCGATTACTTACAGACCGCCGTCAAATAGCTGGAATATTGTTGAGAGCGGCGTTAAACAACAAACAAAGAAACAGAATTTTCACGTCGATTATCTGCACATTTACTCCCAATACCGATTGTCATATCTCTCCCAATTTTGGATGCGTTCGTTCGGCCAATGCGTTCATCTGCGTTGTCCAGCTACATCTATGGGGAGCAACTCACACTACCCTCTCAAAAATAACGTCGTCCAATTTACGATGTCTTCAAGTTGCGAGCGTATGTTCAGACATGACGTCATGATAGAGCAATGTTTTATCGTGAAACAAGCTGCGCTTCGTTCTTCATTGTTCTTTGCGATTTATCGCGTAGCTATTTTTATATAGGGCATCATAATCGCTGGACAAGTTTAAAATGGATATTTGGTGAAAAGCACGAACCTTTCGGTAGCGAAAACGTTATGATAGAATTGTTTTATCCTTATTCGTTTAAACAAACTGTTTGATAAGGAAACTCGTGGAAACTTTGTGTTTTGAGAGGAGCAGAACCTGCTTAAAATAATCAGAATTTAAGAAACAATCTAGTCTCCTAATCGGCCAAGACGAAATGGGTCCCGACAAGCATTTAAGAAGGTAATCAATTTCAAATAGAGTTTAGGTCTCATGTCACGCTTGCGAAAGGAGGAAAAAGTAACTCCCCTGATATTTACTTGTCAACAATTCTATTTCGAAAACCCTTTTGCAAAAACTCACATTAGGAATGCTACTTTTTATGCACTGTTCAAACAAAACGACCATTTTGAAATGATTTCAGATACCTCTTAATTTACATCCCTTAATTTGTATTCCTTTTATACCTCAAAGCGTATTTACTTCATTAACACACTTGAAGCCACACTTCGTATGTGTATGTTGGCAATGTCGTCGTATTGGATTACTTTTAAATACGGCCAAATATTCAACTCACATCTAGGGCAGTTGGGGTGTTTTTTCCGGGAAGTAAGGCGCCCCCAAACTCTCCCAGGAGGGCTTCAAACTGCCTGTCCACACAGCATTTCTGTGGCTCGACAGCAGCGTTGGTGACAAAGAAGGAAGCGAGAAGACAAGACAGAAACATGCCGATCCGTGTCAGTGTATTCAACTAGCAAGTAAGAGCAAATGTGAGGCTTTGTCACATAGATCTACCAGCTGAACATTCCCATGAAGATTTCATAGAGTAACTGAAGATATGTTCGCTGCGATGTATATATAGATACCAGTTAGCAGAGGTCGACATAAGGTTACAACTAATAATGCTGTAGGGTACACACACACACAAATGTTTCACAGTTGCGGTCTTTATTGAATGCCAGTGATTATTGCGCACTATGTTCATGATCGTTTTCCTGGCCATTGTAACAATATTCCAAGACGATTATTTCTTTCAAGAATTTATTCGAAGCATCAATTACATATAATTAGAAGAGTTTTGATATTAAACACTTTTTTAAAACACAAACATCAATTAAATAGCTGCACCTGAATCAAAATTCAATAATTCGTTTGAAGCGTCAATTACATATAATTAAAGAGTTTTGATACTAAACTCTTTTTTAAAACACAAACATCAATTGAATAGCTGCAGCTGAATTAAAATTCAAGAATTCATTCGAAGCGGCAATTACGATCATAAACCAGAAGAAAACACATGCACATAAATCTCTTTTTTAAAACAAAAATTACAAGCGTGGTGGCATCGAAACGAGGTAGCGCGTGTTTTGTTTCGACCTTTTTGTAGATTCTAAGGAATAAAGTCCTTTACTTATGCTGATATTTTCTATGTCCATACTAGAATGTGTAAGGTGATAATACTATTTATGCTCGTAGCCTCTGAAAAATTGATATATTTGAGGAATCATAATAAGTCTACATGATGAAACATATGCTCACACTTTAGTTGGTTTGCCTGTCGCAGGGACTGTTTCGTAAGCAGGCAAGATGTCACTGTCTGTCATTAGTTTGCAAAAGCATTCAGCAGGTATGACATTACTGCTAAACAGGCATCGGGTCAAATGTTATACTACTGATACCTGGGTACAATGTGTGAAGCCCATTTCTGGTGTCCCCCGCCGTGATATTGCTGGAATATTGCTAAAAGCGGCGTAAAACCATACTCACTCACTCACTCACTCACTACTGATACCACGGACCAGGATGGTGCTAACACAGACATGTTCATTAGAATCACTGTGTCTAAAATCTGAAATTTGTTAACACTCGTTTTGGACAACCGTACAAATACCACCCACTTTGGGTGACACAACCAATAATTCCTCAATGCTAAACAAGGTTGTTGTTGGTGGTGCTGCTGCTGGTGGTGGTGTTGATGATGATGATGTTATTTAACAATTTTAATACGTATATATTGACGGTTTTCTCTAACTTTCATTGTCTATGATTAATACATAATCGCTGAAAACCATTTTCTCATTATTCAGACACTACAGTAGTAGTGTGTTAACACCTCTGTGTAAGCGCGACACGACGCGGCTCCTTGTGGGCAGGTCACTTGCTATACATGAGTCTACTACAGTAGTAGTGTGTTAACACCTCTGTGTTAGCGCGACACGACGCGGCTCCTTGTGGGCAGGTCACTTGCTATACATGAGTCTACTACAGTAGTAGTGTGTTAACACCTCTGTGTAAGCGCGACACGACGCGGCTCCTTGTGGGCAGGTCACTTGCTATACATGAGTCTACTACAGTAGTAGTGTGTTAACACCTCTGTGTAAGCGCGACACGACGCGGCTCCTTGTGGGGCAGGTCACTTGCTATACATGAGTCTACTACAGTAGTAGTGTGTTAACACCTCTGTGTACCGCGACACGACGCGGCTCCTTGTGGGCAGGTCACTTGCTATACATGAGTCTACTACAGTAGTAGTGTGTTAACACCTCTGTGTACCGCGACACGACGCGGCTCCTTGTGGGCAGGTCACTTGCTATACATGAGTCTACTACAGTAGTAGTGTGTTAACACCTCTGTGTACCGCGACACGACGCGGCTCCTTGTGGGCAGGTCACTTGCTATACATGAGTCTACTACAGTAGTAGTGTGTTAACACCTCTGTGTTAGCGCGACACGACGCGGCTCCTTGTGGGCAGGTCACTTGCTATACATGAGTCTACTACAGTAGTAGTGTGTTAACACCTCTGTGTAAGCGCGACACGACGCGGCTCCTTGTGGGCAGGTCACTTGCTATACATGAGTCTACTACAGTAGTAGTGTGTTAACACCTCTGTGTACCGCGACACGACGCGGCTCCTTGTGGGCAGGTCACTTGCTATACATGAGTCTACTACAGTAGTAGTGTGTTAACACCTCTGTGTACCGCGACACGACGCGGCTCCTTGTGGGCAGGTCACTTGCTATACATGAGTCTACTACAGTAGTAGTGTGTTAACACCTCTGTGTACCGCGACACGACGCGGCTCCTTGTGGGCAGGTCACTTGCTATACATGAGTCTACTACAGTAGTAGTGTGTTAACACCTCTGTGTACCGCGACACGACGCGGCTCCTTGTGGGCAGGTCACTTGCTATACATGAGTCTACTACAGTAGTGGTGTGTTAACACCTCTGTGTACCGCGACACGACGCGGCTCCTTGTGGGCAGGTCACTTGCTGTACATGAGTCTACTACAGTACTAAGTGCGGTGGCAATACCTTTATTTTTACAAATGATTGTCAGTCTCAGCGTGACAGAACTGCGTCAATGTAGCGAGCTCCTCGCTTGATGTGTTCCGAAGGAATCTGGAAGACGACATTGAGAATATTGCTATATTCAAGCCTATTTGTTCACTTATAAAGAAATAGACATTCATAGTGTACGCCATTAAACATACTTGCAGTTGTTTCATCTGATATTATTTGTATACTGAATATAACTCATTACTTTTGAAGGGATCATCACTGAATCTCTCACTGAAATTTATTTGAAAAATCGAGAAAATTAATTTCTCCTTGTATTTCAAGCAGACGTCTGCTCTTCTTTCGTTACAGTGGTTTGCATTTATCCAGAAGATGAGCATTATAACGTGTGGAAGTGGCATTATGAGATCGAGGGTCATATAAACCAATACATTACACTGTAGCAACATCACCTGATTGTCGGCACGTGGTAGCGGGACACAGTCAGCTGGGATGTCAAAGACAGATGGGCGTTGGATCCCAGGACGAAACCCCGTCACGATGAACACCACATCATTGGAAGCTGTCGATATGACGATATCACACACTCAGCAACGAGCTATAATAAGGGCCTACTTCGACCCACTGTTTATGCCTAATTTAATTAGGAAAAGAGATAAATGTTCAGAAAGTAGATATATTCACAGGAGTGAACATTGGAGGTGTCAGTAGGTGGAGGTGTGACGACACGCTCGTAATGGCGAAGAGTATCAAAAGGGGTGTTTTTCTGTTATTGTTATTCTTAATAGCACTAGTTGTAGTAGTGAGTGAGTTATGTGAGTGAGTTATGGTTTATAGTCACATCGGCAATATTTCAGCCATATCGAGTGGTAGTAGTAGTAGTAGTAGTAGTGGTGGTGGTAGTAGTAGTAGTAGTAGCAGCAGTAGTAGTACTAGCAGCAGTAGTAGTAGTAGTAATAGTAGTAGTAGTAATAGTAGTAGTAGTAGTAGTAGCTGCAGCAGTAGTAGTACTAGCAGCAGTAGTAGTAGTAGTAGTAATAGTAGTAGTAGTAGTAGTAGTAGTAGCAGCAGAAGTAGTACTTGTAGTAGTTGTAGAAGTAGTAGTAGTAGTAGTAGTAGTAGTAGTAGTAGTAGTAGTAGTAGTAGAAGTAGTAGTAGTAGTAGTAGTAGTAGTGAGCTGTATTTAAGGATAGTACACAAACATCTTTCATGTGGCTGGGCGAGTACTAAACTTGTACGTGGCAAAAACGAACAATAGGCTATTTACAGTCACATGAATATATCCAAAATCACCCACTCGTTTTATATAATTCATTGTTTGGTTATTTTTATCATAACTTCTCCGTCACCGCACTGAACTTACCTGAATCCCAGTGGCCGATGTTGTTGAGTCGCGAACATATATCGACTGAATCCCAGTGGCCGATGTTGTTGAGTCGCGAACATATATCGACTGAATCCCAGTGACTGATGTTGAGTCGCGAACATATATCGACTGAATCCCAGTGGCCGATGTTGTTGAGTCGCGAACATATATCGACTGAATCCCAGTGACCGATGTTGTTGAGTCGCGAACATATATCGACTGAATCCCAGTGGCCGATGTTGTTGAGTCGCGAACATATATCGACTGAATCCCAGTGGCCGATGTTGTTGAGTCGCGAACATATATCGACTGAATCGTGACAAGAACGTCGGGTTGCTTCGTTGATATACACGATAAAAAGTAATTAAACAAATATGGTAAGTACAATTATCACAAGGCTGATATATGCAACATTATACTGTGTGAATAGTAGCAAGTATGTGTACGAATGATTTTACCATCTTGTCCCAGGGTCGAAAAGGCTGCTTGTACAAATGGCACACAGTTGGACGCGGCCATTGAAGACTTAATGGAGACGTTGTTGGAGGGGCTGGTGTATTGCCAGTTGTTGGCAGGAACACTATTGACACCGTACCCAAAGTAAGACCGTCCAAGAAACTTCGCGTTGTCTATGGAAAACAATTACCAATTATTGATTATGTATTTCACTTCTATAATAAAACATTCGGATATTTTAATTGTGATTGTTGTTTTTTTAATGTTTCATTTATACTCAATTATCTGTCAGGAGTCGGGAAAAAGGGACCATTTGGTCACGGAGACCTGATGATATAATAACTTATGAAGGCTTCATAAAAACTTGTTTAATATTTGTTAGCCAGTGTCTTCTCCAGGCTCTTACCTATGCTTGTATATATGTGTTTGTTGAAGGTAATCTATTACCCCGTTCACACGCGCCTCTATACATATGTGTGTATATGTGCATACGTGTGTAGAAAGACATGCGTCAGTATACTTGTCATGTGAACGCGTTTACTCATGTGTGGACATTTACACAAGGAGCAAATTTGCATCATGTCGGGAGTAGGTGCAAATGTAAGTGTTAATTTGCACGGAGTGTATATGTTGCAATGTGAACGTTTATGTTAACGTAAGAGGATGATCTAATTAATGTCTGTCCTTTTGCCAACCCCAAACAAATAGTCAACAAGTTGCGTATATACAGAGTTGAGCGGACGGTGTTTTCTTTTGGTTTCAAGGAGTCAAAACGTTGTGTACAAATTAAATCAAACACATGTTGATTCACGCGAAAATGTTGGGTGAAGTTACTCTCTTCTCATTCAACTTTGATTGGAAAGCAACGTGTTTTGTGTTGAAAGTCGTAAACAGACTGACGAATATGTGTGCCTTACACAATTTACATACTTTACACACGTAAGTTGATTTTCATGTGGACGCATAGTAAATTTACATATACACACGTATGTATAGTTACACATGTGCAAAATTACTTACGTGAGTAGATGTGCATGTGAATGGGGTATTATATAAGTCACCAATGTGCGCATGTACAAGGTTATAGATACACGCATGTATACTGGGCAGGTAAACAGAAGCGATAAAACCACATACCTGGAACGCACTGTTCACTAATAGCTCGGGAACCTCTTACATACGTGCATTTGTTCATTTCAATCACATAGCGAAGACCCTAAAATGGAAAACGTAAAAATATTATATTTTGTATTTGACTAAACTTGGATTTGCTTGAAATATATCATTATCTCATGTGGGTTGTGTAGATTTCATATCATGTTAACATATTGACCTACTACCTAGAATAAGGATGTTTCAATCTCGAGTGCTTGTTCCATTTTAGGTATAAAATACAAACATTGTTGAATATTAAAGGTTTATGGATATTATGTCTGCATACAAGATCCAGTACATTGCATTACTTTACTTTCCTGGTGATGCAGTTTGGAACTAGATTGCAACATGTCCGTACCGCATTAAAGTCATGCACTATTCGGGAATGCATGGTACTGTCGTTGGCGCCGCGCTCAAACACTTCGTAGACCACTGTCTTGTTGTAGAAGTTGTAATGTAGAATGTTGTCCACCTACAATGTACACCCAGCATATGGGCGATTGTAGGGTCAGTACTACAGGACCAGTAGGAGCTAACTAGACGCCTGGTTACGGGATTAACCAGTTTAGATGTAATTTATATTTTTATAATGTGTAGATTTGAACGAAGGTTACTAATGGGGCCTTTACACAGGATGGCGACCTTTGTGCCTCCCGTGTGGGACCATAGAATTTGTCAGGTCGTCGTTGGAGGCTCAAAGGAGGCAGAGTGGTTGCCTAGGTCGTTCCAAGGTGGTACACAGGAGGTTCGGACATCGCCATGGACGCCATGGTCGCCGTGAATTTTTTAACATGTTCAAAACAGTCGCACAAAGGTCGCCGAGGAGGTTGGTTGCTCAAAGGTGGCTCAAAGCACAAGCATTGCCGTTGTTGCTGAATGAAGGCCCTGTGGTCTGCTACATAAAAACACGATTTTCTGGGTTTAGGCGACCATTGAGCGTCCTGGCCAGTTTTTGATCGCTCGAGGGTGGCACAAAAGTCGCAGCCCTGTGTAATGGGGCCTTAACATGTTTGTAGATGTCATCATTCAGGGTGATTCTCCTTGCTTCGCCTACGGTTCTGTTTCCTAAACCCTAAAAAGTACCTTTATCCCTTCTTTGAGAGCTGTACATTTCCAGGACTTGCATCTCGGTAAACCCTACACTAACCCCTGGATTCATTCCCGTAGGTTCTCGCGATCTCAAAGAACCCGTCCTTGATTTTCACTCGCGAATTTGAGTTACAAATCGGCCTCAATGTTGGGTTGGCGACATCAACATGGCAATACGAGTTACCTCCCTTCCCCATTTCCTTTTTCCTTTTCTCGACGTCTTAAGTCTACAACAAATTATCAACTTTCCCCGCACGTTTTACAACCAAACTACAGAGTCTAATGCATGTGCACCTACATGGCGAAGACTACGCACCCACAAAATGCATTCATGAATGATGGCTCCTGAGTAGCAACCGCCATCGCACATGGTGCTGGAATATTTTAAAATAGACATCTTGGAATGCAACACCTCGGGCTTCCACTACTGTGGTCTTCCTATATCACCACGTACACCACAGGCTTGACGTGGCTGCTAGCTGGAGTGTCTTCCTATATCACCACGTACACCACAGGCTTGACGCGGCTGCTAGCTGGAGTGTCTTCCTATATCACCACGTACACCACAGGCTTGACGTGGCTGCTAGCTGGAGTGTCTTCCTATGTCACCACGTACACCACAGGCTTGACGTGGCTGCTAGCTGGAGTGTCTTCCTATATCACCACGTACACCACAGGCTTGACGCGGCTGCTAGCCGGAGTGTCTTCCTATGTCACCACGTACACCACAGGCCTAACGTGGCTGCTAGCCGGAGTGTCTTCCTATATCACCACGTACACCACAGGCCTAACGTGGCTGCTAGCCGGAGTGTCTTCCTATATCACCACGTACACCACAGGCTTGACGTGGCTGCTAGCTGGAGTGTCTTCCTATGTCACCACGTACACCACAGGCTTGACGTGGCTGCTAGCCGGAGTGTCTTCCTATATCACCACGTACACCACAGGCTTGACGTGGCTGCTAGCCGGAGTGTCTTCCTATGTCACCACGTACACCACAGGCTTGACGTGGCTGCTAGCTGGAGTGTCTTCCTATATCACCACGAACACCACAGGCTTGACGTGGCTGCTAGCCGGAGTGTCTTCCTATGTCACCACGTACACCACAGGCTTGACGTGGCTGCTAGCCGGAGTGTCTTCCTATATCACCACGTACACCACAGGCTTGACGTGGCTGCTAGCCGGAGTGTCTTCCTATGTCACCACGTACACCACAGGCTTGACGTGGCTGCTAGCCGGAGTGTCTTCCTATGTCACCACGTACACCACAGGCTTGACGTGGCTGCTAGCCGGAGAGTCTTCCTATGTCACCACGTACACCACAGGCTTGACGTGGCTGCTAGCTGGAGTGTCTTCCTATATCACCACGTACACCACAGGCTTGACGTGGCTGCTAGCCGGAGTGTCTTCCTATATCACCACGTACACCACAGGCTTGACGTGGCTGCTAGCCGGAGTGTCTTCCTATGTCACCACGTACACCACAGGCTTGACGTGGCTGCTAGCCGGAGTGTCTTTCTATATCACCACGTACACCACAGGTTTGACGTCGCAGGCCCAGAAAGTTGTCAACCCCACTATTTCAATCAATTCCAAAAACCAATGCCTTTGGCAAATAAAACATGAGTTTGTTGAGGCAATTACTATTAAAAAAATTAAATTATAAGGCTTCTGATATAGCGCTGAGCCCACACTTGTATGTGCTCAAAGCGCGACAGATAAATAGAAAGTAAAACAATAAAAATAACGTCGAGAGACAGACGGCATGAAAACGATGGTTAGACAGTGATCAATAGTCAGAACAGATATGTTTTATGTTGAAGCTTAAATGTGTGAACGGTAGAGGCAGCCTTGAGATCATCGGGCAGGGAATTCCATCATTAGCTGCAACATAAGCAAAGGCTCAACATCCAAACGTTTACAGCTTTATCTCCATATTGAAGTAGAACAACATTCATTCAAGTCCCTATGTGAGTAATCCCGACATAACATACATTTATGAGAGCAGGAACCTGCTGTCCGTTGTGCTTGTACAAACTCCCCCCGACTTCCGCCAACCTGGCCTCGAACTGACGCTCTGTGCAGCACTTGGGGGGATCGGCGCCACTCACTCCACTCCAAACAACAGCCAGAAGAACAACAGTCAAGGACCTTATCATCATAGTGACATGCGATTAAATGTGACTCTCACTACAGACGCACATGGTGTCTGCAGCCAGGTTATACAGATAACCTGCCTTGGTTTGCTGGAGAATTTGGCAACACTAGCAAAGAATTCTATTCTAAATAGATAAGAAAAAGTAAGTCGTGTATGTGTGATATAATCCTACCAGATCGTATACCATAGCTTTAGAAACTTGTTTCTCCCATCAACAAAAGAGACAACTGCCTGTACAACATATTTTCTTTGCCTGTTTCTTGGAGCTTTTTTATCGGAATTTCTGCTCGGATTGGCGAAATCAAAACAAGGCAATTTGGCCAAAACGTTTAACTTAATAAACTTCATGTATATCGATCATCTTATATCGTTGAAAACAAGCTGAAGCTTAATCACAGAAAAACCCAAAGGGTCTAAGAGCGCGATGTGGCACTGAATCATTTCAGTTCAGTGACACTACCATTCCCCTGTCAGCAGGTGTACTACATTTTGGTGCTTCCCTAGATCTGGAATAGCCTCTCAACAAGCATATCAACAATGTGGTTAGAATCTGGGTTTTTTAGTCTAAAGTATATAGGGCACATCCTTAAATTTCTTAATCAGCAGTCATCAATCATACTTGTCTTGTCTTTAGTTATGACGAGATTGGACTACTTGCTGGTGGATGCAGCAAGATCTCAGCTGAACAAGTTACAACTAGTTCAGAACACAGCAGCCAGAATAGTTAAACACTATCGCAAGACTGACCATATCACTACCGCGTTATACAAACTGCATTGGATTCCAGTTGAACACAGGATGCCATTCAAGCTACTCTGTTATGTCTTCAGATGTCTCACGTTACAAGCACTGTCCTATCTTGCTGATCTCCTTCAAGTGTATGTCCCAGGAAGATCCCTCCGCTCAGAGAATAAGAATTTGCTTATTATACCAAATATCCACACATCACACTATGACAAACGTTCCTTTGCATACACAGCGGCCATTGCCTGGAACAGTCTACCACAACACCTCAGTGTCTCCATGCCTACTTTCCGCTCACAACTCAAATCCTGTCTCTTTAGACTTTCTGTCTCCTAATTACTTCTCATTTTTATGCACTTTGAGCATGCACTATGCATGGATATATACGCCCTACAAATGGATTATTATTATTGTTGTTGTTGTTGTTGTTGCTGCTGTTGTTATTATTATTGTTATTATTATTATCATTAATAATAATTATTATTATCATCATTATTATTGTTGTTATTATTATTGTTATTATTATTGTTTATTATTATTATTATTATTATTATTATTATTATTATTACTATTATTATAGGGGATTCCCTTCCAGTGATTTACCCACCTAAACTTGAAATAAAAGAGACCAGCGAAACCACCTCATCTGTTTCATATTTAGATCTACGCATAAAGATTCCGAGTGACAACAAATTCTTCAAAAGACTCAGTAATATTCCAGCAGCTCCATCCTTGGGTGTTTTTCGGGTGAACAATTAGCTTGCCTGTGTTTGTGATGGGTGCCATCTGGGGCAGCATGCGAACACCGGGTATCATCACTATTTGAAAATGAATTCAGAAACACAGGCTCACGATGTAATCGGAATCGTCCAATGAACTCTGCTTTAGCAGAGATCTGTTAAGATTATGGAAATGGATTTTGTCGCGTTTTATTCATAACAAAATCATACACTCATCTACTTGAACAGTGTCAGACATGTCAGGTATTTTGTAACTATCAAATATGTCGAAGATATTTTCCTATTTTGAAAATGTTGTACATTACGCATTACGTCATCATGTCAACCATGACACAACCAAAAACACGTTTTCCATGATGTGCACGCAATTTGTTGCGTTCTGGCGATTTCGCTCACAAAAAAAATAGGAATGTGTTTTGACGAGCTGTTCTTCTTCATGCTTCGCCCAGAACGTCGTATATTACTCATTCACTTATATATTTTCATATGACTTAAGCCCTGATAAAAAATACATCCATTTTCATGGTGGTGCGTTTTCAATGCTGTTCAGTATATTTGGTATGGAGTGGGTGAGTGAGTGAGTGAGTTGGGGTTAACGCCGCTTTTAACAGTATTCAAGTTATATCGCGGCGTGTCAGCTTAATGTGGGGGGAAAGACCGAAGTGATGCAGGTCTCAGACGTTTACCACTTCGGTGAAACCCACAAGCACTGGTATGGTGCTGACAAATCTAGAAACATAATCGGGGCGAACCGAGATTCGAACCCACAATCATAGGTTTCTTGCGTGCCCAAGGGACGCAACTCTGTACAGCGAATCGCGGCGCCTTAGACGACTGGGCCACCCGTGCCCCCATTTGGTATGGACACAAGATATCTTTTTCTGAGCTGTGGGTGTGTAAGCTTCTTGCAAAAAAGGTGTTTTTGTGTCAGGTTTTGTCAACAGGCTGAAGTATACACGTGTCAAGCATATTCTTAAACAATTTATAACTCTTTGATTGGCATTCTAGACGTTAGTGAGTAAGTAAGACAACGTACAACTTCATGGACAACTTCCATATAGCATATAGCAACGTTTCTATGTAGATTCTTACAACGTTATCAGGCGGGAGTGACTCCACGTCGCGATATGCAATAAACCAGAAGTTATTATCCATAAAGTTGTACGTTTTCCTACAGGGACAATTTACGTTTTTCGATAAAACCCCAGGCCGCACACACCCCGGCCCCGGCCCCACCCCGAATATGAATTGGACGGTCCGTTAAGGTCCCTATTTTGAATTGTCATTGTCAAATAGATAAGGAGGCGGTAACCTGCACATGTTTTATTTTCACACTTTAAGATACCCAGCCGTCCATAGCAAGGATAGCACGTTGAATGTGATGTGGGTGGTCCTGTAAGGAAACACCAACATGTAGATTTGGGACAGAAGGTATTTCACATAACATTAAACCGGTCAAAAAGATCATTATAAGTTCAGAAAGGAGTTAGTGAGCCTAAAGAATATTTATCTGAAGATCAGAGTTACAGGTGCGATTTAGTTCAGGATAAATAGGATCAAACATTTTTCATAATTCTTAATATTATCAATATGAAAGTTATCATCGCCAACGACAATGTTTAAACTTCGCGTCATTGTCACGCAGATTTAACGCTACGTATAGTGTGATTTCATCAGAAAAGTGACCCCAATCAATAGGTCCTACCGTCACGACACGAGACGCAGGTCATTCCATATAAAATAAACTATCTGTATGAGTGAGTGCACGTACTTCATTGTTGATGGTGTCGGCAGCGCCAGTACAGAGGGAAGGCAACACAAACAAGTCTGGTGTTTTAATGCCGGGCTGGAAGTTAGTGAACACGAAGACAAGTTCGGAAGGGGCTGCAACATTGGCAAAGTTTAACGTTTCTTCCCAATCACCAGTCACATTTATACACATTTAGGCGACATGCGCCAATAGATATCAGCCACTAACGACAAAGGGTTTACATAGATCATCTATACAGATTTGGGTGACATACGCCCCCAGATATCAGCCACTAACGACATAGGGGTACATATAACATCTAAACAGACTTAGGCAATATACACCAATGGATATCAGCCACTAACGACATATGGGTACATATAACATCTATACAGACTTTGGCAACATACACCAATAGATATCAGCTACTAACGACATTGGGTTAAATTTAACATCACATACTCCCCCAGATATCAGCCACTAACGACATAGGGGTACATATAACATCTATACAGACTTGGGCGACATACACCCCTAGATATCAGCCACTAACGACAAAGGGTTACATATAACATCTATACAGACTTTGGCGACATACACCCCTAGATATCAGCCACTAACGACAAAGGGTTACATATAACATCTATACAGACTTGGGCGACATACACCAAAAGATATATGCCGCTAACGACATAGGGGTACATATAACATCTATACAGACTTGGGTGAAATACACTAATAGATTTGCCGCTTACGACATAGGGGTACATATAACATCTATACAGACTTGGGCGACATACACTGAAAGATATATGCCGCTAACGACATAGGGGTACATATAACATCTATACAGACTTGGGCGACATACACCAAAAGATATATGCCGCTAACGACATAGGGGTACATATAACATCCATACAGACTTGGGTGACATACACCCCTAGATATCAGCCACTAACGACATAGGGGTACATATAACATCTATACAGACTTTGGCAACATACACCAATAGATATCAGCAACTAACGACAAAGGGTTACATATAACATCTATACAGACTTGGGTGACATACACCCCTAGATATCAGCCACTAACGACATAGGGGTACATATAACATCTATACAGACTTTGGCAACATACACCAATAGATATCAGCAACTAACGACAAAGGGTTACATATAACATCTATACAGACTTGGATGACATACACCCCTAGATATCAGCCACTAACGACATAGGGGTACATATAACATCTATACAGACTTGGGTGACATACGCCCCAGATATCAGCCACTAACGACATAGGGGTACATTTAACATCTATACAGACTTGGGCGACATACACCGAAAGATATATGCCGCTAACGACATAGGGGTACATATAACATCTATACAGACTTGGGTGAAATACACTAATAGATATGCCGCTTACGACATAGGGGTATATATAACATCTATACAGACTTGGGCGACATACACCGAAAGATATCAGCCACTAACGACATAGGGGTACATATAACATCTATACAGACTTGGGTGACATACACCAATAGATATCAGCAACTAACGACAAAGGGTTACATATAACATCTATACAGACTTGGGTGACATACACCCCTAGATATCAGCCACTAACGACATAGGGGTACATATAACATCTATACGGATGGGTGACATACGCCCCCAGATATCAGCCACTAACGACATATGGGTACATATAACATCCATACAGACTTGGGCGACATACACCCCTAGATATCAGCCACTAAGGACATAGGGGTACATATAACATCTATACAGACTTTGGCAACATACACCAATAGATATCAGCAACTAACGACAAAGGGTTACATATAACATCTATACAGACTTGGGTGACATACACCCCTAGATATCAGCCACTAACGACATAGGGGTACATATAACATCTATACAGACTTTGGCGACATACACCCCTAGATATCAGCCACTAACGACATAGGGGTACATATAACATCCATACAGACTTGGATGACATACACCCCTAGATATCAGCCACTAACGACATATGGGTACATATAACATCTATACAGACTTTGGCAACATACACCAATAGATATCAGCAACTAACGACAAAGGTTTACATATAACATCTATACAAACTTGGGTGACATACACCCCTAGATATCAGCCACTAACGACATAGGGGTACATATAACATCCATACAGACTTGGGTGACATACGCCCCCGGATATCAGCCACTAACGACATAGGGGTACATATAACATCTATACAGACTTGGGTGACATACACCCCTAGATATCAGCCACTAACGACATAGGGGTACATTTAACATCTATACAGACTTGGGCGACATACACCGAAAGATATATGCCGCTAACGACATAGGGGTACATATAACATCTATACAGACTTGGGTGAAATACACTAATAGATATGCCGCTTACGACATAGGGGTACATATAACATCTATACAGACTTGGGCGACATACACTGAAAGATATCAGCCACTAACGACATAGGGGTACATATAACATCTATACAGACTTGGGCGACATACACCAATAGATATCAGCAACTAACGACAAAGGGTTACATATAACATCTATACAGACTTGGGTGACATACACCCCTAGATATCAGCCACTAACGACATAGGGGTACATATAACATCTATACAGACTTGGGTGACATACGCCCCCAGATATCAGCCACTAACGACATAGGGGTACATATAACATCCATACAGACTTGGGCGACATACACCCCTAGATATCAGCCACTAACGACATAGGGGTACATATAACATCTCTACAGACTTGGGCGACATACACCGAAAATATATGCCGCTAACGACATAGGGGTACATATAACATCTATACAGACTTGGGTGAAATACACTAATAGATATGCCGCTTACGACATAGGGTTACATATAACATCTATACAGACTTGGGCGACATACACCGAAAGATATATGCCGCTAACGACATAGGGGTACATATAACATCTATACAGACTTGGGCGACATACACCAAAAGATATATGCCGCTAACGACATAGGGGTACATATAACATCTATACAGACTTGGGCGACATACACCAAAAGATATATGCCGCTAACGACATAGGGGTACATATAACATCTATACAGACTTGGGCGACATACACCGAAAGATATATGCCGCTAACGACATAGGGGTACATATAACATCTATACAGACTTGGGCAACATACACCCCTAGATATATGCCACTAACGACAAAGGGGTACATAGAACATCTATACAGACTTGGGCAACATACACCCCTAGATATATGCCACTAACGACAAAGGGGTACATATATTCGGACTATCATCATTTTATTCATCTTATTTCCTATAGATATGAAAAATACACCCAATAAAACAGGAGTAATAGGTCATATAGAACGCGTGAAGTACTGTACACCTTGTATTGAGTATACGCAGTACCAATTCACTTGAGTTCTATTTGGGAAGGGTGTAGTTCTAAATACTTTCTTAGTTTGTCAAAGGCGTTTCCAAGACTACCATAGAAGAAAACCACGTTTGATTGTCAAACTATAAAAAGATATCCTCAGTTTCATCTTCCCTGTCGGCTTTCCTTTTATTTTTATTATAAACCATGTAATAACCAGACGAACAATACGTTTATCTCATGATCGCGGAATGGGTACATTCCATACAATGACAGGGTGAGTAAGTTTCATTTACGCCACTTTGGACAGTATTCCAGTTATATGTCGGCAGAAAAGCTTGCAGAAAAGCACGAGCACTTAGGTGCTGACAAAACAGAATAATAATCAGGGCGAATCTGGGATTCCAACCCACGATTGTTGCAGGACTCGGTGACGCAACTCATCACAACGAACTGCGACCCTCGCTTTAAAAGATGCGAAAAGAAATGTCTAATGTATTTATCAAACATACTGATGAAGCACCTGAACGAGAAATATAGAGCGAAATGTCAGCAATATGACTTTCAGTTGATATATAATTATTCTTCAACGATACTCCTTCCTATGTAACATGATTGCAACCACTTTTTGATTCGAGTACATGGTTTTGAAAGACTTCATGGCTTGTGTTCTCAATGTCTAGCCTAGGACTGTGTTCAACTCACCATTGTTAACGTTTCCAAAGATTGCTTCCACCACTGGGACACAAGTCGACGATGTAACAACCAGCCTCATGTCGTTGCCGGTGTCCGGCTCTGCAAACTCCCAGTTGTTAAAAGCGATTTTGTGCACGCCATAGCCGACGTAACTACTTCCCACGAATTTGGCGTTATCTGTGGTGGATGGAGTATGGAGGACTTTTACAATTATACAATGCCAACGTAACGTGTGTCCTTCACCCTTGACTCTCAGCCTAAATGACAGAAGTTAATACCGATAGCTATGATCTTTGTTTAGTTTCATCTCTAAACAAACATCGTTATGTTGTGTTTTCATTTCTCGAAACCCACTCGGCCTGTTCTTACAAAAGTGTTATTTACATAAAATACATAAACGATGTAATTTAAATAAACGATTCTCATACCACATTAAGTATCCTCGTTGCCCACTCAGACACAGTATACTGACTCCCAGCCGACCAGTCCTTGTTTTAGCCCCTTAACAACGAGCGCCAGGCAGGGTAGCAACAAGTACCATATCTTAATGTCTTGGTATGGTACGGCCGGTGATCGAACCCCCGACCTTCCGCTATCTACCACTAGACCAGAGAGGCGGTCATACATTTTGTACTGAATAGGGACGGTGATAAAAGTTATCTGGAGCAGACCAAATAGTGTGCGGAACCATGGGTCGGTAATCACCTGGAATACATGGTTCTCTGAAGCCACGGCGTATCGTTGACGTTGTGCACGATCCTGCTCCGAAAACATGCTGTATGCCCTGAAGAAGTACAACATACGACATCATAACTCCAACTGCCAAACACACAACACAATGTTGTACTGAACAATATACGCCACTATAACATACTTCGTCCTGCCTCTCACAGCCAACATAATGTGGTACTGTACAACGTAGGATATTATAGCATCCCTCCATCTCACACAGCACACCATAGAACCGGCATTAGTCCTGACTAGCACACACACACACACACACACACACACACACACACACACACACACACACGCACACGCACACGCACACGCACACGCACACACACACACACACACACACACACACAACGCACACACACACACAACGCACACACATATGCACGTCGATGTAATCTTGAACGCGACGTTAACCCCACCTCACCTCACCTCACAAAACATCGAAAACAGTAGTGTCAGTATCTGTAATAGTATATTATAGATATATATTTGTATGAAAACATGCGATTATTTAATGACCAAACATAACGGGTTTGTCTGTCATTGATCCTGCTGTAACCCTGAACTACACCAGTGAATCTGTGTGTCCTGAAGTACCATTGTGTGTAGTTGTACTGCCAGGATGCAGGTATTCACCTCCATTAGAAGGGTATGCCTGTCTTGGTGTACCATGGCGTGTGTGTAGTTGTACTGCTAGGAAGGCAGGTAATCACCTCAATTAGAAGGGTATGTTTGTCTGTCTGTCTTGGTGTACCATGGCGTGTGTGTAGTTGTACTGCCAGGAATGCAGGTATTCACCTCCATTAGAAGGGCATGCATGTCTTGGAGTACCATGGCCTGTGTGTAGTTGTACTGCCAGGAATGCAGGTATTCACCTCCATTAGAAGGGCATGCCTTTCTTGGAGTACCATGGCCTGTGTGTAGTTGTACTGCCAGGAATGCAGATATTCACCTCCATTAGAAGGGCATGCCTGTCTTGGAGTACCATGGCCTGTGTGTAGTTGTACTGCTAGGAATGCAGGTATTAACCTCAATTAGAAGGGTATGTTTGTCTGTCTGTCTTGGTGTATCATGGCGTGTGTGGAGGTATTGCCAGGAATGCAGGTATTCACCTCAATTAGAAGGGTATGTCTGTCTGTCTTGGTGTACCATGGCGCGTGTGGAGGTATTGCCAGGAATGCAGGTATTCATCTCCATTAGAAGGGTATGTTTGTCTTGGTGTACCATGGCGTGTGTTGAGGTATTGGCAGCAATGCAGGTATTCACCTCCATTAGAAGGGTTCTTTCTGCTACTTACCCTCTTGTAATCCTGGATGATCCTGGTGTAGGTGGTGGTGTTGTCGGGGTTGTGGGTATTCACTTCCATCACAATGGTTCTGTTGTAGTAGTCATAGTGCATGACGTTGTCAGACTACAAGGGAAATTTAACAGTAACAGTGAAACTTCATTATAGTTTGGTATCTGAAGTTTCACACTCAACATGTGTAATCATATGCAGTATTAAGCTATGTATAAATGAATCATGGTAAGTGTTGTTGTTTCCATTGTATCTATTATGAGACATTCGACCCAAACCGCATTCTCTCGTGTGAAGTGGCATGTGAGTGGCATGCAGTTTATCTTTACAGGTTTCATTGTCATTTTCGATGAAAAGACGGCATTGTTTGACAAGATCTAGACTTGGATATGGGCGGCCATTTGGTAAAAAATACAAAGTTGAAAAAAAGGACAAAAGTACGCAATAATAATCAAATGTTACGAATAAAGTATTAAATGTAACTAATAAAGATCAAAATACAAAACAAACTGACGCCGGTTAAAAAAATACAAAGTTGAAATAAGGGTCAAAAGTACGCATTATTAATAGTCAAATGTTACGAAAAGAAGTCATATGAAAGGAACGATGTTACGAAAAGACATCATATGAAAGGAACGATGTGTACGTCAGGGAGCACGAATGGACGTTGATAATAAAGAACGCCAGATGGCGCTGCAATTTGTAAGCCAAGGCAGACATATCTAAACACAAACCCATACACGTCGACCCGTATGCACCAACCAGTACACAACAACCAGCACACAACAGCCAGCACACAACAACCAGCACACAACAACCAGCACACAACAGCCAGCACACAACAACCAGCACACAACAGCCAGCACACAACAAGCAGCACACACAAACCAGCACACAACAACCTGCACACAACAAGCAGCACACACAAACCAGCACACAACAACCAGCACACAACAACCTGCACACAACAAGCAGCACACACAAACCAGCACACAACAACCAGCACACAACAACCAGCACACAACAGCCAGCACACAACAACCAGCACACAACAACCAGCACACAACAACCAGCACACAACAGCCAGCACACAACAACCAGCACACAACAACCAGCACACAACAGCCAGCACACAACCAGCACACAACAACCAGCACACAACAACTCGTTCGAGCATAGTTCACACTTACACATACAACGTAATTATCGCAACCCCTACACACCAACAAACACACACGAATCAACACACACCAACCTCTAAACACCAACCCACACACACCAACCCACACACACCAAACTCTACACACCAACCCACACACACCAACCTCTACACACCAACCCAAACACACAAACCCACACACACACAAACCCGCACAATCCAACCCACGCACACCAACCCACATACACCGACCTCAACACACCAACCAACACACACCAACCAGCACACACCAATGTACAGATACCTGTATGCACTTACCAACCCACACACACCAACCCCTACACACCAACCCCTACACGCCAACCCATACACACCAACCCCTACTCGCCAACCCCTACACGCCAACCCCTACACGCCAACCCCTACACACCAACCCCTACACGCCAACCCCTACACGCCAACCCCTTCACGCCAACCTGCAAACACCAACCCTTTACACACCAACCAACACATACTAACCTCTACACTAACTAACCAACACACACCAACCTACACACCAACCTACACGCCAACCCCTACACGCCAACCCCTACACGCCAACCCCTACACACCAACCTACACACCAACCTACACGCCAACCCCTACACGCCAACCTGCAAACACCAACCCTTTACACACCAACCCACACATACTAACCTCTACACTAACTAACCAACACACACCAACCTACACACCAACCTACACACGACAACCTCTACACACCAACACCTATACGCGATCCCCTACACACCAACTTCTACACCCTAACCGACACACACCAACCCCTACACACCAACCTACACACACCAACTTCTACACCAACTTCTACACCCTAACCGACAGACGCCAACCCCTACACACTAACCAACACACACTAACCTACACAGCAACCTACACACACCAGCCACTTCACACCAACACCTACACGCCAACCCCTACACACCAACACCTACACGCCATCCCCTACACACCAACCTACACACCAACCCCTACACACCAACCTACACACACCAACTTCTACACCCTAACCGACACACGCCAACCCCTACACACTAACCAACACACACCAACCTACACAGCAACCTACACACACCAGCCTCTTCACACCAACACCTACACGCCAACCCCTACACACCAACACCTACACGCCATCCCCTACACACCAACTTCTACACCCTAACCGTCACACACCAGACCCCTACACACCAACCTACACACGCCAACCTCCACACACCAACATCTACACGCCATCCCCTACACACCAACACCTACACACTAACCAACACACACCAACCTACACACACCAACCTCTACACACCAACCCCTACACGCCAACCCCTACACACTAACCAACACACACCAACCTACACACCAACCTACACATCCCAACTTCTACACACCAACACCTACACGCCAACCCCTACACACCAACACCTACACGCCATCCCCTACACACCAACTTCTACACCCTAACCGACACACACCAACCCCTACACACCAACCTACACACACCAACCTCTACACACCAACATCTACACGCCATCCCCTACACACCAACTTCTACACCCTAACCGACACACACCAACCCCTGCACACTCCAACCCGCACACACTAAGCCCTACAAACCAAGCTCTATACACCAACCCCTACACACCAACCCCTACACACACCAAACCCCTACACACCAACCCCCACACACCAACCTCTACACACCAATCCACACACATCAACACGCTCTCACCAACCCGCACATCAAACCCCATACACCAATCCTTACACACAAAGCTGCACACTAAAACAAAACACGCACCAACCCGCACACGTACATAAGTGAGTAGAAATTACGTGAGACACTTACGTCAATGAGCGCTGGCACCTCCACACCATGACTCGAATAGATGGATCCGCCAGTCTCCCCCATCTTGGCCTCGAACTGACGGGCCACGCAACATTTAGGGGGAGGATTCGATTGTCCCCAAACGGCGCCAACCAGACACAGGACGATCACTAACATGGTCAGTCTTTTACACCTAAAAAAAACCGAAGTGCCTTATCTCGCTGTTGACCAGTGGCCACATGGTGCCTTCCCTTGAGATAAGACTACCGCTAGCAGATACCGTGAAAATCCACTTGTTGACGTTAGGGAGTGCATATTTAAGTTGTACCGAGACATCTTTGGAGCTGTGAGAGTAATTACAGCAGAAATTATTTAAAGAAACCAGGCAAATGCGAACTTATAATCATTATGATATGAAAAAGGGACGACACACACCCCCACCCCTGCCAAGTTTTAAGTAAAAATGAACATTACATATTATTCATCACAAATGTATTTACTGTCATTTAATTCGAAGATCCGGGATAGAATAGATCTTCAGCAACCCAAGCGACTATGTTTGTCGTAAGAGGCGACTAACGGGATCGGGTGGTCAGGCTCGCTGACTTGGTTGATGCATGTCATCGTATCCCAATTGCGTGGATCGATGCTCATGACGTCAATCACTGGTCATTATTTACAGACCGCCGTCATTTAGCTGGAATATTGTTGAGTGCGGCGTTAAACAAACAAGCCAGTCAGTTCTTCGAAATTATTTGCTATTGTCTATCCTGCAAGATTCTCCGACTTTAAGCCATCACGAGTATTCTCCCTTGACTCACTTCTGCTTCTTTATCTTGGGGTGTCTGCATGCAGTACAGTCTCTCATACTCTGAAATCTTAGCTTCAGAGAGTGTTACATATTTTCTTTGACCTCCTGTCTATTATATACGAATAGTGGATGGGCCAGACTCTTCTGTTAACGATGCTGGAGTGCATGTATCCCACTGGTGTACAAGGCTTCATCCTTATGGTGTAAAATGTCCACAGCAGAAATGATGCCATAATTATTTACATAATGCTTGCCAGAGAGTTCTCTCTTCACGTTTGGGCACAGGTGGTATTCTGACGGTGTCAAATCTAGTGAATACGAAGCCAGAGTGCTGTATTGCAACCTTTTTTCTTTCTTTTTTTTCATCATTTATTCATGTTAATTGTCCACGATTTTACATGGCCCTGTACATTGCCACGTGGACTGGCATACCGGGGTTTATATTTGGGTTTGAGTTGCTTAAAGCAATAATACTCATCTAATTATTCAGTACACATTTAATTTTTTCTGCAAGATTAACATTGTTATACTGTAGTACTTTGTATTGTATTTCTAGTTCTCTTTTAAATATTCTAAAAAGGCAGTCGGCTTCAGTTACTTTACATCTGTACGCAATATACTTTGCGAGCAGTAGTAAATAATTCATCAAAGTACACTCCTCTGTGCCTCCTTCTATACCATACAATACAATATATCTGTAATTATCATAAATCTGATTATGTACATTAACCTTCGCCAACTTAAAGAATTCTATCCAAAAGGATAATACATTTGAACAGTAAAGCATGTAATGTCTAACAGTATCTATACTACCACAATGTTCACATACATTACTTTCTTTAATGTTAATTCTATTTAAATACTGATTACAAGGAATGATTGAGTGTAGAATTTTGAATTGCAGTTGCTTATACTTGTTTCCAATTCTCATGTCCTTTAAAATTTTCCATTTAAAAACATCTTCATTAGTAACTTGGAACACATTATAGATTGAATTATACCAAAATTTACTTTTACAAGGTGTGTCAGCAGGTCTGATTCCTTTAACTTCAGGATGTGGTTCAATTTCTATAGGACCCGCGTTTTGGAAACTAAACATGTTCTGCCCTATTGCCTTCCTAATAGCATTGATATACCTACTATATTGTCTTGGTGTTATGTCAATTCCATATTTCCTAGCAATTGATTCGCATTGAAAGAAATCCCCATTCTTTTTAAGTAATTGCCTTATATAAATAATGCCCGTATCTTTCTATTTCGCATCAAATATACTTTTTCGATTGATTAAGATATTTTTGTTATTCCAAATTATTTCATTATAGATGTCATCTTCTCTTCTTGCAAGAAAGGTCTTCCACAAGGATACAATTTCTTTATAGAATAATGGGATTTTTAATTTTAATTTGGACACTTTTGAAGTTACAGTTAAGCTGTATTGCAACCTTGGCGACACCAGATTTGTGGTAGGGGTGTTGTCCGGGTGGAGCGAAACACCTTTAGTGAGCTTTCCATAATATTATGCCTTGATATTCTCCGGTGCTTGCCTAAGCAGATTAGCATAGTGTTTAGGGAGGTAGTCCAGCAGTAGGATTGCTTTATAAACCTAGACAACCGACAGCCATCACCTTGTTGGCTGATGGAAAAGACTCTGCTTTGACTGCTGTAAAGTCACTGGCTGATAGTGGTGACCCCACGACGCATCCACTGTAACAACCCTCTCAACAAATTCAGCGTTAAATCTCACGAGATCTGATAAACCTGAATCGTTTCTGATTAGGAGTCAGAAGCCTTGGAACCCAGTGTTCTATAACCTTTGTCCTGTCCAGTTTTTTCTTGAGATTGTTCTCAACTCTCTCATGAGAGATGCCTACTGTAATGGCTATGTCACGTGTGGTGAGTCGTTGATCACCCATAATCATACCATTGGGTTATCATCATTTTCCTATGTGGTGGCAGCTGAAGGTCTTCCCGATCTTGTGCCATCTTCGAGGCGCTCTCTTCCCCGCTTGGACTCCGCTATACGCCTTTTAACAGTGAGCTGACACGACGTCCGCATGGACTTTCTGAAGGTTGTTGGTTTTCATTTTGCTTCAGACTTTTAATACAGTTCTAAACATGTTCATGATACGTGGTAGGAATGTGCATAGATCTGTGTTTAGGTCTAAACATGTATTGCGGTGTACTTGTATCACAGTGTTATCCCCAAGAGCGGGTACCATTTGAAGGGAATAATCTTATTATACAATCTCTGTGGCCGAAGGTTCGAGTCGGCGGGAATACAAAGAAACTGTACCTTTTGTATTTATCTCCAAACTAATTTAAAATATAAAGTTACCAGTTTGTTTACAAGGACAGTGATATACAGCATTTGATAAATGCATAACATGTGGTCCATGCTAAGTTTCATAAACGGAAGGTATTATTGTGTTGAATGGTTAAATGAATTTCCTTGTCGGAACAACAAACAATTGAACTGTTGTGTTTTCAGAATGGTATCAGGATTTCCACAAAACTTATGCTCTTCACAGTAACATGAACGTGTGTCAGCAGTAGAGAGGTGAGGTGAGGTGAAATGGGGTTTAACGTCGCGTCCAAGATTATTGCACTTATATAGCGACGTGCATGCACGTGTGTGTGAGTGTGTGTGTGTGTGGCTACTTGTACTAGTCCGGACTGATGCCGATTTATAGAGCTAGCCCACTGAGATGCCTCAGTTTAACATAAATACCCCACTCAGACACAATGTACTGACTCCAAGCCGATCAGTCCTTGTTTTAGCCCCTTAATGCCGAGCGCCAGACAGGGTAACAACAAGTACCATCTTTTAACGTCTTTAGGTATGACGCGGCCGGGAGCAGTAGAGAGACACCTACAATAATGGAATCCGTCCATCGACCCGGGGACTACATTTGAGATGCTTTCAAATACTTACAAAATATTTAAAAAACGTTTACATGAACGTATTCATATGATCGTTCCATATTGATGGACGCATTATTTGGCAAAACAAGAGGGGTTGCAATTCGCTATGTTGACCCCTTCGCCCTGCATGATGCGGGTAGTGTGCAACACACCCGTGTTAGTTGGCTGTCAGCAAGACACCCGTGTTAGTGGGCTGTCAGCAACACAGCCGTGTTAGTGGTCTGTCAGCAACACACCCGTGTTAGTGGTCTGTCAGCAACACACCCGTGTTAGTGGTCTGTCAGCAACACACCCGTGTTAGTGGGCTGTCAGCAAGACACCCGTGTTAGTGGGCTGTCAGCAACACACCCGTGTTAGTGGGCTGTCAGCAACACACCCGTGTTAGTGGTCTGTCAGCAACACAGACGTTTAAGTGGTCTGTCAGCAAGACACCCGTGTTAGTGGTCTGTCAGCAACACATCCGTGTTAGTGGTCTGTCAGCAACACACCCGTGTTAGTGGGATGTCAGTGACACATCCGTGTTAGTGGTCTGTCAGCAACACACCCGTGTTAGTGGTCTGTCAGCAACACACCCGTGTTAGTGGTCTGTCAGCAACACATCCGTGTTAGTGGTCTGTCAGCAAGACACCCGTGTTAGTGGTCTGTCAGCAACACACCCGTGTTAGTGGTCTGTCAGCAACACATCCGTGTTAGTGGTCTGTCAGCAACACATCCGTGTTAGTGGTCTGTCAGCAACACATCCGTGTTAGTGGTCTGTCAGCAACACATCCGTGTTAGTGGTCTGTCAGCAAGACACCCGTGTTAGTGGTCTGTCAGCAACACATCCGTGTTAGTGGTCTGTCAGCAAGACACCCGTGTTAGTGGGCTGTCAGCAAGACACCCGTGTTAGTGGTCTGTCAGCAACACACACGTGTTAGTGGTCTGTCAGCAACACATCCGTGTTAGTGGTCTGTCAGCAATACATCCGTGTTAGTGGTCTGTCAGCAAGACACCCGTGTTAGTGGGCTGTCAGCAACACACCCGTGTTAGTGGTCTGTCAGCAACACATCCGTGTTAGTGGTCTGTCAGCAACACATCCGTGTTAGTGGTCTGTCAGCAACACATCCGTGTTAGTGGTCTGTCAGCAAGACACCCGTGTTAGTGGTCTGTCAGCAACACACCCGTGTTAGTGGTCTGTCAGCAACACATCCGTGTAAGTGGTCTGTCAGCAACACATCCGTGTTAGTGGTCTGTCAGCAAGACACCCGTGTTAGTGGTCTGTCAGCAACACATCTGTGTAAGTGGTCTGTCAGCAACACACCCGTGTTAGTGGGCTGTCAGCAATACATCCGTGTCAGTGGTCTGTCAGCAACACACCCGTGTTAGTGGTCTGTCAGCAACACACCCGTGTTAGTGGGCTGTCAGCAAGACACCCGTGTTAGTGGGCTGTCAGCAACACACCCGTGTTAGTGGTCTGTCAGCAACACATCCGTGTTAGTGGGCTGTCAGCAAGACACCCGTGTTAGTGGGCTGTCAGCAAGACACCCGTGTTAGTGGGCTGTCAGCAACACACCCGTGTTAGTGGGCTGTCAGCAACACATCCGTGTTAGTGGTCTGTCAGCAACACATCCGTGTTAGTGGTCTGTCAGCAACACAGACGTTTAAGTGGTCTGTCAGCAACACACCCGTGTTAGTGGTCTTTCAGCAAGACACCTATGTTAGTGGGCTGGTAGCAACACAGCTGTGCTAGTGGGCTGTCAACAACACACCTTCGTTGGTTGTCTGTGAGCAACACACCTGTGCCAATGGTTTGTCAACACTAGATGTATGTCTTTGATGAAATCCATATGTGAGTAAGTGAGTGAGTGAGTGAGTATGGTTTTACGCCACTTTTAGCAATATTCCAGCAATATCATGGCAGGGGACACCAGAAATGGGCTTCACACACTGCACCCATGACAGGAATCGAACCCAGGTCTTCGGCATGACGAGCGAATGCTTTAACCACTAGGCTACCCCTTAAATCCATACGTAGTATTTAGATTGAAAAGTAACCATTTTAACATCATATAGTCCTCTTTTATTTCAGACATTGCATATTACATCTTTAAAACACATTTGTAAAGTCTCTTTCACAATATACTGAAACTCTGCCAAGACAAAAACAATTCCTGTGCCACATACAAAAGACAAGTTGTCCAATGATTTCTGAATACACTGAAGTTCTTTCTGCAACAAGGAGAGAACAATGGCATCTTACAGACTTAGCCTGGATCATGAACATGGGAATGTAAGATAACATCTTAGCAATTACAGTGAAACCATGTTATTCCAGACCATTATTCAGGACGATTACTGTATTGAAAGTCCAAAAATATACAAAAGAAATTACTCCATTTTCATGATTAGTGAGCTGGGCCCTGTTCCACAACTGGGCCCTGTTGCGACAGTCTTAGCGAGGTCTGGAAGATTTCATTGGGAAAAGTACCTTCCAGATTTACAACATTTCAGAGTAGAACATATCTGCAGGTTAGTTGTTGCTAAATAAGTCTTCTATAGGATTAACACTGATAGGTATCTACGTTGCCATATTGTGTCCAAGTAAATCTATTTTCCCTTTTACATAACCCCCCACCCCCCACCCCACCCCTACCAGTACAATCCATATCAATATAGAAGTACAGAATTGTTTGACAGTAATTGTATTAAAGATACATTTTTTAGAAATTGTCTACAATTCCCAACAAGTTCACACAATATTACTATGATAATATGTATGTCCAACGGAGGGCCTGTTAGATTGTCTACTGGCACAGCCAAACAAATGGAAAGTACAGGCGAGATGGCCTAGTGGGGGAGTGAGTTTGGTTCAAATCATGGCATATCACTGAGAGGAAAATGATAAAGGTAAGAGACAATTATGTGATAAAATGCAGAATGTATTGTGTGTGTATCTTGGATCTGATCCAAAGACAAGCACATCCAGGTAACTTTGCCACCAAGCCTTCAAGCACTGGCTCACAATGCCCATGCATCGTAATGATGCTAATCTACAGACCATCACAATAAGGGGACAGTGGTACCAGGTTGCAGCAACAACACAAATAGCAGCAAATAAAGGTACAGTCAATGAATGAATGCTGTTTTATGTCTCAGGCAGCATCACGTCAGCTGTATTTCATGGCATAATCAAGTCTGGACAGGGCAACAAAGTGGTTGACAGCAAGGCAAGCGAGTTAACAGACTGAAAAAGTTTCCACCCTTGCCGAAATAGGCTGGAATTCTTCGGATCGATTGTAGTGCCAACAGTGGCCATTACGAGTTATGTCCCCTCCATGTTCCTCCTACTGACCAATCAGATTCCCCCTCTCATATCACTTGCATTTGCTTCAAACAAAATGGCGGCACCAGGTCAAGATGATCACATCGATAATGAAAATCTATATTGTAGAAAACTGGTCTTACTTCATGAAGTGCATCAAATGTGAGCACATGAACAGATTTAGAAAATAACTCCTAGGTAGCGGTAGACATGCTTTGCAAATCCAGAAATCGATCGAAATCTTCACGGTAGTTTATGAACCAGATGTCCATTTCGTTACACGGTTTTGCTTGGACTATGCATGGACTCCATAATACCAGCCTAGTTCGGCAAAGGTGGAAACTGGTCTTTTGTAGTCAGTTAACTCCCTTGCCTAAGGATGATGCAAAAGGCAGCTCTTATGACAAGCATGGGGAACTGTGGACCTTTTCTAGGTGGGAATACACATAGCAAGGCTACAATGATAACAAACTGTAAAGACCCATTTGAAAACAAAACGCTGTTTCTCATGATAAGCTTCAAACTAAACAAATATAACCCAAGTTGGAAGACAAACTGACAGAGGTAATGTTGAGATAGAGATCCTAGTTAAACAGCACAAATTTGTTCATGAAGCTTGTGATTCAAATAAATGTGTTACAACTGGCGTAAGGTAAATGTATATTGACAGGTGCAGTTTAACTGAATCATATACTGTTATAACTAGAGCTAATACTTGTATAATCACTACGTGTAAAACAACATCTAACAACTATTCTGATGACTGAAATGAACTGATTACTTCCTCCTGTTTTCAAGTAGGTTGTGTTCTACAGGTCAACTGTAGAATTAAGGCAGTTCCTTGACTCCGCCAGTCTACTGGTGTACAAGCATTTAAACACTCACAGCTACTCTATCTGTAGTCAAATGCTGGTGTTCATTTTGCACATGACATCATCACCAAAACCCCATGGCAAACACCAAAATGTACAAACTATTTCCCCTTTGTGAATACATCCTGGAATCCTACCTTGCAATAGCTTGTACTGTAACATCACGACACTAAACAGAGATGACCCATATCCCTTTGCAGTACCTCCTATACCTAAACCCAAGAAGCTGTCCTTTCAAAATGCCCAACTGTCAGTAGCAGGACTTGAACAAAATGTTGGCCTGGAGTGACCCCTGTGGATCCCTGGCACCCCACTGTGCACCAAGTGGACATCTGGCACCCACTGTACACCAAGTGGACATCTGGCGCCCCATTGTACCCCAAGTGGACATCTGGCACCCACTGTACACCAAGTGGACATCTGGCACCCACTGTACACCAAGTGGACATCTGGCGCCCCATTGTACCCCAAGTGGACATCTGGCACCCACTGTACACCAAGTGGACATCTGGCGCCCCATTGTACCCCAAGTGGACATCTGGTACCCCACTGTACCCCAAGTGGACATCTGGCACCCACTGTACACCAAGTGGACATCTGGCACCCAACCGTACACCATGTGGACATCTGACACCCCACGTGGACATCTGACACCCCACTGTACACCAAGGGGACATCTGGCACAAATGTACACCAAGTGGACATCTGGCACCCCACTGTACACCAAGTGGACATCTGGCACCCCACTGTACACCAAGTGGACATCTGGCACAAATGTACACCAAGTGGACATCTGGCACCCCACTGTACACCAAGTGGACATCTGGCACTAATGTACACCAAGTGGACATCTGGCACCCCATTGTACACCAAATGGACATCTGACACCCCACTGTACCCCAAGTGGATATCTGACACCCCACTGTACCCCAAGGGGACATCTGGCACAACTGTACACCAAGTGGACATCTGGCACCCCACTGTACACCAAGTGGACATCTGGCACCCCACTGTACACCAAGTGGACATCTGGTACCCCACTGTACCCCAAGTGGACATCTGACACCCCACTGTAAACCACGTTGACATCTGACACCCCACTGTACACCAAGTGGACATCTGGCACCCCACTGTACACCAAGTGGACATCTGACACCCCACTGTACACCAAGTGGACATCTGGCACAAATGTACACCAAGTGGACATCTGACACCCCACTGCACACCAAGTGGACATCTGGCACAAATGTACACCAAGTGGACATCTGACACCCCACTGCACACCAAGTGGACATCTGGCACCCCACTGTACCCCAAGTTGACATCTGGCACCCCACTGTACACCAAGTGGACATCTGACACCCCACTGTACACCAAGTGGACATCTGGCACAAATGTACACCAAGTGGACATCTGACACCCCACTGTACACCAAGTGGACATCTGGCACAAATGTACACCAAGTGGACATCTGACACCCCACTGCACACCAAGTGGACATCTGGCACCCCACTGTACCCCAAGTTGACATCTGGCACCCTACTGTACACCAAGTTGACATCTGGTACCCCATTGTACCCCAAGTGGACATCTGACACCCCACTGTAAACCATGTTGACATCTGACACCCCACTGTACACCAAGTGGACATCTGACACCCCACTGCACACCAAGTGGACATCTGGCACCCCACTGTACACCAAGTGGACATCTGACACCCCACTGCACACCAAGGTTGGTATGCAAACTACACTATGTACAACCTTCCTAACCTGGCCTCACTTCTTAGGAACTTAGACATTTAATGTCAGAAATAGTGGTCACTATTCAAAGTTAGGTTCTTTCCCTTTCTGATCATATCAAATGGATCTATTTCTAACTTAACTATTATGGATTTCATGTTTTACAATAAATAAACAGGTATATTTTTAAATATGGTATGCAATATATAGGTAAAACATAAAAAGGTCACATTTCTGAAACTTAATTCACACATTGTTGTATTTGATCATAAAATCTCTCTCTCTTTGTTTACCAGAACATTTTACAAAGTTGTGGGTTTGTGGTACATTTGTTGATTTTCATTATGTTAGAAACAACAACAAATAAAAGCAATAGGTAAAGGAGTTTCTAATGTTGCGTCAGTTCTTTATGCAGCTTAGCTCCACAAATATTTATCAGAAACTTTTTGTGAATCCTGCTCATGAAAACCATGATCAGACCTACATATATTAGACCTCATACTTACGTAGTGCTATTTGTATATATTTTCAAGAAAATGTCCATATAGTTTTCAAACCTACATGTTACACAAGTAATAAAAAAGTCTGACAATACACAATGATGTACAGCCCTATACATTCAGAGTATGACTTGCAGTATCATATTCAATATTTACATTTAACCAGTTTGTAAGAAATATATTTATTTGTCTCTTTATGTTATAGTATTCAATTACAGAACCATGTTAATGGAAATATGTCTGTTTTTATCATGTACACAACAATCAACATGTTTGACAATTTCAAGTACTGGGTACACACATTTGTTCTACCTCCGTGGCCACGAAGAAAATGATGAAAAAAAAAAAAAAATTATGTGGCTCACAAAAGCCTGGTTGGTAATTTCTCTGGTCAGCATTATTTGAGATTTCCTCATAAACTATTTTTGTATGCATTACTGTGTCTGGCATGGAAGATCTCATGAAAACTCTCATTGAAAAGCATATGAGAATTTGTAAATCTTCTGTAGGAAATAGACAATATTTGCATCTCCTCATGGTTCTTTACTTACACTGCACTGTGTCTATACTAATAATGAACCAAATGGGATAAACATGGGAAGAAGGACATCAAGTATAAACACAAGGAAAACCAGCTACTTGTCAAAATTCATCAAAAATGCACAAAAGAGAAACCTAACACATAATGACAGAAATCTGGCACTTGTCCCAGATATTTCGGTGTAAAACATCACATTGAATTTCATGGCAGGAACATCAACACATCAATTCATAGACATAAACTTGGGACATTCAAAATATGTTACAAATATACATTCTGAGATTCATTCATTCTTTCAAATTTTCTTCACTGCTGCTGGAGAACGAGGTATATTATTCTTCTGCATATAAACCACAAGGTCGTCGGAATTCCTGCCCTCTCTCATGAATCCACTTGTTGGACACCCACTTGATCCCAACCAACACAGGACATGCAGCATGGCGGGTGTTGTAAATACCTTCCCCATTCTTATACAGGTTGTACCAAAATGCCGCTGTGCCCTGAGAAAAGGAAAACACAAAGTTTGGAATAACAGGTCTAAACACATTCAGTTACTCACTTCAAGTAGTACAAACAGTTCTGAGAAAAAACAACACGAATTTAGGTGGCATTGTGTGTTCATAGCTTCGGGCTTTGGGAGTCGTGCCAATTTACACTTGTCAGAGGGGTACACAAAGTATGTCATCTGGACTACCAGTTGTCCGACTTCCATATTTGGTGGAAGCCTTGGTAGCTGAGTAAGCTAGATCGTTGACTGGTGTGTTGTGTACTGGTGATTAGGTGCCTCACTCTGAGAGCGTGGGTTCAAATCCCAGATGGAACTCAAACCCATAAAAGTACTACAATTTGAACTTTACTGAAAAAGTGTTATCCCAAACATAACATTTTTTAGGTAAGTCTAATGGCTGTAAATTCATAACATAAAACATAAACAGCTGGGGTAGACTGAACAAACATGTACCCAACTGTCAGCCAAATGTCGGAACAGGACACGTGTCGATCCTGAAGGAGGATGCAGGGCTGTGAACCCATGTTCTTGAAGCATTATAATCAGGTATATGATAGTTTCAGGCATACTGACCGAAGATGTATTACAACACTCACAACATGAAGACCAAATGGAAATAGATTCATGAATGTAATATTGAACATGACATCATTGATATTTAAAGCATACAGCCACTTGTGATAACTTGTGATCACAAAATGTGCCTCTGTTTTTCAAACTGCCTGTATTGAAATCTGGAATTGAAATCTTCAGTTTTCAAAAGTGCATTTTCTGTTTCACATACAAAATAGAGAGGTATACATGCATGAGCCTGTAGAAAGTCCATGCAATCATAATTCCAGTCACCATTTACTCTTTCTGCTAATTCAAATTTCATAATGTAGCCAGTTTACATCAGGGGATGATATATCTCCCCAATCTGGTGAAATTCATAAATGGAGTTTGGCTCCTTATAACCCATGTTTGGTCCATTGCCATTGTATACCTTCAGCTCAGTGAAGAAAAAAATCATGCTGTTCAGTATATTTCATTATCCATAAGCTGATCGTGATAGCTATAGGTTTTTTCAAAACGGGGATAAAAAAAAACAGTTAATGCTTACTCTACTTACACCCAGTGTCGTGCACCAGTTACAAGCATGTCTAGGCCTCAATCTCATTAAAATCTTATCTCAGTTCTTTCTACCGCTAAACAAAGATCTGAGGACATCCTGTTAAGGGTTACATCAGAACAACCTTTCATCCAACCTGTAAGAGCATCGCTTACCACATCTGGAAAGTGACATTTGGAAAAGGTTAACACAGGGTATTCCAAATGACAGCTACAGCTATACCGCTGAATCCGTCAAAATCATCGTCCATCTCTCGCTTCAACGGGATAAACATCTGAAAGGAAGACTTTCCATAGCCCGGGGAAGTACTGCCATACAATCTAGATATTCCAGACATTTTCTTTTGTTAAGTTTTCAAATTTTGAATCAAGAAGTTTGTCAAAATATTGCTCAAAGCATAGTCTGGAATGGAAGACAACAGTTTGAAACTGGTGCCGTAAAGCTGCTTTGTGATTGGTTAATGTTGACTCCTTGCTAGTCATTTCATTGGTTGCTCAATGTTTGCGAAAGGTCATTCTGACATGACCTGTAATGGGATGTCGTCAGATCTTTGTTCAGTGGTAGTGAGAACTAGGATCTGATTTCACTGAGATTGGTCAAGGCCTAGGCTGGAAATGGGCACCAGACCATGGTGCATAGTCCCTCTTACCAAATAAACAAAATTCTCACCTTCTTGGGAAACAGTTTAACACCAATATACGGGAAGACAGTAGCGCCCCCTGCTGCCACATCACTCATCTACAAAGGGGAGGTAATACCATACTTAGCTAACATGGCATAATGTTCATCAAATCACAATAAGGACACAAACACAGCCCAAGTTATCACATTCTGTGATTATTTAAAGTCTACCCCAACACCTTTTTTTTAATTTTTTTTTTATTGTTCCTGATAAAAGTACATCATGTTTGGATAAGAGTCAAAATACATGACTAGGGTTTTTTAAGAAAGTACATATCATTCGCACACATCCATACACACATTCACACTCACTAGAAGCTTTAGTACTTAAGAAGACAGAATGCAGGATATATATTTAGTAAAGTTTTGGAATAGCAAATGTTTATATTTTCAAAAGGTTTTCATAAGGAGCCCATTTCATATAGAATTCAGTCTGTTTGGCTTTATTAAAGTGTCTATATTTTTCTAGTTGGTAATAATATTTGACCTCATTTTGGAAATGTGTAATGGTTGGTTGGTTATTTTTCATTTTGCATCTATAAATGTGAAATTTGGCCAAAAAGAGTATCAGATCAAAAATATCATCAGTGTGGAAATGTTTTGAAAAGCCAAAAAGAATTAGGTCTGAAGTAAGATTTATCTTGCCAGTATGTGAACACTTGGATTCAATCCATTGTGAAAATCTTTTCCTGAAATTTTTGCTTACCCTACAGTCCCAAAACAGATGTTGGATAGATTCTGGCTCGGCATTACAGAAAGTACATAGACAGTTGTCAACAATATGCATCTTGAGTAGATAAGTATTAACAGGTAGAATTCTATGGAGCAATCTCAGCTGAAACCATCTAAGTTTAGGGTCTGGAGTAGTTTTGTGTGCTCTGATAAATAAGCTAGGCCAGTTCATATCCATTTAAAAGTTCCTCTTCCCACTTGTCAATAACTTACATAGTAATATTTCTTTGAGCCTTTTTTACATGAAAAGAGATTGGCAATAGATATATTTGTATTGTTTGTTGTTTCCAGATGCAGGTCTTTATTAATGCCTAATTGTATCATGCATGTATTTACAGTTTGGTCTTCACTGATTATCTGAGGCAATACTTTTTTAAATCTATCTGCAATCACAGAAGATAAAAGTTTATATATGGAGTTTAACAGGGTAATCGGGCGCCAATTTTTTATGAGTTGTCTCGGTTTATCTTTTTGGGGGATACAGGTGATGATGCCTTACTTCTGGGTGATTGACAAGTTTCCAGTTTCATAGCTATAATTAATTGTTCTAAGTATGAAGTCGCCCAGATCAAGCCAAAACATTTTGAAAAATTCATATGAAAAACCATCTGACCCTGGACTTTTGTTATTCTTGGATCTTTTAAGAGCTGCTAGCAACTCATTCTTAGTAATACATCCTTCGATAAGATCAGATTCAGATGTTTTAAGTTTAGGAACATCATATTCTAGAAGTAAATCATCAAGGTCTATATCATTAATCGTGTGATCTCTAGAAGTATACAGGTTTTGATAGAAATTGGTTGCTTCATGTATAATATCCTTGGTGTCATTTAGTACAGTTCCATCTTTTGTTTCTATTTCCTTCATATTTTTGCTGATATAGTTTCTACTTTCCAGATTACAGAAATATTTACTTATAGTTTCACCTTCATCTATCCATCTTGCCTTTGATCTCACTAATATACCATCTAATCTTTTTTTTTCGCAATTGTTGCAATTCAATCTTTTTAGTTTCTAGATCATTAGCAGTATTTTCATCATAATTGTTTTCTAGTACATCAATTTCTGCTGTTAAGTCATTTTCTTTTTTGGTCATTTGTTTTTTTATAAATGAAGAATAGGCTATTGATTTGCCCCTAATTTTCATGAGGAGAGTTTCCATAAAAAGGTGATCATCAATCTGGAATTGCAGGTTATCATTAGGGACTTGGTCAATGGCATCCTGATTATAGACTGGTATAGCATATTCTTTCTTTACATCAGATATTACCTGTTTTATTTGTTCAACATACTTGTGATCTTGTAGCCCCAACACCCCAACACCTACTGAGTCCCTACCTTTAGTGCATCCAACATTCTTATTTCCATTGAGTAATACCATTAATACAGGCAACAGATCAAGTTAACATTAACAAACAAGGTGCAGTAAAACTGGGGGTCCATGGGACCCCCATAATTATTGTCAAAGGTCCTTTTAGGAAATGGGAGGGTCTTGTAAAGCAATGAAATTACTTCAATTACAGGACCTTTATATTTTTTGTGAAGAATTAAGTACAACGAATAGCAATGTGTGATGTTCGGGACACAACATATTCTTCCTTCTGCGTCCATTCTATACATTTATGTGTAAATAGCTGCACATTTCTGGTGTCACACGAAACCCTGAAGCATATTTTGATTTGACCTATGACATATTGAAGCTGATTCCTCCAAATGCCAGTGAAATTAGTTTCTGGTATGACCTCACTGTTGACCGCATCACCTTCACACACCTTCAAACAAACAACTAGGCAAGGGCAGCCAGAAGATGATATTGTGACAGTCACAGATAAAGTGTTGGACTACACACTGAAACTCATGTTAACATGTAGACAGATCATGTGTCATGTTAACATGTAGACAGATCTTGTGTTGTGTTAACATGTAGACAGATCTTGTGTTGTGTTAACATATAGACAGATCTTGTGTTGTGTTAACATGTAGACAGATCTTGTGTTGTGTTAACATATAGACAGATCTTGTGTTGTGTTAACATATAGACAGATCTTGTGTTGTGTTAACATGTAGACAGATCTTGTGTTGTGTTAACATATAGACAGATCTTGTGTTGTGTTAACATGTAGACAGATCTTGTGTCATGTTAACATGTAGACACATCTTGTGTCATGTTAACATGTAGACAGATCTTGTGTCATGTCAGCATATAGACAGATCTTGTGTCATGTCAACATATAGATAGATCTTGTGTCATGTTAACACACAGACAGATCTTGTGTTGTGTTAACATATAGACAGATCTTGTGTCATGTTAACATGTAGACAGATCTTGTGTTGTGTTAACATATAGACAGATCTTGTGTCATGTTAACATGTAGACACATCTTGTGTCATGTTAACATGTAGAAAGATCTTGTGTCATGTTAACATATAGACAGATCTTGTGTCATGTTAAGATATAGACAGATCTTGTGTCATGTTAACATGTAGACAGATCTTGTGTCGTGTCAACATTTAAACATCTTGTGTTGTGTTAAAATATAGACAGATCTTGTGTCATGTCAACATTTAGACAGATCTTGTGTTGTGTTAACATATAGACAGATCTTGTGTCATGTCAGCATAAATACAGATCTTGTGTTGTGTTAACATATAGACAGATCTTGTGTCATGTCAGCATATAGACAGATCTTGTGTCATGTCAGCATATAGACAGATCTTGTGTCATGTCAGCATATAGACAGGTCTTGTGTCATGTCAACATAAAGACAGATCTTGTGTTGTGTTAACATATAGACAGATCTTGTGTCATGTCAGCATATAGATAGATCTTGTGTCATGTTAATATATACACAGATCTTGTGTCATGTCAACATATACACAGATCTTGTGTCATGTCAGCATATAGACAGATCTTGTGTCATGTTAACATATAGACAGATCTTGTGTCATGTCAACATATAGACAGATCTTGTGTCATGTCAACATATAGACTGTCAGTGTCACATTCGTATAGATGTCAATTCACAGTACTGGTGATATTGTGTGGGGTTATGATACAAACATTATGTCAGGTTACCACAGAGACATAATGTATCACATCAACCTCACGACAACCCCCATCTGTACGAGATCAAGTTGGAGCTACTAATAACCAACTGAACTCATCCCGATGTTTCTGGGGGTACAGTCAGCTACTTACATAAAACAGGAATGTTGCTATCCTGTTCCCAGTACCAAGTGACTTGAATGCATCCTTTTCTTCTTTCTGATGTAATCAAAGAATCATGTACATTTGAGATATGGATACATAGCAAATCATAACTTCAACTTCATGTTGTCCCTCCTGCAATGCCCTTGTCTGCAGCTAACCTACCTGTTCTGTGGAACTACAATAAACAATCACATTAGCAGGCCTGGGGAAATAATCACACACAGACATGAATGCATCACCCATTGGTTGAACAAATGGCTTCTTTTGAGAATCTTCAGGTAGTTAGTATATTTGTCATTGACATACAAGGAAATATTCCATTTTCTTGATCTCAAATTGGCCACAAGGGGACAGTGATCAACCATAGAGAAATACATCCTTGACTTTTCATGGGGTTATTGCTGACATCAGTCAGACAAATCTAATGATGACTTACATAAATTAGAAAAGTGGCAATTCTGTTCCCCTGTAATTGCTCCATTTGTGTCAGTTTCCGTTTCTGTAAGGCAAATAAATGGCACAAATGTTTCTCATAATACTGTGCAAAAAACATTGGGAGTATTGAATTGTGATTAAAACATTGACAATATGTGATGTTTTATTTGTTGTTTATTGCTTAACGCAGCACTCAGCAAGATTCCAGCTATATGGAAGGGGGCTGTAACTGAGGAAATATATTGCTGCAGGTAACACAATGACTCAATTCAGCCACAGCACTGTAGCTCACCTGTAGATGTGCAGTCAATAGTTTAGCTCCCTCAGTCTGGCAATTTCAGTTTAATATGTTCACAGAGCCAAATATGCATTTTGAAAGAATATAAGAGCATGATCAACATTTCTATTGCAGGATGTCATCACTGAACACAACAAGCTTGGGAAGTTACAGTTTCATTGGTCCAGAGCATCCTGAGGAGATGATGTTTACTGTGCGAGAGCATGGTCAAAGAACATAAATAAAGGTCAAAAGTCAAAATATCATGAAAAACGCTATGTATGTGCTGAGCCCTGCTACTAACTATACATATACAATTTGGAAAATAATGGCTGTGTAAATTGTCATGCAAAGTTACAGCTACTAGTATGGTAAAACTACAAAGGTAAAAAAGGTCAAAATTTAAAATATTGCAAAAAAGACAAAAAGAATGCATATGTTAAGCCCAACTACTAACCACAAATGTGCCAAATTTTATGAAATCTTGACAAAACTAATCAAATTATGGCCACATAGGGCCTATTGGCTTTTTAAATATGGTTGCCATGATGATCATAATGGCTACAGTGATTGATGCCATTTGTGACATTGCTTTCAATGTTTGCAAAGCTGCTCATAGCGACACGATGTCATATCAAAGCATTGTTGCTAAACATTAAAGATGTCATCCATTGTCAGGCATAAGAGTCCTTTTATGAGCTGCTGTTTCAACAATAGATTGAGTGAGCTGATGTTTCCACTTGTGATTGTGAAATGCATGTTCACAAGAAGATGAAGTCTGTGAAGATCAAGCATTCAAAGCTAGTGAAGACCATGTATGTGAAATGAAGTATGTGAAGATCATGTATGTGTTGATTTTAAATCAGGTGAGCTATGAATCAAATTCTCTAGTGACTAAGAAATGAGTGTTGCCATATCAAGGAACCATTTACTGTTTCCCACAACAGCAGTGTATCACACTGTCTAATAAACACTTGTAAATCTAAATATATTGTTCCCACCTTGTCCAGTGCCTGAATTAACAGTTCTGTCTCACATGAACAACAAGATAAGTAAATAAACCAGTTTATCTGTTAGAATCTGCTTAGCTCTTACTGTTTTTACCCTTCATCTCTCACATGCAGAATCACAAAGTATTAAGAACGTTTGTCAAAATGTTAAATACTTACTCTTGCAAAGTCAAAGTGTGGTTCATAATGTCCCCCTAAACCATAGTTTGCAACCTAGAACAGAAACACAAAATTTCAAAAAGTGACAACCAGCTATTTGTACTTCTCTTAAAATACATTGGAAGAAAGAAAGATCCATGTGTACAGATATCCCTTGTAGTACACATAATGTGTACTGACCTCATGGTATATGAAGATGTGCATAGTGCATTACTTAACGACCGGTGCATACCATTCATCCTCTGTAGGATGCCATGTGTAAAGTATATTCTCTGTAGGATGCCACGTGTAAAGTATATCCTCTGTAGGATGCCATGTGTAAAGTATATCCTCTGTAGGATGCCATGTGTAAAGTATATCCTCTGTAGGATGCCATGTGTAAAGTGTAGCCTCTGTAGGATGCCATGTGTAAAGTGTAGCCTCTGTGGGATGTTATGTGTATAGTGTAGCCTCTGTAGGATGCCATGTGTAAAATGTAGCCTCTGTAGGATGCCATGTATAAAGTGTAGCCTCTATGGGAAGTCATGTGTAAAGTGTAGCCTGTGTAAAGTGTATCCTCTGTAGGATGCCATGTGTAAAGTGTAGCCTGTGTAAAGTGTATCCTCTGTAGGATGCCATGTGTAAAATGTAGCCTCTGTAGGATGCCATGTGTAAAGTGTAGCCTGTGTAAAGTGTATCCTCTGTAGGATGCCATGTGTAAAGTGTAGCCTCTGTGGGATGTCATGTGTAAAGTGTAGCCTCTGTGGTATGCCATGTGTATAGTGTAGCCTCTGTAGGATGCCATGTGTAAAGTGTAGCCTCTGTGGGATGCCATGTGTATAGTGTAGCCTCTGTAGGATGCCATGTGTAAAGTGTAGCCTCTGTGGGATGTCATGTGTAAAGTGTAGCCTCTGTAGGATGTCATGTGTAAAGTGAAGCGTCTGTAGGATGCCATGTGTAAAGTGTAGCCTCTGTGGGATGTCATGTGTAAAGTGAAGCGTCTGTAGGATGCCATGTGTAAAGTGTAGCCTCTGTGAGATGCCATGTGTAAAGTGTAGCCTCTGTAGGATGCCATGTGTAAAGTGTATCATCTAGTACTCCAGGGGTGACACTGCAACTATTGCATGCAACCAATGAGAGACACTGTCACCTGTAACTCCTCTGCTGTGTCCATGCTCAGGCCTGTAATGGCCTGCATCCTAGCATTGATTTTGGCCACTACTGGGTCTTCATCCTGCTTCAACCATGCACTGAAATAGATAATTTCTAAATAGGTATGTTGAAACAAGGAGAAGTACAGGACCGTGAGTCAGCAGGTGTTTCTGAGCAATGGTTACAGCCCATGGTGGGCACAGGCAGGAGCAAACAACTGGTCGATGAATGAATAAATACGATCTTACTCTGCTTTTAGCATTATTCCACCAATATCACAGCAGGGGACACCAGAAATGGGTTCCACACATTGTACCTACCGTATGTGGGTAAATCGAACAAGGGCCGCTAGCAAACGTGCTAACCACTAGGCTGCATACTACCCAGTAGTTACTGAAGCAGTAAAACTAAACATTGCTGTACACAAATATGCACCTACTCCCATTCTGCCAGGAAGGAAAGCTTGGTTTGCCTGGTCCAGATAACAGTTATTAATATTACAAGACTATGGCCTGAAGTGTCTATGCTGCACATATCAATATAGAGCATACATACCTTTTACTTATCCTATAGGTCGCCACTTCGAGTTCCCCTGTTTTAGAGTTCTGAACTGTAGCCCTATTTAACTGCAAGAAACAAACATTCATGACACAGGCATCAAGCTTTCGCATTTTAAAGACATGAGGACTTAAATGAATCATATTCATACAGATCAAGAAAATCATCTATTCGTGCTATTCACTCTCAATTTATTGATCTGAAATTCAATAACAAAAAGTGAAAATCTGTTAATATGAGTCCTGGGATGATCATGGGCACCATTTAAAAGGTAGCCTTGTTCTCATATTCCTTGTGTATAAACTTTTTGATGTGACAAGGTGTGACTACACTTATGTGACTGGCTTAATTGTCAGAATGTGTCCGCTTCAGTGCAACACCTCCAAGATGCAGCACACCTTGTGACAGGCTGCGATTGTCATTCACAACCACAGCATCTCAACAACCAAGACAAAAATATGTTTGTCGATTTAATATCAAAATGGTTTGCTTCCATCAACCCTGCTCCAAGTTCCACAAGATACTGGCAGTTATATGCAAAGTTCCTCCACACCCAAGCAGAGTGACCCTCATTCATCGCACTTGGACTTCCCTGAAATTGGTGCCTTGTATTTAAAACACATATCCACAAGCAATACCTTTGGTGTTGCTAAACCTTTAACTGCATTTATTTCTGAGTCGCTCATCACATCATGGTACATGACAATCCATGGATCCAGAAATACATCCTCTTCTTTGGCTGGCATCATAAGCAGTAGAGGATTGTTCCGTGTGCGGTAACGACACGCTAACTTGTGGGTATTTTTTATCTCCTGTAAGTAGAAAAACGATACATGCATCATCCACAGTGATTGAACTTAGTCACAAAAGAAACAAAATACACTGTTCAGTGGAAGTGGTTTATCATAGTGAGTGGTGTAGTTAGGCTGACTCAGAACAACACATATATACACTGAGAAATGTAATTATACTGTTGAAAAATTCACAATATCTGGGTTTTTTTCTACAAAAATTACTTTGGCAGGAAGGACAGGGAGGGCAATGACAAATAAGCAAGCCATTACAAAGCTGTTCTTAGCAACATGTGCATGGAATCTCCTCCATGATGGATGCTTCCACTGTTAACATCCCCATTCATCAGACATGTTTGGTTTTCCCTTGACATTTTTTCACAAAGTAGGACGATAATTGCCATATTTCAAAATTACTTTTCAATAAAAGAAATTCTTAGAAACCTGATATTGTACCTAAAATACACAGCAGATATGTTTCTTCAGGCAGTCAATTAAATTTAATTACCACTTCCCTTTTATGACGGGCCATGTTTCACGCCTCCATAAAGATTTTCCCCACTGGCAAATCGGGCCGAAATTAAAACAAAACCTCATGAAGCCCTTTCTTTGTAAAAGTCAGGATGAGTGATAGTGTTGACTATGTCAGTCTTGATGCGAGGGAACTGAGGCTGCGGATGTTGTCCAGTGATTAGAAGACGTAAGCAAGAGATGTCTTGTAGCCCAGGTTGCAACTGACAGGAGGTGACACCGGGGCATGCCCAGCAGGCGGTACACACACCACCACATTTCAATCAACGACTTTGTCTGCAGCCACTACAAGGGTTTTATGTCAGCCCTGTCATTGTCAATTTCCTGTCTTCAAGAACATACTTAGGAACACCAAGTCTGTCAGTCTCAAGTTACTCATGTCAGTCTTTTTCAGTCCACCTATTATGGTTTCTGTAAGTGCTTTAGACACCATTTTTCTTTTACCTCATTTAGTGTCTTACAGTTCATTTCAAGACATCAGACGGCTAATTTTAACAAGTACAGCATATGCTATTATGATCCAGCTGATCCAGAAAGTCATTATAGGGAAGATAAGGCCACACATTTTTTATTCATTGTTTCACGGGTCTGCTGCCCCTAATGAAAAGCAGCTGGAAAAGAAATAAATTGAACAGAAAAATATTTATTTTAATTATGTCTCCCGCTAGTTATATTATACAATATAAAATGTTAGATATAAATTCCATGTCTACATCACTATCAGTGATTCAAGAACCCAGCTGCAGTTTTAGCTCCATGGCAGAATGACTTTCATATAAATAAATGACTGACACAGATATTTATTTATATTTCAACCGATCTTGTGTGGAAAAGCTGGAATAAATCTGTGAAACAAAACTAAATAAGTGTGGCCCAATAGCCACAAAGTTTTCAATTACCATCACTGAATTTTTTGGGTGAAGTATGTTGGACTTCTGTTTTATAGCTTATGAAATACAAAAACTTCACAAACAGTTTTGCTTTCATCTTCAATTTCAATATTCACTGACTATTACAGTCATGTTCTATGACACATTTGAAGGACCTTACACAATTGTTATGAACAACCAACTTGACACAATGCAAGAAGAAATGGCAACAAGAACTGTCCGTATGTATGAAAACAACTTGATTTTCCTTCGTTTGGACCAGCAGTCTTTGTTGGTGTTGATCACCTTTATGAATGTTTCAGCATAGGGCTCAAGGAACACAAAATGTGACCGGCTGTGGGTAGAGAATTAGCTGATGGCTTTCATATCAAATATGGCAATGACTTGAATTTAGAGTAGCCTCCCTTACTTGAAATACAAAAGCCATCAGGGAATATTCTGTAGTATTTTTATTTGTTATTTTTCCAGAGGGAACACAAGTTGTTTATTTTTTTGCCATTTGGAAAACGCTCAACCTGCGGGTTCCGTAAAGCAAGAAAATAAGTTGGTCTGGCCTTATGCAGTGACAGAGACATTTTCCACATCATAATCTCATGGTAACCATGGTAACTGTGTCCTTTCTAAACAACTGATTACATTGATAGCTTTATTAAATTCAAATTTGATCCTACATGGAGTTGCTGGTGTGGGTTAATCATCAAAAGTCTTATCTTTACTTAGGTAGTGCAATATGACTGATGTGTAGCAAATATAAAGCCAACATGGCAGTCTTTTATCGTTCATCGTCCTTAATGCCTGTATATACATCAATATGTCCTTCAAATGTTATCATTTACAATTAAATAGACTACTGTTCATGTACCTGTAACTGTAAGACAAATTAATTTCATAATATCACATTACCTTTGATAAAAACATTAAACAATTAGGATTTAATATTGTGTTGTTGAGGTCCAACACATGACATGAACGTCTCTGATACATGAAGCTTATGTTACTAATTAAATCCCAGTATACAAGAACTTCTGATTCATGTTTTAGTGAGTATTACTACCACAACTATGTTCCATAATCAATCAAGTCAGACAGAAATTATCTACATTTAAAAACAGAAAACTATGTACATGGTATGCATTGTTTAAATACTTAAATATATTCAGGGATTTATCTAGACATGCTAAGAGGGTGATATTAAGCCCTAAGTCTGCAGCAAATGTCAGTTAAATTTCCCAATTCATGTTAATATAGTTACACTAATCATCATGAAGATGTATTTGTCAAGGATACATGTATTTTACTGACAACAGAATCAATATAGGAGAAAAGCCTTAAATATTTAACTTTATATTATTGCATTGAAAGCAATATTACAATACAATGTTAAAATGCCTCTGAAATGAAGAAAATAAGAACTAAAGAACTAGCAATTTTGAACAAAGTAAGAATATTTTCCCAATTGGCTCCCAAGGGCACTTTTGACTCGCTGATACATCTCTTAGACTGTATTGATGACAGGTAAATAGCATAGTATACATTACACATAAGCATCTTATGGCTGCATTCAAAACACCAAATGCAACAGTTTTCAGCTTCATAGGATCAAAACTACAAACACAACATCTGAAGAAAAAGAAACTGGTACACAGAATGTGCCATATAAACTTTCTCCAAGGAAAACCCTACACCAAAAGAAAGAAACTAGCCTTCACCAAAACTGTTTTGTAAAGTTGATGTCTTACATCTAATAAGTATATACAGACAATTGCTTTGGTGTTGAAACATTTCAAAGATATTGTATTTGTTAAGGAATAAATACATTACAATATGGGGAGTTAGATATACACAGTACTGCAATGAATAGAACACACATAAGAATATTACATCCAACATACTGTTAACTTGTAGAAAAATAAATATATTATTTTCTTACCACTGTGTAAATTTCCGGTCTAGGAAGAACATGTGACTTGATTATATGGTGTAATCTATGGCCTCATTGATCATATAGTATGATTTATGGCCGATAAGAAATATAGAATACTAAACTCGCTCCTTTGTAATACATGTACCAATTTTATTATGGTCCTGAATAGGTCTGCAATGACTCAATTTCGCTCATCAGATACCAGCACTATTCTTGAATTTCATAAAATTGCTACTTCATGGGAGCAAGTTTATTCAAATATTACTTGTTGTTAATAACTTTTTAAACATTTACTGTTGTGTGTAAATAGGCAGGTATCTAAGCAATCCACAGCATAATCCAACTGAATTTAGCAGAACAATACTTCAAACACATTACACAAATTGACACATATTAATTTAATAGGCCACCCCTTAAAATACAGTGGTCCATTCCATAAAGCTATCATATCACTAAGGTTATCATAACTGTCATAATTTAACATACACTTACGACTGTCGTTGCAATACAATCGTTCTGTGGAATGTGGCCCTGCACCACAAAGTTAACAAACATGTCACAATGCCCAATGACGTAATTTGTGGAATTTTGTTCCAAGATCCACCAGCGAAACAATGCCATGTGACATCAGCCTAGCAACCACTGCTTGGGTTGCTGGGGTAATCAAGTGTGCATAAGCTCCTCTCAGTGACTTATCATCTCTACACCCAATGCCATTGAATAAGCCAAGGGATGTAGGGAGTTTTTAATATTTGTCAGTGAAACTTGTTCCTGCAGTACATAAGCATGTGCTTTCTTATTACATAATGTGTAATAGAGCTGTATGTTTATTAAACTGTAGCTATATGCTGCTCTGCTCTTACTAACATTTATTTGCTCTAAGACAGAAATGGGATGAGATTTTACCCTGTCACTAATTCTTAGTTCATAAAGGTGTCAACACTTCTTTGAAGGAAACACTTCTGATGCGAAGTAGCACCAGAATAACGAACAGGACACATGACAGGTCCCCTGAAAAGGACTGTATAAACTGGTTTTTAGAATCAGATATAAAGTAGTGCTTTTCTTGATCCATATCTTACCATTATTTGCTCTCCCCGACACAACGCCTCATAGCTCTGGAACTCATGTGACCTGCGATAATCATTTTCAACAGGGTCCATGTCCAAGGTCTTTCCATCCTCTCCCCGAGCATACTCTGAAGCCTCCTTGTCCTTCAGCATCTTCTCGTAGTACCGCTTGTTGTTGGTTGCTCGCTCATGGTTGGGTTCTGGTCAACAAGCAGATCAACAGTATGCAGTTCAAGTGATCTTCACTGTTTCAAACAATATCTGGAGAAAACGATCTTAAGTATGGGCCAAACTACAGATCATATGGAGGTCTCTCTACCTAGGACTGTGCAGTGAACCTCAACATGTGTGAGTTATGATCATCAGATATATTTGAACAAATTCTTGTCATGGTTTGCATCTGTAGTGTGAATCTCCATCAAGAGAAATCAAGCACAGGATCGGTACTCAGTGTCCCATTCTTGTTGTAAAGGCCAACCCAATGGGAATATAGTTGTTATATAATGTGTGACCTGTTTGAATGTGTGTCATTGCATCCTAATGATGTGGGCCATTGCTCATCAGTAGAGGAAGGAACGTGTACATGAGACGAGTCCCCACTACGCATACAAGTGACTATACCTGAGAGGGCGTCACTCATACGAGTGACTATACCTGAGAGGGCGTCACTCATACGAGTGACTATACCTGAGAGGGCGTCACTCATACGAGTGACTATACCTGAGAGGGTGTCACTCATACGAGTGACTATACCTGAGAGGGCGTCACTCATACGAGTGACTATACCTGAGAGGGCGTCACTCATACGAGTGACTATACCTGAGAGGGCGTCACTCATACGAGTGACTATACCTGAGAGGCGTCACTCATACGAGTGACTATACCTGAGAGGGCGTCACTCATACGAGTGACTATACCTGAGAGGGCGTCACTCATACGAGTGACTATACCTGAGAGGGCGTCACTCATACGAGTGACTATACCTGAGAGGGCGTCACTCATACGAGTGACTATACCTGAGAGGGCGTCACTCATACGAGTGACTATACCTGAGAGGGCGTCACTCATACGAGTGACTATACCTGAGAGGGCGTCACTCATACGAGTGACTATACCTGAGAGGGCGTCACTCATACGAGTGACTATACCTGAGAGGCGTCACTCATACGAGTGACTATACCTGAGAGGGCGTCACTCATACGAGTGACTATACCTGAGAGGGCGTCACTCATACGAGTGACTATACCTGAGAGGGCGTCACTCATACAAGTGACTATACCTGAGAGGGCGTCACTCATACAAGTGACTGCCTGGCCATGGACAACAGATTTGTGCATGTAGCACAAAAACGTGTCTACACGTGTCAAAGTGTTATTTATTAAAATGATAAAACAAAGTTAAGTACAGTTATCAAATGACACGAAAGGATGCTCATGATAATAACCTTTAGTTTGGGTAGTCCAGGACCCTGTCCTAGAAAGCAATCTTAGCAGTGCAATCTTAAGTGTTCAATAATGGGGGTTACATTTGTCTTAGTGCTAAGATCGCTTTGGAGAATGGTGCCCTGTACTAGTGAGTAGGCAGTAATGTATAACCACATACTATCGTCCAAAGATAAATCCTTGTATTACATTTGAAACATGCTACAAAATTTCGTGGAGACATGTGCGGGATTGTATGGATCTAACACATGTTAAACACTGTCAAATTCAAGTTTCCATGCTTACCTAGTGTCAGCAGTTCCTCTGTAAATATCAGAGCTGTCTTGACATTTCCTTTCTGAAAATATACATTCAAAGAATTCCACAATTTGCATATATGTGAATGATGTCAAACCAATCCAAATTTGTGTGTGAAATATGGTATTCAGTGTAAAGAACAAATCATGCCTTGTGTGAAATACAGGTGTACCACTATGATTTGTCACGGACCTCTACACCTTGCATAGCCCAGACTCCACCCAGACCTACCAGACTCCACCCAGACCTACCTGACTCCACCCAGACCTACCAGACTCCACCCAGACCTACCTGACTCCACCCAGACCTACCAGACTCCACCCAGACCTACCAGACTCCACCTTGCATAGCCAAGAGTCCACCCAGACCTACCAGACTCCACCCAGACCTACCAGACCTACCAGACCTACCTGACTCTAACCAGACCTACCTGACTCCACCCAGACCTACCAGACTCCACCCAGACCTACCTGACTCCACCCAGACCTACCAGACTCCACCCAGACCTACCAGACTCCACCTTGCATAGCCAAGAGTCCACCCAGACCTACCTGACTCCACCCAGACCTACCAGACTCCAACCAAACCTACCTGACTGCACCCAGACCTACCTGACTCCACCCAGACCTACCAGACCTACCTGACTCCACCCAGACCTACCAGACTCTAACCAGACCTACCAGACTCCACCCAGACCTACCAGACTCCACCCAGACCTACCTGACTCCACCCGGACCTACCTGACCTGACTCCACCTAGACCACCCAGACTCCACCCAGACCAACCTGACTCAACCCAGACCTACCAGACTCCACCCAGACCTACCAGACTCCACCTAGACCCACCTGACTCCACCCAGACCAACCTGACACCACCCAGACCTACCAGACCTACCAGACTCCACCCAGACCTACCTGACTCCACCTTGCCCTCCACTGACCTACCAGACTCCAACCAGACCTACCAGACTCCACCTAGACCTACCTGACTCCACCCAGACCTACCAGACTCCACCCAGACCTACCTGACTCCACCAAGACCTACCTGACTCCACCTTGCATAGCCCAGACTCCACCCAGACCTACCAGAATCCACCAAGACCTACCAGACTCCACCCAGACCTACCTGACTCCACCCAGACCTACCAGACTCCACCCAGACCTACCAGACTCCACCCAGACCTACCTGACTCCACCCAGAACTACCAGACTCCACCCAGAACTACCAGACTCCACCAAGACCTACCAGACTCCACCCAGACCAACCTGACTCCACCCAGACTTACCTGACTCCACCCAGACCTACCAGACTCCACCAGACCTACCTGACTCCACCTAGACCTACCAGACTCCACCAAGACCAACCTGACTCAACCCAGACCTACCAGACTCCACCCAGACCTACCAGACTCCACCTAGACCTACCTGACTCCACCCAGACCAACCTGACTCCACCCAGACCTACCAGACTCCAACCAGACCTACCAGACTCCACCCAGACCTACCTGACTCCACCCAGACCTACCAGACTCCACCCAGACCTACCTGACTCCACCTAGACCTACCTGACTCCACCCAGACCTACCTGACTCCACCTTGCATAGCCCAGACTCCACCCAGACCTACCAGACTCCCCTAAGACCTACCAGACTCCACCCAGACCTACCTGACTCCACCCAGACCAACCAGACTCCACCTTGCATAGCCAAGAGTCCACCCAGACCTACCTGACTCCACCCAGACCTACCAGACTCCACCAAGACCTACCAGACTCCACCCAGACCTACCAGACTCTAACCAGACCTACCTGACTCCACCCAGACCTACCATACTCCACCCAGACCTACCTGACTCCACCCAGACCTACCAGACTCCACCCAGACCTACCTGACTCCACCCAGACCTACCAGACTCCACCCAGACCTACCAGACTCCACCTTGCATAGCCAAGAGTCCACCCAGACCTACCTGACTCCACCCAGACCTACCAGACTCCAACCAAACCTACCTGACTGCACCCAGACCTACCTGACTCCACCCAGACCTACCAGACCTACCTGACTCCACCCAGACCTACCAGACTCTAACCAGACCTACCAGACTCCACCCAGACCTACCAGACTCCACCCAGACCTACCTGACTCCACCCGGACCTACCTGACCTGACTCCACCTAGACCACCCAGACTCCACCCAGACCAACCTGACTCAACCCAGACCTACCAGACTCCACCCAGACCTACCAGACTCCACCTAGACCCACCTGACTCCACCCAGACCAACCTGACACCACCCAGACCTACCAGACCTACCAGACTCCACCCAGACCTACCTGACTCCACCTTGCCCTCCACCGACCTACCAGACTCCAACCAGACCTACCAGACTCCACCTAGACCTACCTGACTCCACCCAGACCTACCAGACTCCACCCAGACCTACCTGACTCCACCAAGACCTACCTGACTCCACCTTGCATAGCCCAGACTCCACCCAGACCTACCAGACTCCACCCAGACCTACCAGACTCTAACCAGACCTACCTGACTCCACCCAGACCTACCAGACTCCACCCAGACCTACCTGACTCCACCCAGACCTACCAGACTCCACCCAGACCTACCAGACTCCACCTTGCATAGCCAAGAGTCCACCCAGACCTACCTGACTCCACCCAGACCTACCAGACTCCAACCAAACCTACCTGACTGCACCCAGACCTACCTGACTCCACCCAGACCTACCAGACCTACCTGACTCCACCCAGACCTACCAGACTCTAACCAGACCTACCAGACTCCACCCAGACCTACCAGACTCCACCCAGACCTACCTGACTCCACCCGGACCTACCTGACCTGACTCCACCTAGACCACCCAGACTCCACCCAGACCAACCTGACTCAACCCAGACCTACCAGACTCCACCCAGACCTACCAGACTCCACCTAGACCCACCTGACTCCACCCAGACCAACCTGACACCACCCAGACCTACCAGACCTACCAGACTCCACCCAGACCTACCTGACTCCACCTTGCCCTCCACCGACCTACCAGACTCCAACCAGACCTACCAGACTCCACCTAGACCTACCTGACTCCACCCAGACCTACCAGACTCCACCCAGACCTACCTGACTCCACCAAGACCTACCTGACTCCACCTTGCATAGCCCAGACTCCACCCAGACCTACCAGAATCCACCAAGACCTACCAGACTCCACCCAGACCTACCTGACTCCACCCAGACCTACCAGACTCCACCCAGACCTACCAGACTCCACCCAGACCTACCTGACTCCACCCAGAACTACCAGACTCCACCCAGAACTACCAGACTCCACCAAGACCTACCAGACTCCACCCAGACCAACCTGACTCCACCCAGACTTACCTGACTCCACCCAGACCTACCAGACTCCACCAGACCTACCTGACTCCACCTAGACCTACCAGACTCCACCAAGACCAACCTGACTCAACCCAGACCTACCAGACTCCACCCAGACCTACCAGACTCCACCTAGACCTACCTGACTCCACCCAGACCAACCTGACTCCACCCAGACCTACCAGACTCCAACCAGACCTACCAGACTCCACCCAGACCTACCTGACTCCACCCAGACCTACCAGACTCCACCCAGACCTACCTGACTCCACCTAGACCTACCTGACTCCACCCAGACCTACCTGACTCCACCTTGCATAGCCCAGACTCCACCCAGACCTACCAGACTCCCCTAAGACCTACCAGACTCCACCCAGACCTACCTGACTCCACCCAGACCAACCAGACTCCACCTTGCATAGCCAAGAGTCCACCCAGACCTACCTGACTCCACCCAGACCTACCAGACTCCACCAAGACCTACCAGACTCCACCCAGACCTACCAGACTCTAACCAGACCTACCTGACTCCACCCAGACCTACCATACTCCACCCAGACCTACCTGACTCCACCCAGACCTACCAGACTCCACCCAGACCTACCTGACTCCACCCAGACCTACCAGACTCCACCCAGACCTACCAGACTCCACCTTGCATAGCCAAGAGTCCACCCAGACCTACCTGACTCCACCCAGACCTACCAGACTCCAACCAAACCTACCTGACTGCACCCAGACCTACCTGACTCCACCCAGACCTACCAGACCTACCTGACTCCACCCAGACCTACCAGACTCTAACCAGACCTACCAGACTCCACCCAGACCTACCAGACTCCACCCAGACCTACCTGACTCCACCCGGACCTACCTGACCTGACTCCACCTAGACCACCCAGACTCCACCCAGACCAACCTGACTCAACCCAGACCTACCAGACTCCACCCAGACCTACCAGACTCCACCTAGACCCACCTGACTCCACCCAGACCAACCTGACACCACCCAGACCTACCAGACCTACCAGACTCCACCCAGACCTACCTGACTCCACCTTGCCCTCCACCGACCTACCAGACTCCAACCAGACCTACCAGACTCCACCTAGACCTACCTGACTCCACCCAGACCTACCAGACTCCACCCAGACCTACCTGACTCCACCAAGACCTACCTGACTCCACCTTGCATAGCCCAGACTCCACCCAGACCTACCAGAATCCACCAAGACCTACCAGACTCCACCCAGACCTACCTGACTCCACCCAGACCTACCAGACTCCACCCAGACCTACCAGACTCCACCCAGACCTACCTGACTCCACCCAGAACTACCAGACTCCACCCAGAACTACCAGACTCCACCAAGACCTACCAGACTCCACCCAGACCAACCTGACTCCACCCAGACTTACCTGACTCCACCCAGACCTACCAGACTCCACCAGACCTACCTGACTCCACCTAGACCTACCAGACTCCACCAAGACCAACCTGACTCAACCCAGACCTACCAGACTCCACCCAGACCTACCAGACTCCACCTAGACCTACCTGACTCCACCCAGACCAACCTGACTCCACCCAGACCTACCAGACTCCAACCAGACCTACCAGACTCCACCCAGACCTACCTGACTCCACCCAGACCTACCAGACTCCACCCAGACCTACCTGACTCCACCTAGACCTACCTGACTCCACCCAGACCTACCTGACTCCACCTTGCATAGCCCAGACTCCACCCAGACCTACCAGACTCCCCTAAGACCTACCAGACTCCACCCAGACCTACCTGACTCCACCCAGACCAACCAGACTCCACCTTGCATAGCCAAGAGTCCACCCAGACCTACCTGACTCCACCCAGACCTACCAGACTCCACCAAGACCTACCAGACTCCACCCAGACCTACCAGACTCTAACCAGACCTACCAGACTCCACCCAGACCTACCAGACTCCACCTTGCATAGCCAAGAGTCCACCCAGACCTACCTGACTCCACCCAGACCTACCAGACTCTAACCAGACCTACCAGACTCCACCCAGACCTACCTGACTCCACCTTGCACTCCACCCAGACCTACCTGACTCCACCCAGACCTACCTGACTCCACCTTGCACTCAACCCAGATCTACCAGACTCCACCCAGACCTACCTGACTCCACCCAGACCTACCTGACTCCACCCAGACCTACCTGACTCCACCCAGACCTACCTGACTCCACCTTGCACTCCACCCAGACCCACCTGACTCCGCCTTGCACTCCACCCAGACATACCTGACTCCACCTTGCACTCCACCCAGACCTACCTGACTCCGCCTTGCGATCCACCCAGACCTACCTGACTCCACCTTGCACTCCACCCAGACATACCTGACTCCACCTTGCATTCGACCCAGACATACCTGACAATCTTTTGTTGTCCCTCCTTTTTTCTCTCTCTGATTCTGTTGGGTGTTTTGTTTCACCTCATCCATACACTCTACCTATGCACAACAGACCTTTTAACCCTGATGACTCTTACCATTGCCAGAGCATAGGCCAGGTAATCTAGAATCTCCGTCCGCTCCATTGTTTTATTAACTTCATCTGACTCAAGCTTCAGTGCCTGCCACATCCACAGGGCTGTATGGTAAAAGTCCTCTGCGATGTATGCAAATCTTCCCAACTCAAAACATTCAGCAGCTGAGGGTGGGGTTAAAACAGAATGAATCAAAGTGCACCGAGTTTCCATAAACATGGCTTCTTAATAGAATGGCACGGTGCACATCTTGGCCAACAGAGCTAGGTGCAGTGTGAAGAAGCGCCAGAGAGAGGTGGTACCAAGTCTAGAAGAGGCAGTCACATACAAAATTGGGTCAGGAAATCATTCAACATGCTGCAAGAAGTTTCAAGATATTTGTCACAGATCTCATGCATGCTGTCATTGGGACAGTGAGGGAATGATGAGCTGTGTTTAACACAACTGTGCCCCCCACATGACATTGAGGGAATAATGACTTAACACAACCCAGCCCAACACATGGATGTTGAGGGTATTATGAGTTGTGTCTAACACAACCCAGCCCAACACATGGATGTTGAGGGTATTATGAGTTGTGTCTAACACAACCCAGCCCAACACATGGATGTTGAGGGTATTATGAGTTGTGTCTAACACAATCCAGCCCAACACATGGATGTTGAGGGTATTATGAGTTGTGTCTAACACAACCCAGCCCAACACATGGATGTTGAGGGTATTATGAGTTGTGTCTAACACAACCCAGCCCAACACATGGATGTTGAGGGAATGATGAGTTGTGTTTAACACAACCCAGCCCAACACAAGGATGTTGAGGGTATTATGAGTTGTGTCTAACACAACCCAGCCCAACACATGGATGTTGAGGGTATTATGAGTTGTGTCTAACACAACCCAGCCCAACACATGGATGTTGAGGGAATGATGAGATGTGTTTAACACAACCCAGCCCAACACAGGGATGTGGAGGGTATTATGAGTTGTGTCTAACACAACCCAGCCCAACACATGGATGTTGAGGGTATTATGAGTTGTGTCTAACACAACCCAGCCAAACACATGGATGTTGAGGGTATTATGAGTTGTGTCTAACACAACCCAGCCCAACACATGGATGTTGAGGGAATGATGAGATGTGTTTAACACAACCCAGCCCAACACATGGATGTTGAGGGTATTATGAGTTGTGTCTAACACAACCCAGCCCAACACATGGATGTTGAGGGAATGATGAGATGTGTTTAACACAACCCAGCCCAACACATGGATGTTGAGGGTATTATGAGTTGTGTCTAACACAACCCAGCCCAACACATGGATGTTGAGGGTATTATGAGTTGTGTCTAACACAACCCAGCCCAACACATGGATGTTGAGGGTATTATGAGTTGTGTCTAACACAACCCAGCCCAACACATGGATGTTGAGGGTATTATGAGTTGTGTCTAACACAACCCAGCCCAACACATGGATGTTGAGGGTATTATGAGTTGTGTCTAACACAACCCAGCCCAACACATGGATGTTGAGGGTATTATGAGTTGTGTTTAACACAACCGTGCCAACCAAATGGAGTGTGAGAGAATCAATGAGTTGGGTTTAACACAACTGTGCCCCACCTCTGACCCCAGTACTTCCATCAAGTGCCATCAAAAGGAGAAAGGTTTAAATATGGGATTAAATCATCTATAGCATAATAAAACGAGATTCTTGAAGGAAATAATTCTGATGCCCATATTTGGGACAACAAAAACGTTAAAACCTACTTGTATTCCAGAAACTACCGAGAGTCATGTGATGTGACATCATAGTGGAGAGTTGACTTGCAGGAGATCACTGTTTCTGAATAATGTTTTGTAGAATACTAGTGCTCGCCATGGCACCACCTGACAATGCCATCGATAAAGATGGTGAATTTTTGCTCAGTGAGTGAGTGAGTGAGTACGGTTTTACGCCGCTTTTAGCAATATTCCAGCAATATCACGGCGGGGGACACCAGAAATGGGCTTCACACATTGTACCCACGTCAGGAATCGAACCCGGGTCTGCTGCGTGATGAGCGAACACTTTAACCAGTAGGCTACCCGACCGCCCCCTTTTGCTCAGTGACTTTACACATATTCGTCCATATTGATATGAGCCAGTGGTTAGTCAAAATAGTCTTGACAGCGGTGAGGAAAGCGAGGAAGATCTACTGAGTGAAGATGATCAGTCTGATGTCAACACGGAAAGATTTGGGAACTCAATCTGGTGTTAAACACTAGCCTGACATTTCTCAAACAAAATGAATTTTTATTGATGCTTAGCATTGTCAAAACATCTTTGTGTTGTCTTTAAGCCAAACGATAAGCATAGAGCTGTTTAAGCTAAATTTGTATTCTTTACAAATAAAGGTTATGTGTTAAAGTTGTATTGCGTAGTGATGGTTTGTTCAGTTAATACTGTCGGTAAATAGTTATTAAAACTAATATGTAGTTCACTGATCAACAGAGGGATACTACTGATAGGCATTTAGCTCACTACATGCCCAGTGACTCTATTTGTCTTTGCAAAAATAATACATCCCTCACAACATGGACTGTTATATATTGGAGAGAGACACAAACGAGGAATGAAAAAAATGAACATAACAACAAATAAATGAACTAAAACTGATGTCACACGAAAAAATACCTGTCACATAATAATTTCTCTCAAAATGAACACCAAATTCACACTTATCTAACCTCAAACTGTTTTTTGTCAAACAATAACTTATCCCACATTTAGACAGAAAATGACAGAAATAATCATCTGTGGTGGATTCAGGGGGTTAAACCTTTCCCCGAGACAAATACATCATGTACATGTATTTCTATATTGTTCATTTTTTGTGACTAAGACATCTTCATTTATATCATCTATCCTGTTTTCATATTAAAGAGGTGTATACAATGTACCTGGTGGTGAGCATAAACACATTTTAAATTCTTTTCCAAAATGAGGACTGAATTAATTTCAGGGCTTACAGATACTGTGCATACAGAAGATTCTCAACTTCAAGTCTAGTTCCCTGAAGACATTCCAGGAATGAGGCTGGCAACCCCCTTTTGCTACGTAGTATTACAGGGGTCTATTTAGAGGGCATCTGGTACTCGGCAATGTAGTAAGCGGGACTCATATAAAATCGTATTTGGTATACAGATTCAACATTTATAAAAATTATTTTGTGTTGAGTAGTATTCTGGTTTCAGGAGTGAGACAATAAGACCAAGAGTGAAACATTAGATGATATTTGGGATTCAGGAGGGGCTTGGCACCCTCAAAATTGTAGAAAAGTTCATCCTGCATGTTTTGTGAGAAAATAAGAAAGACCTTTCATGCAGAATCAGACAAGGGTTTCAAGTACGCAAGACCACTGACTGAATATGTGAATTCATATACACCAATCTTGTGCCAAATATATAACCTTAACATGAAATCTTAATCTTATCAATGTGCATGGTCCTTTGTAATTGTTGTACAAGTGTAGTCTGTCATGGATTATATGTAACAATGAATGCTAAATTTATTTCCATAACCAAGTACATTTAGTTTGTGTAGATCTCCATAGACAGATGCCTCAAAATGCAAGAAACACAAAACAGCATGTCCAGTCAGTTTCCATTTACCTCCTCGCTGACACTGCTGTATCCAAACATTCCTCCTCGCTTGGAAATTTTCAAGAAACGACACTTAATACTTTGATTTGTTGACCTAGTAGACCCCCCACACCCACATAATAACCAATTTTGCACCTTCAATATCCCGAGAATAATGGAAAATCACTTAATTGTCATGTAGATAATGAACTGTAAACAAAACAAAATGGTGGACGTCTCTCAAATATGACATCACAGCTACAGCTCGGCATCATTTGCTCGGGATCAGGGCAGTTGACTCTTTTTTGGTGTAAATATGTATTTTGTCGGACTATTTACCATGTTATAAAAAGATTTGTTTCAATAGATATCTTTTAAGAATGAATCAACATCTAATTCCTTAGTGGCAATAATTTGGAGTTATTGATGAGAAACTTGAATAGAGGTAACATTGGTTAACATCTCATTATGCACAACAAATACCCTATAGCAAGTCTAGATTTGAGCATCAATGGCAAGGACACTGGAGACTCCTGCACTAGAAGCACATTTCCTCCTCAGGTTGCCAGGAGACAGCTGTGTGTTGTGGACAGTTGTGATGTACGAAGGGAAGGAGGTTATGCTGACATGCACAAGAGCAAGTGACATGACAGATGTCATCACACATGCAGGGTCAGAGAGTGTAAAACTGACAACTTTCCATGTACAGTTAGTATGAAGGCCTACAGTACTCTTCAACACAAAATGCATCAGTTCCTATAAACAAGGGTCAGTGTTTTAGATTGCATGGTGGACCTGGTCATTGACCCCACAGTATACAATAAATGAATCCATATTTGCGCAACATTGTCCCATGGACCTATATGCCATATACCAGGCCCGCCATCTTCACAGGTCACTTGACTTAACTCCCAGCAAACTGAAGCTCTGGGTATTCCTCAAATCATTCCAGAACACACATCCTCCCACATTTCCACCACACACCTCCCACATCTTCCACCTCAACACATATCACAGGTTACAGTGACCTGGACAAGAACTATTGCGATATACTACACTCCATTTCCCCTGCAAAGATTATTTTCTCCAAAACATAAACACTTATTCATAAACATACCCTGTATTCAGAAAAGGCCATGTAGTCAAGCATCTCAGCCCGGAGATCACTTTCATTTTGTTTGTTTTCTTGGGTAGCCAGTTTTTCCAGTGCATGCTCCATCCATAAGGAAGAATGATAGAAATCTTCCGAATTATAGGTTAGCTTCCCTAGCTCGAAGCAGTCGTTTGCTGCAAGGAAATGTAAGCATTGGCAGACATGCTGTTAGTGAGGAAGGATTGACACATGGCAAGATTTAATCCATGCTAAGTTAGTATCTATCCTCATTTCAGGCATTTAAGACATGCGGTCATTTTCTGACAAAATGCATAGTCATTTATCATCCTTATTCATTATGAAATGGAATATGTCTTTTAATTCCAACACAATGTTGGAGGATGAATTTAAGAAAAACACTTTTGCTTTTGATTATGTTGGTCAACAATAGTTTTTATAAAAAAACAAATTACCAAAAGGTAACTGTTGGTATCCACTTTACAGTATTTTTATGCAGTTGCTCTCTTACATCTGTGTCAATAAGGAAGGCAGATATTGTCATTACCAACTGAAATTCCACTCTTCTGAATAAGTACAAGAAATGACCATGGGCAATGTGTACAAATAAACATGTAATGCATGTAACATCTAATATATAATTTTGCAAACTGTTTTTATGACATCATGCTACAGGTCAGATCATGCCATCAATCATATTCACAAACAATGGAGGATATCAGTCAGACGTTTATGACCCAGGCACCAGGAAGTGTGGTCTAGGACAGTGGTCTTTCCTCCATCCTAATACCAGTGTATACATACATCATAAAATCACTGACACATCAAATGATTTTAGTTTTATGACAATGTGGATAATGATGTAACCAATTTTCAACCAAGCCCAGTTGTGATGGTTGTAAGGCTGTGCTGATATTCACAAAGACTTTCCCCCAAACTCCCCTAAACCATCATTACCATTTACTCCGCCATGATTCTTGAAAAAACACCATAATAATACTTATGGAAAGGTCAAGTTTTCATACAATACATGCTTTTCCACAATCTGTGTTTCTGAGTGTCTTGACGGAGAGTCCTTATACATGATATACAATAGGGGAAGATACATTATGTACAGGAGGTAAATACACATGATCAAATGCAGGTAAAATATTTTTAAAAAAACATTAAATGTTGTCAGGGCTTGATTTAGCTATATAAAACATGCACCAGTGCAACCTAATATTTATACATGCACCAAGTGCATTTTCAAATTTATATCTAACCCTTATATGTCCACACAACATCAAGCTTTGAACACATTCAATACCTCTAAGCTTATTTTCCATACTAAGTCAATAACCCTTTTTTAATGTGTAATTTGTCATGCCTTTTTGGGCTTGATGTAGTCAAAGTGTGGGTACTTCAAGATTATGTGCACATTTCAACTTTGATAAGTTTATAATTGGTTCAAGGTGCAACCTGGTTTTGTCAGGTGCAACTAGGGCTTCATATCAACATGCACCTGGTGCAAGTTGAAACAGGTTCCTTACATCGCAAACAGTAAACAGGTTTGAAACCAGTGAAGAAGGCCATATCCAGAACATATTCGAAACAAGTTTCATTCTAACCATGCTAACACAGCAGTTTTAATTAAATAAAAAAATTAAGATGTGCTTTGAAAAAAGCTTTGAAATGTGTCTTTGCTCTTCGCACATGCATCTGTGAAATAAGAGCAGAAATTGGTTTGGCCGAAATAAAGGTAATGCACTTCGAAAAAAAACTTCCTCTGTTCTGAAGGCTTTCTCTTTGTTTCAGCATGCAGAATTTTGTTTGTTTGTTGTTTAACGCCACACTCTCAAACATGCAGAAAGTCGAACAGTCTCAAATGTGAAAGACTGCTTGAAGCATACTGAGGAAGAACACCTCAATTTATGAACATGACAAGGTCACTACATGCATAAATATATCAGAAATTATTCTTCACTCATAGGATAGGATCATAAAATAATGTCAATATGAATTTGAACTTACGACTCTCAAAGACTATCAGTATATAGGTTCTCCATGAGGAGATTACATCATTTCTTTTCTTAAATTCATCACAAGCTTACCACAAATAGATACATATCACAACAACTGAGGCTAAGTTGATTAATCCTCCATACTACTGTAAGTGTGATGTGACAGCAGGTGTATCTCGGCACCTACCTGTGAGCTGCGTTGACTGCACTCCCCCTAGGGTGCCCTCAGCTATTTTGGATGTATCAAGCTTGTATGTGTCTTGTAGTCTCATCAGGGCAGCCGCAGACCCCTGCAGGTCCTCGTACGAGGGCAGGTCTTGGCGATAGTACTCCACGTACCTGCGCATGCCTGACATCCACAACGCAGAGAAAGGAAGTTGAAAAGACATCATTAACTAAGTAATAGATCATTGCTCTCTTTTCATCACAACCACACAAAAGAACACTTACTGATATGCAACTTCATAATATAACTTGGTTGTTGTTCAAGACCTCTCCTTCAAATTAGGAGACAAACACAGTATGTTTATTTCTCCATTCTACCAGACTAAATAAAACGCGAACCTTTGTTGCTAGAAATATATGGAGTAAAGCGGCATGGGTTGAATCCAGTGTTTTGAGTGGGTTGTCGATCAAAACTTTCAGATACAGCCTTTAAACAAAATATGGTGTTCTAAATGCTCAAGCATTATGACAGGCACTTCGTAAGCTAACATGAGGTGTGCACCCCTAAAGAAAACTAAGCAAGCCTTGCAAAGATCGCATTCTACACTGCTATTCACTATTATGACATCATATTGCTCATTGTGATGCAAAAGATATGATGTCACAGTCGTACAAAGAAAATATTACCACACATCTTTTGAATATTACAGTAAAGGCAACTTTGCATTTTGTAGCATATAATTATTTAAATATGCCTACCGACAATGACTTTAAAAGTGGTACTATTCTAAAAATATAAGCTTCCGTGGTGATGACATCATCAAACTGGCTGTTTCAGTCAGAGGAGATTTATTGTGATTTGATACCTCTGATTGACCAATCAAAATCAAGTATTTACCAAATTCATGGTAGAATCTTTGTTATTCCTCCCAAATCAATTCTTAGTTCAGCCAATACATATTATGAGTTGATTTGGTTGGAAATTTTCAAGCAGTGACTGTAACTCACTCTCTGAGGAATCATTCTTGAGGAGGTGGTCGACATTCTTTGACCAGTCTAGAGTGAATCGCTTCACAAAGAGGAAAGCATTGACTGGGTTGGCCAGGTAGTAGTCGGGCTTCTCCAGGGCCTTGATACTGTGAGCCTCCAGGTCCTCCGCTAGTCTGCAAGACAAAGTGTTTATACCATTCATCATTAATTCTTCACTGTCCCAAGGTCTTCCATAAAGTAAAGCTTAAAACCTTCAAGTTACACATGTTACATGACAAGTTATACATGCTTCAATCCTTATGTGGAGACCTAGCCTGGATATTGTCACCAGACTGTGGGGAATAATCCTTCGGTACAGAAAAAAACTGATGGACCTCTGGGTCCCCACAAGGACATATATATATATATCAGGCACACAAATACACTTTATAGTTTGGAATTCTCCAGGAAATTCTCTGTTCTGCAATATGATTTTGTAGTCATTTTAGGCAAATCAAATTTCTGTAAATGACCTCTGTAAATCAGGACCATCTTAAACATAGCACAATTCAGACATCTACACTGTGCAGCACCTTCTCCTGTTTTGAGAGATCCACTAGTCTATTTGTTGTATACACTGGCTTACATTATTGAGAATATGCATGAAATCATTATCGTAACACAAATTAGGGAATTAAAAATAAATGTTTCAATGATTTGATAAATTCAACAGAAATTTCAAACTTTCTTTACTGTGACCCAAGGCAAGGGAGTTCCGCACTTGCCGAACTATGCTGGAATTATGGAGTTATATTTTGGCTGGACTAAAGAGTCTATGCATAGTCCAATCCAAATTGCATAACAAAATTGACATATATATATATATACAAGTAAATGTGCGTATTTTAAAGTTCAATAAAAAAACATTTATTCCGAATTAAACATGTTTTAAAAAATTCATATTTCAATACATATTCCTGAAGACATCTCTTGGAGTCTTAGAAAGTTATTCACAATTTGCACATGCATGTTCATGCCGGACACATAATTTGAATGTTTGCGTGTTTGTTGGGAGCACAAAACTCACAGGTGTTTGTTTACTGTGAGCAGCACGCAATAATTCTTTAACTATCAGGTGCTCATAAAAACAATTTAGCATAACCATAAATAACACTTACACAATGCCACATCTTGCTCAAAAATCATTGTGGGAATGTGGCAAACTGGAATGCACAAATGTTCATTGAAACACAATGTCATCTCTTTGGAGATGTTATATACCGCAGGGCCACACTCATGACTTGCCACTGGCCGGTCATCAAAGTGAGACATCACATCAACCAAGACAAGACAACCATATTCGGTTGGTGCATCAAGGGAATCAACACGAAACTGCCACATTAACAGCTTGAACAATTCGTGGGTTGAGACTGATTAGTGGAACTAAATGCAACCAGTTGAGGAAGCACAGCATACCACCCGATTTGCTTCTGTCAGTATACATAGGGTTACAAATTCATTTGATACACCATATGGTTGATTAGACATTAGGCGGGGTTGGGTGGAATTGGGGCGAGGTTTATGAACTGTTGGTCTGCTTAATCAGATTATCAACCAAGGATCCTAGCAATTGCAGCCTTGAAAATGTCCTGCACATATTGCAAGTTTTAATGATCACACATTACTTAGGAATCTGCATGAGATTAATTGAAAGGCTATTCAAAGTAATTCATCACTGTTAGCTAGGAACATATTAACACAAACTAATAAAAGAGCCTTTGGCTATTGGCTTTGATGGGTTTATTACCATATAACTGCCAGCTTTCCTCCAGAATGCCCCCAGAGAAACTCCTGGTGCACTTGGTGACAACTTTTATGACGGTTGCATCATGTTTTGCCCCAAGCAGAACTTACAGGGAAATTGTTAACTGTCACTTAAGAAACTGTGAAGCAAAACCATTTTGTTAAATACAATCTGGAGTTAGTGAGTGAGTGAGTGAGTGATTAGGTCTTTCCCTGATTTCTAAATATACAAAAACAGTATCCCCCAGGTACATCAACCAGGCCTTATCGCACGAAAAATCATGATGGGTAAGCTAGTGAGATCTTTAGCTTGACATTTATACAGATATCTTTAAATGTCTTACAGTTCCCAGATTTTATTCCTTAATAATCAGAATTGGGATAAAATATCAACATTTCAGGGCACAATATCTGTAGAACAATGAGAAGAACTGTGACCATGACAGGCAAGGTTCCTGATAAACTGAAACTTATGACAATACACAGCCCCAGGAAATATAGTGCCTCTTTTTTCATTAACTCATTTTGTTTCAAACAAACCAGAGCATATACTTCTCAAAACATTTAAGTATCACCCGAATATTTGAAATTACCATAGCTAATCTGTCATGTCATGACAGATATCGTAATATGAAAGAATCAGGTGATCCTTAACTTGTTTTTAGTAGAATACATGACTCAAACCAGAGCACAGTAACTTGATTGATTTTTTTCAGTTCAAATAAATGTTATATGTTAATGAGGTGTGAAACCCTTTCTTCTTGCCTCAATTCCAGAATGTCAGTCCGCCTCATCAGTTACAAGCAACAGGATTAGTTGGCCTTCACCTTCAAGTAAAGGGCTACGCTTCGTATAAACCAAGTCATTAGAGCACTCCATGAATGTATGCGATATTACTCCTCTCTTCTGACTTTATTTGTTGGAGTGTTTTATCATGACAGTTATAAATATATATGCACTGGCATATGTACATGCACAGATCCCCTTCAAACAGTTAAGAAAGAAGTGGCTTTCAGAAAATATCTTGAGAGCATTCCACTGCATGTCAGGTTATTGTTGGAGGACAACTGGTGATGTTGGGTGTAGACAGGAGCATTGTTATATGGAGACTTGTGGGGAATCCAGGTTAGAATACGTCACCAGCAACCTATGCACGTCAACAGTAACCTATGCACATCACCAGTAACCTATGTATGTGCCAGCTACCTATGTATGTCCCAGCACTTAAACCTCTGAGACATCCAAGTACCCCATCTAAATTTAGACCTCTGGGACATCCAAGTACCACATCTAAATTTAGACCTCTGGGACATCCAAGTACCACATCTGCACTTAGACCTCTGGGATATCCAAGTACCCCATCTGCACTTAGACCTCAGAGATAACCAGGCCCCCATTTTCCAGAGAACTATTTTCATCAAAAGTGAAGACATGAATGTAATCAGAGAAAAGTAGAAAGCTAAAACACAATTCATAAAGAATATATCACCTGCTCACCATGAACTTTTCAACAGCCTCAACGCCATGGTCGACATTCAATCAATACTGTTGTGTGTCAAATACTAGTCATGCACAATTTAATCACACATCTATCTGTATTTATGATCTCCACAGATGGCAATGGGTGTGGGTGTCTCTTGGACTAAATGAGAGATTGCACATCCTCCACTTAGGTGATACTGCCAGATGTTGGAGAACAATTTGTTTGAAATATTAAATCAAAATTCAGAATTGTAGATCAACTATCTTCATCGTCAATAGGTAGTCCATAGGTAGGAATGGCAACAGTGTGTCATTACAAGACAAATGGTTAAAGAAACTCAACAGAAAAATTTCAAACTGACAATATCATCATTTGGTAATTTTGATTTAAAAAAAACATTTTGTAAATAGTAACCCCATTAAAATATTTGTTTGAAATAAGTGCTTTATGGCTGATTGCTGACATCTTAACCACAGCAATACTACATATTAGCTGAACACTTGTTGGGTAGAGGATGTCTTGGGAGTTTTATCAACATTCTGATTATACCATTCCAAAACTGCTCTCACTCAACTTCTAGAATAGCTGCAGATACCAAATGCCTGATGGTATGAAGACATATTACGCATGAACAGATAGCTAGCTGGATCATAAACCTTGAACGCAACTTGCTTCACGGAGCAAACAAAGGTATGACATGGCATGTGCTGTCCGAGCATGTGCAAAACAAGGCTAAACAGACTCACTTGAGTTAAGCTCACTCACATTGGGTTTGATATCTCGTCGTGAGAGGACGGACAGTCGAATAAATTTGTTTAAAAGCATTTCGAGATAGGACATAGGTAGGACATACAACATATTCATTTGGAAAGCTCGTCACCATACGGTTTGATAGCAACAGACTTTGAGAATCATATTTGGTTTATCTTGTCTCATTTAGTTTCTTCAACTTTTTTGTAAGAGATTCATGTTAAATCCCCAATATTAAGTTAAGTCTTTGATAGGAATTAAGAATTTGGAAGGACATGATTACATGACACTTTTTATGGACAGCAACTTCCTTTATTCTTTGTCACGACATTTCAGAGCTACTTCTTGCTCCTTCATCCAGGTACATGCTGAACAAATAAAAGAACATCTAACCAAGGCAAGGGAGTTAACTGACTATAAAAGTTCAGTTCCCACCCTTGCCAAACTAGGCTGAAATTATGGAGTTATATTTTGGCTGAACTAACAAGTCCATGCATAGTCCAATCATAATGATGTAACGAAATCGACACCTAGTTCGTAAACTGCCGTGCAGATTTGGTCGATTGCATAATTTGCAAAGCATGTGTACCGCCAACTCGGTGTGAATAGATATTTTCCAAATCCTTTCATGTTTTTAATCAAGATATAAAAGAATAAAAGAAGTTGCTATCCACAAAAAAACGTCAAGTACCCATATTTATTGTCTGAATTACTTCATCAGTCTAGAGATTCACGTTCCTGGCATGCCACATTAAGAGAAATTTACATGTTAGTTCACTGTTCCTATTCCGCTGTGCAACACCTGGCTACTCCCCACATGCTGCCACAGACATGCCTGTCTTCCTGAACACTCCATTAGGAAGAAATGATTGGGGTCATGAAAACATATTCATCTGGCCATAAAGAATGTTCATTGTCTTGTCAACACCTCCATTTACTAAATACGCCATTGCTTAAACTGTAACTAATCAATAATCAATTTTATCAGCTGACATCGGATAACACTTTCCATCACCGGGGAACACTTGGGGCAAATGAAGAGGAAATTAATGCTTACAACATGCAGCTAACTATCCCCCGGTATAGACAGACACTGTGGTGCTCGGACAAAGTTATTGTATTAATCACTTCCTGTGAGCTATTATTAAGAAGGTGGCA